TGGATAAAAGGCTAAAACTGGGTAACTGATATTTAATTTTTGGATTAAAGCTAAAGGAAGATATGATAAATACTGTCTAATGTCTTCCGGAATACATGTAGTATCTAACTAGTTATGTAAATGTATACTTAAACTGTATCACTTTCTCATTTTGTCTCTGCTTCTTAAACCTCACATTTTTATCACCTAACTATACTAACTATTCGCAACAATTAGTTAAAAACGTAAATTATAAAAAAAGCCGGAATTTGAGGTTTAATGTATGTTGCTTGGTCTGGGTACAATATATCCCATTGGGAGTGATGTCAAACTCATTAGGTAGATTATTGGCTAAATTCTAAAAGCCAAACCACTGACAAAATAAGGAAAAAATAGATTGATACAAATTCACCATCTGAAAATACATCCCAAGCCTTTAGGGGAAAGGCACAGCATTTCCAACAGTATAGAGCTAAATGGATACATGTCAGATCTAAAGATGGATACAACCCATTGATTAAAATAAAAACGAGAAAGAGATGTATTAACTAAACATTGCATTACTATTACCAATGTTCACAAATCCACACAATAAGTGGACTACAATAGCAATACTGTTAATAAACTGGAATATATATCTCTGATTATAAATCTATTAAAGCAAAAGAAAAGACAGGAGTATATAGCTGAAAAAGGAAACAGGGACTGCACTCAATCACAATGCCACAGGGTGCGAGTGAGTATGGATCAGCATAGCCCAGGGATTAAACACAAAAAATCTCAGGCACCCACTTTTACAGGAACCAAGAAGATTTAAGGAGCATATAACTGAACTTATCTGTATATACACACAAAGAAAATTGGTGGAGCAAGTGGTGGTAAATAAAGATATACTTCCCTCTCTTCTTACTGTATCTCTGTATTTAAGAAATCTAAGGACATCAGAACATCATCCACGCCAACTGAGGAAGCCACATATCGGCAAAACGCGTTTTGGCAACATTTTGGACATTAGTAGATTTTTTTATTTGCATTCTTTTATCCATTATTTTATCTGATAAATTTACCTTTGGAATTTATTACATCTCTGTTGCCTATCCTTGGGAAAGGAGTACCAAACATCTTTCAAGCACCACCAAAGGGGTTTGGGATCACCCAATAGAGATCCCAAGGAGATTCATACCAGAGCCAGGTTTACCATATGGCTCTTTCCTTGTGAGTGTGTTTGATATATATCTATTTGACATGCTGTATATTGAGATATCTGCACTATTTTGTACCTCTCGCTTTACAGTGATACAGTACGAAGAGAGGGAAGTATATCTTTATTTACCACCACTTGCTCCACCAATTTTCTTTGTGTGTGTTATATATGACTTAATGTGAAGGTGTAGGGGGATACCTCACTGGTGTTTAGAGCGAGTATCATTTCTGTAGACATATCATTTCTTGTGTTTCACATTATCTGTATATCTGTTGAAAAAACAGTTCAGCCAACTTGTAACTTGAACTGGATTTAATGGTAGGTATAAAAAGCAATACTTGTTCAACATTCAAAGGTCATATGAGCAGGACAGAATAGATCCCTCAGCTGTGCCTTTGTGGGTACCACTTATTGTTAATCACCTCCCAAGGCTAGTTGAGAAAATTAGAACAAAATCAAATCAAAACAAAATTAATTTGTAAATGAAAAGAAAAAAAAAAGGAGAATAGAAACATTATAAAAAGATTTAAATTTTTTAATGTGTGATTTCTAGGTCTCATGTTAATATCTCATTACACCATCGTCCCTAATCACACAACACCTCCCCATTCAAGTCCAGGCGCGCCTTTCGCCAACTAATGGCTCTTCCAGGGGAAGAAGGCAGCAAACACTGAAACTTGGATACCCCAACAATCCAAGAAAATGTAGTAATGGTAAAGAAATAAACAGGTTGTGCCAAATGTTGGGTAGAGATGTTAAACAACACTAATAATAAAAAGTAGTCAAATAGTATTTACAAAATAGTCCCTAATTTGATTGATAGCAGAATTCTTGATGGGGAGGTGAAGTACAGTAGATATTGTAGTGTGTTCACCAGCTTATGCGGATTCTGTGATATGAAATGACAAGGATGGCAAAAATAGTGTAATATTGTATCTGACAGAGCAGAGGAATAAGGTAATAGAAAACACATTTTACAAAGATAATCACACAGCATATTCAAGGTGTGCTCTTACCAGTAATTTAGAAAGAGTCAAAATTATATTTTATTCCTGAGAATTATTTCCCTCTAGCACTCCTTCCCTCATATTTGGGGACTTTAACATCCCAATCAACAACCTCAACTGCCCTGATGCCTTCCGTCTGCTCTCTGTAACCTCCTCCTTTGGCCTTACTCAATGGTCTACTTCAGCAACTCATACAGGAGTACAGTAGGAAACACTCTTTACCTCATCTTCACCAATCTCTGTTCCACCTCTAATCTTAACAATGTTCAGTTTCCTTTGTCTGACCACCATCTGCTGACCTTTGACATCCGCATACCCAGTTTCAAAACCCTTAACTCTCCAATCTTGCAGAAACATCCACTGTCTTGATCTCCAGCATTTCTCCACCAAACTCCAAACTCTTCTTTTACCCATCTCAACTCTAACTTGCCCTAACTCTGCAACCTCACTCTATAACTCCACTCTCTCCTCTCAACTAGACATCATGGCACCGCCTACATTTAAACACAGCAAGTGCTCCCAATTACAACCATGGCACACATAGCTGACCAGATACCATCAAAAATGTTCCAGAACTGCTGAACGCTGCTGGAGAAAGTCTCACTCTGCACCTGAATTCTTCCACTATAAATTTATGCTGCACTCCTAGAGTCTGGCTCTTTCCTCTGCAAAAGTAAATTACTTCAACACCCTCATAAGCACACTGTCCCACCAACCCAAATGCCTATTTCACACTTTTGATGCTCTTCTTGGCCCTGTTGCTCCCCCTCCTACCACCTTGTCCACCTCAAACTTTGCAACTCACTTCACTGAGATTTCTACAATTAAGGAAATCTTTCTCCCTCCCCTACCAATACATCACCCAACCCGGGTGGTCACGCTGTTCTGCTCTGCTCCGGTCCTCCCACCCCACCACCTGTTCCCTCAATCCTATTCCTCCATATCTCATCAGCACTTTGACTCCCTATCTTGCTCTTTCTCTCACCAATATTTTCAGTCTCTCCCTTTCCTCTGGCACATTTCCTTCACCCTTCAAACATGCAACCATAAACCACCCATCTTGACTCGTGTCTCTGACTGCCTCTCCGCGATTTCCAACTAGATGGTTGCTCACTTCCTTAAACTCAACCTGCTACTCATGTGTCTATCTCCCTCCAAGTTAACAGCACCACCATCATTTCTACCTTGCAGGCTTGATGCCTAGGTGTCCTCTTTGTCTCTGACCTCTCCTTCACTTCTCATTGTCCAGTCATGTCCAGTCGATCAATAAATCCTACTGCTTCCATTTTAAAAACATAGCTCTCATTCACCCCTATTTAACACCGGACGCTAAGGTCCTGGTCCATGCTGTTGTTCTCTCTCGCCTTCCCTGCAATCCCCTTCTCAGTGGTCTTAGATGTTCCCAGCTTGCACCACTGCAGTCTATAATGAATGCTGCTGCGAGGCTCATTTTCCTGTCCGCCCGCACCTCCAACGTTTCCCCACATCTGTCAGTCCCTACATCGGCTTCCATTTAGATATAGGGCTCAATGTAAGATTCTGGTGCTTGCTTACAAGCCCCTACATATTACTGCTCCAATCTACCTATCCTCCCTAATAAACAAGCTTGTCCCATCGAGGACCCTGTTCTCTGCCAAAGTAAGATCTATCCTCTCTCCATACTTCCACCTCTGATGCCCACCTTCAAGACTTCTCCATGACTGCACTTTTTCTGTGGAACTCCCTTTCCTTCTCTGTTAGAATTACACACAGTCTCCACTACTTCAAAAAAATCTTTGAAAACTCACTTCTTTGGGAAAGTGTATCAATTAACCTGTTAGCAGGTTTTCATCCTCCATAACTCCTCTCCTGCAACTGTCAAAAATTACCTATTAAGCCCTCAGTAAATACTTTTCTAGCAAACTACGTTGTTACCACTACTTATACCCTATGTGTCACAATACCCCACTCCTTTTAGCCTGTAAGCTCATTGAGCAGGGACCTCAACCCCTTTGTTCCTCTCAGTCAATTTGTCTAGTTACAATTATGTGTCTGTTAGTCCACCCATTGTACAGCGCTACAGAATTTGCTGGCGCTATGCAAATAATAAAATAATAATAATAATACATGACAATACCTTACTGACCTTAGCAACTGCTGATTGATGTTGCACATTGTTTCCTAATTTGTTGCCTATAACAATTCCAAATCCTTCTTGTGTGTTCTTAAGTAGTGCATATAAATATATACACAGGATGGCCCAAATGTGGAATTACAGTATATGAAACCTTGCTTTTTAAGTTCTAAATTCTTTTATCTGCCCTCCACCATTCTTTACAACTGCCACGGTGATATTTAAATACCTGAAATCTAACTGGCACTCTGTTGTGTGCCAGTGTGTATGTGTACCCATATAATCTGTTGTGATGAATTTCATCGATTAATTTATATATACTTACATGCACACAGATTGCAGCTATAGATCCAAATATATTATGTGAAAATAAACCAGCTCTGTAATGGGACATATGTTTAAATAATTAATCCTAATGCATATAATGTGTAATAATCCACATAAATAAAATAATATGTTCAATATAGTTCATTTTGAAAAGTACATCATACATTTGTTTTTAACGCTGAAGAATGGTTGATCAACATATATGTATTCATATTTGTATTCTATATATTATTCTAAAAAAATATTTTTTATGTGTAAGATTTGTACTTTGTAGGTGTGTGCACTTTCTGTGTATATGTACAATTGATAAAGTAACAACATTGAATTAAAAAGAAAAAAAAACATATAAAAACTGTGTGAAATAAATTCCTTATTGTTTACTTATACAGCTATACGTTGTGCCTAAAAAGAAAAAATTCACGAAGAACAACAATAATGCAATATTGCTAAAACTAAGCCCCCTTTAAAAACCCCAATTGCTGGAAGTAACAATATTGTTCATCCTATATAAATGTGTTGGACTACCTAGACAGCAAGTGGAGATCCAGCATATTGTTATAGGAATAAGTACAATTAATTTTATTTATTTACTTTTTATTCCATTATTCTGACTCTTGTTTGTTTGTTTTTTTTATCCAATATTTTTTTTTTATTACTTGGGTTTACTCCATTAAAGTTGATTTTCTAGAGTGAGGTATGTCACAAAAATTGGTGTACCCACATGTCATGTATTAAAGCCCTGGAAACATCCTAAGGTAAAGACAGTGTCAGTAAAGTTATGTGTCTCTGCATTGACCACAATCAGGAGGGAGAAGTAGTAGGTTTATGGATTACAGGAAAACTAATATTAGCTCCTTCATCACTTTGTTATTGAGTGGTGCAGGGGCATCAACATCTTCCTGTCTTTCACAGTGTTGTGCAAGTAATAAAGATTTGGTAGTACATAAGGACATTGATTGTGATGACCCTATCTTTATTCAAAGAAAAAATATTAACCCCTTTATTATTATTATATTTCACAATGATGAAGTGCATCAAAGTTTGTCAGTTAGTGAAAGCAGAACTATTCGAGGAATCTAAATAACAATTGCAATTGTTCAGTTATTAATCAGTTATTAATAGTTCTGTGCAATTTGTTTCGCTCCAAATTTAAATTCTGACAATTTTAATCAATTCGGATATTCGAATGCTTCCGAATGTCTGAATTGCCGAATTTCGGAAGTGCCAAATTTTGAAAGTGCTGAACCGAACCAAATTGCCAAATTGCTGAAATCCCTAAGTGCTGAATTTCGGAAGTGCCGAAGTGCTTCAGATTTCTGAAAGGTGACAAAACAGGAGAGGGAGGGAAAAGTAAGAGAATGATGAGAAGAATCTAACCCTAGCCCTAACCCTACCCCTAACCCTACACCTAACCCTACCCCAAACGCTAACCATACCGGTACCTCTAACCCTACCCCTAAATTTACCTCTAACCTTACTCTATCCCTAACCCTCCTTACATAGTTACATAGCTGAAAAGAGACTTGCATCCATCAAGTTCAGCATTCCTCACAAATGTTGTTGCTGTTGATCCAAAAGAAGGCAAAAAACCTGGTCTGAAGCGCTTCCAATTTTGCCACAAACTAGGATAAAATTCCTTCTTGACCCCAAAATAGCAGTCAGATGTCTCCTTGGATCAAGCAGCTATTACCCCACTAATTAGAAATTATATCCCTGTATGTTATGTTTTTGTAAGTATTTATCCAATTTCAGTTTAAACATCTATATGGACTCTGACAAAACCACCTCTTCAGGCAGAGAATTCCATATCCTTATTGTTCTTACTGTAAAAAAACCTTTTCTTTGCCTTAGATGAAATCTCATTTCTTCCAGCCTAAATGTGTGACCTCGTGTCCTATGTATAACCCTGTTTATGAATAGATTTCCAGATAAAGGTTTGTACTGGCCCCGAATATATTTGTATAAAGTTATCATATCCCCTCTCAGGCGCCGTTTTTCCAAACTAAACAGATTTAATTTTTTTAACCTTTCTTCATAATTAAAATGCTCCATTCCTTTTAGCAAGTTTGTAGCTCGTCTCTGGACCCTCTCCAGTGCCATGATATCCTTCTTTAGAACAAGCGCCCAAAATTGCACAGCATATTCAAGGTGTGGTCTTACCCCAACCTTACTCTATCCCTAACACTACCACTAAACCTAACCCTACCCCTAACCCTAACTCCACCCCTAACCCTACCCTAACCCTTACCCCGACCTTCCTCTAACCCTTACCCTACCTCTAGCCCTACCAATCAGCACCTCCTCATAGAGATGATTTGAATCAATGCATCTCTATGAGGAAAATTCAGCCTCCCCATGCAGAGCATGGGGACGCTGGACGGCACTGCTACCTACTGTGCAGCACTGAACCAGGAAGCACCTCAAGTGGCCATCTGAGGAGTTGCCTCTTGGAGGTGTCTCTACGGGCATAAAAATGCCCGAAGGTAAAGGTTTATACTCATCAGAACAACTACTTCAAAAAGCATACTTAGTCATGGATGTCGAAATAACCCTTTAAGGGAAATTTACTTTGGGAGCATCGTATCAAACTATCTATTTAGTTCTGAATTATTAACGTGTGAATGAACTGGAAAATGGCTTTCTATGTAGCTGAAATGTTGCTGCTATTTACAAGATAAAGGTAAATGGCTAAGACAGAAATAGTTAACAATAAAATGAAAAAAAGAAGAGGAAAACCGAGAGCTATTTATGCGTTTTGCACTGCTCCCAGACATTCACCTAGCCCAAAATTTTATCTGAAAGCCAAGGTAAACTGCAATACAAATTCACAGAAAGTACAACTAACAGCAAACAGATGTATACCTAAAGAAATATAAACAGAAGTCTCTCCAGAAATTATATATATATATATGAAAAGATAACTTTGAAAACTTTGGGAGCAATTTATAAATGAGGCACAGTGAACTTCTGTATGTAAAAATAATTAGCCTTCTGCCGGACATACAAATTCAGAAAACGAGATTTAATTTGGATCCATTGACACACATTTATCTGACAGCTTGACTACATTACAAAGATTACATTTCATTTGGAATCTCCACAACTTGTTCATTTGACATTTCAGTTCTTCTGAAAATCGTTCATGGAGAATATTTGGGGAAACAATTTGGACAAATCAAAAAGGGTGCAAAAATGGAGCAATTAGGGTACTGCAAAATATATACATACATGCATATATTTATACATTGATATATGTATATATATATATTACAGTACACATTTTCCATGATTTGATCCACAGATAAAATAACCATTAGAGGGAAAAAGAGGATGAATAGTACAAAAATTATATTTATATATATATTTATGAAATATATAATGTATACATGTATTAATATAGATTTGTTTTTTTGCTGCTCCTTCTTTTCTTCCCTTTTTTGGTCACTTTTCTCACTTGATCTGTGAATGAAATCAACATTTAGTGACTCTCCCCTAGCTAACAATCATCTTTTTTCCCATTAATTATCTATTTCTTGGCACCATGGACGGAACGCTGAATGCCGAAGCAAGCGAACAAGCTTATCCATCACATCAAGACTTCCATGATAATATGCATAAGAGAAACATATGATAGCATTAAGCTAAAGCTTAACTAGCAGACAGGGATATATTCACCAATGATGGGCTGAGGCAATAATGAATAAGAAAAATAGTTTAGGCAAACATAGCATAGCAGATTTTTTTTTCATTTTTAAATTTTTAGGCATTAAATGTGCCTTGGATAACAGAAAAGACTAAATATAGAGGGCTCCCACAAGGAAGTCCCTCAAATGGCTGATAAATAATGGATACACCAAAAATACAATATCTCTTGGGGATTACTTAAGCAGTATATAGGCAAGTAAGCAGTGAAAGATCCAGTATCTCTAGATAAATCTATGAATATCTTGGGGCAAAAACTGATAAGTATGAAGGCAAAAAGCTTTATTAACAAAATAATGCCCCAAAGTAACTAAAAAATACCCGGTAGCTGAATAGGATGCAAACTAAATCCCCTCCCTTTGTCCAGTAGTCTGAGGGGGTAGGTTTATAGCAATCCAAAGTCATCAATATAGTCAGCACACCCTTACGCAGAGCTTGTGCAGTCAGCATTTTCAACTTATCCTGGGGAATGCAGTAAGATCTTTATTATAAGTCTCTACCAAGTGTGACTGAAATATGATAGCTTTTTTATTTTATTTAAATATAAAGATAATGAAATGCAATGAGTATTCTCACCCATATTCTGCATTTTATCATTAATCCAATTGATTTATAAAAGAAATACCATTTATATGATAGTTTCATACAGTTCTCATAGTATATGAAATGTAAGGTCCCAAAGTTACTGTATTTAAGGTTTAGGCTATTCTAGTTCTATATGTATGTCAGATTATTTTTCATGTGTATGCTTACACTGTCACAACGTGCATGGAGAGGCAGGCGCACCACACTCATTTACCCGGCACTTACCGCGGCAGAGGCTCCAAGTGAGTCTTGGTGTCTCAGCCGCCATTGAGGTCTGCCACTTCTCTGTGGTACACCGCAAGTGTAAATGTCTTGTGTGCTCTATGGCATGCCTTCCCTTCGGCAGGTATTCTGTGTGGTTCTCTATCTGCTGTTCCCAACAGTGTTTCGGGATCCCCTGAGGGTGTCAGAACACTGGGGGATCCAGTTAGGAATGTATGATAGCAGTGTGTGAAGCAGCAGGATGACAGTCCAGAATAGTGCCCCACCTACAAAGTGTGCATAAAAGCCTGAGAGTGAACCATCTATTTAAATAGATGAGAGGGCTTTCTCTCCCCTATTTAAAAACCAGGCCATCCTAGGTTCTTTGCCCAGATGTCTTGTAAACTCCCTAGAGGTTACAAATCTACCCTACCTTGGATTTCTGAGTTAACCCTTGCCTGGTCTTGCCTTAGATTCCTGACTTAACCCTTGTCATCCTGACCCTGCCTTGAATTCTGGACTTAATCCTTGCCTGCCTGGTCCTGATTGGACTATCCTGCTAAAAACTATCCTTTTACTTTCATGTGCTGTTTGGCCTTGGCCCTGGATTTTCCTGCCTACTGTGACATATTTTTCAGAGGCTTCTTGTTAAGTGACTTTTCTTTGTTCTTTCTCTAAATACCGAGCCCATTCACCCCAAACTGTTACATGTACACTGTATCATTTATATAATGATATGCCTATTTGACTAATTTAGTATTCGTGTAGCAAACTGAATAATGTTATCAGATTGTACTTTAACAGGTTTACAACATTCATCCTATTGTCTTCATGAAACATATCTACCAAAATAAGCCAAAGTATTTAGATTTCAATGAGCCCATTCACCCCAAACTGTTACATGTACACTGTATCAGTTATATAATGATATGCCTATATGACTAATTTAGTATTCGTGTAGCAAACTGAATAATGTTATCAGATTGTACTTTAACAGGTTTACAACATTCATCCTATTGTCTTCATGAAACATATCTACCAAAATAAGCCAAAGTATTTAGATTTCAATGAGCCCATTCACCCCAAACTGTTACATGTACACTGTATCAGTTATATAATGATATGCCTATATGACTAATTTAGTATTCGTGTAGCAAACTGAATAATGTTATCAGATTGTACTTTAACAGGTTTACAACATTCATCCTATTGTCTTCATGAAACATATCTACCAAAATAAGCCAAAGTATTTAGATTTCAATGTATAAGGTTTATTTTATTTACTTTTAGCATAGATTTTCCACTTGTTAAAGTTTTTAGTTTTTTAAGAACAGATTATATATAATTACAATATTTTGTGGTACAATATTTGAAATTAATTTTTATTTTTTACACATGGAAGTAATATTTAACAACACCGCCACCGAGTGTTCATAGCCAACAATATCAAAGAATAACATGATTAGGTTTAAAGGGGAGCAGTCACTTATAGAGGCAATATAGAGAAAGCATACGTGAAAGAGGAGAAATTGCACAATGTTTCTTTCTCTATTCTTCATTTATAATGTTTTTCTTTCACTTCCCCAAACTGGATTATGATACCATTTGCTAAATCGTTCATATATTTTAAAAGAAAACAGAGCATCTCAAAAAAGGTTAAAACATTTTCAGTTATAAAAGTTCCAGAAAAGTGACACATCAGTAAGTGTGAATGTATAGGTAGTTGGCCCCTTAGGGTAACGCACAGGTTTTATCAGGATACAGATAATCAAAGTACGACAATACAGCATTGTTACCATCAGCTGTTTTGAAGCCATATAACAGATCATACAGATATCAAAGCATCATTAGATTTATACAATAAAGGGAAAGCAGTCTGTTGGTTGCCTTTTAGTTATGAATTCTAAGGAAACCATACATTATTACTTTTTATAAAATTACATTAATGTTACTTTTATTTCACTAAAAATATCAGCATGACAAAGAAGCAGAAAGCACCCAGGAGAAAGATAAATGATACAGATGTGACATTCTGCTTATTGACAACTCGAGATTTTGTTGATTTTACGATACGATCCCTTGTAGTTAGGATTTGTTTTCTAGCTTGATTCCATTTCCCAGGGCCAGTGAGCCGGTATTGAACTGGTGTACAGGGTCCAAAGAACAGCTCGACAGCAAGAATGGGGTCTGTCAGAAACAACTGCCAAATATTAGGCTTTACTCCAATATCAGAAGCCAGGTCATCTAAGTATTCAATAAAATCCACCTGCAAACGGTTCTCCCTTGTTGTGCCAAACCTGTTGTTACAAAATTGTTTTTAGAAATTAGCCAATTAAGTTTGATTTTGAACCACAATATATAAGAAATACCAAATTCAGTGTATGCTTTGGTGTATACTGTGTACATACTGGAAATATTGAGTTGCTACTTTCTGAAAGTCTAGTAATTTAAAGTTAGAATACTAATTGGCATACCGTGCAAAAAGGAGAACTCTAAAACCAAAACCACTAGTGCCCATTGTAAGTGGTAAGTACCCCACCACAGTGTAAGTAGTTAAAGGATCGCTATAGGGTCAGGAACATAAACATTTATTCCTGACCCTATTGTGTTAAAACTACCATCTAACCCCTCTGGGCCCCTCATGTCTCCATAATTATAGCAAAATCTTACTGTATTCAATCCTGAAGCTGTAGTTCTGCATTATGTTTGCCTCAGAAAAACAAGCTGTCTGCTTACATCATCAGAATTGGTGGCCTGATCCAATCACAATGCTTCCCCATAGGATTGCTTGAGACTGACAAGGAGGCATATCAGGGGCAGAGCCAGCATGATTCAAACACAGCCCTGGCCAATCAGCATCTCCTCATAGAGATGAATTGAATCAATGAATCTCTGTGAGGAAAGTTCAGTGTCTGCATGCAGAGGGAGGAGATACTGAATATTTGGATGCATTTTAGGGAGCCATGACACAGGAAGGATTTCTAACAGCAATCTGAGGAGTGGCCAGTGACAGGGGCATACCTAGAGCATTTGGCACCCGGGGCAGATCCTGGGCTTGGCACACCATCACCCCCCCCCCCCACACCTCCTCCTCCAAAAAAACCTGTAACATGTTTTAAATGTTTTCCTTTTTTTTTTTATGTATTGAGCAAATTTGGAAACTTTGAAAACCGCTGTCAGCCCCCTTCTACAAAACCCTTGTGTGCCCCACCCCCTCCTTCAAAACCCCTGTCCAACCGGGTACAAATCATGTACTGCCCCCCGTCTACAAAACCCCTGCAACCCCCATCTACAAGTCCCATTATAAAGACTCCTGTCCCAATACAAAACCCCTGCCCCCTTCTACAAAATCCCTGCAGCCCCACACACACATTTACAGGCAGACAGTCACAGGCAGACAGTCACACAGACAGTCAGAGACAGTCATGCACACAGTTACAGGCAGACAATCACATATACATTCACACACACACACGCTCACAGGCAGACAGTCACACACACACACAGTAAAAGGCAGCAGCAGACAGTCACATGCACACAGTCACAGACAGATAGTCACACACGGTTACAGGCAACATCAAACAGTCACAGGCAGACAGTCACACATACATAGTCACATGCAGACAGTCACACAGTCACACACACAGTTATAGGCAGACATTTACACACACCGTCAGTTACAGGTAGTCACACAGAGTCATAGCAAGGCAGTCACACACAGTTATTGGCAGACAGTCACATATACAGTCACACACACCCACAGTCACAGGCAGAGAGTCACACACACAGTTATAGGCAACATCACACAGTCACAAGCAGATACACACACACACACACACCATTACAGATAGACAGACACACACATACAGTTACAGGCATGCAGTCACATATACAGTCACACACACAGTTACAGGAATGCAGTTACACACACAGACACACACATACACAGTTACAGGTAGACAGACACACACACACAGTTATTGGCAGACAGTCACATATACAGTCACACACACCCACAGTCACAGAGAGTCTCACACACAGTTATAGGCAACAAAACACAGTCACAGGCAGACACACACACACACACCGTTACAGGCAGACAGACACACACATACAGTTACAGGCATGCAGTCACACACACACACATACACAGTTACAGGAATGCAGTTACACACACAGACACACACATACACAGTTACAGGCAGACAGACACACACACACACAGTTACAGGCATGCAGTCACACACTCACACACACACACATACACAGTTACAGGCAGACAGTGACACACACACACAGTTACAGGGCTGTAATGTAAACACTGCTTTTTCTCTGAAAAGACCGTGTTAACAGCAAAAATCCTGAAGGTAATGATTCTACTCACCAGAACAAATTCAATAAGCTGTAGTTGTTCTGGTGACTAGAGTGTCCCTTTAAAACATTTTAGAACAGTGTGACAACTTACCTGACCCAGGCCAACTCTCAGGTTGAGAGTATAGGCTGAGAGTTTCTTTTGAGTGCCAGCATCAATTGTCAAATGCCAAATGTCTAAGGAGTCAACACTCAAGTTACATGGAAAATCGAAAATAAGTTAAAGGAGGAGGTTGAGGGGAATTGTTTGTAAAGGCTTTACAGGGATATGATGAAATATCACTAGCACAGCATTTTACAACCATTTGGATGTTAGTGCTAATCATATATCAACCACATGTTCCCATGTTGCTTAGGTAGCTTAGGCCATTAAATGGCTGAATATCATGGGTTTCAGCAGGGCCGGACTGGGAAAAAAATTTGGCCCGGGCATTTTTTTAACACAGCAGCCCAATAAGAAGGGGGCGGGGCAGAGGAGGTGTGTTTTGTCATCACCAATGACAAACACGCCTCCTCTCAAAGTGAGCATGTTGGTTCAATGCTGCTGAAGAGCTCTAGCATGAGAAAAAAGCTCTGTATTTGTTCTGCACAGTGCAAGCAAATTTAATAACATGCTTGCACTGTGTTTCCTTTCAACTTGTCTCTGGTGTCTCTATAAATGGATACCAGGAGACAAAAGGACCAGGAAAGAGTATTGTGCATGTGTTTGGAGCCTGCTTGTGGTATTGCGTGTGTGTAGAGTGAGCTGATTGTGGTGTGGTATTGTGTAATAAGGTTGGTTTTAGTCATGTTGTGTTTGTGGTGTAAAGTGGTGCAATGTGATGCATATGTGGCTATGGGCTGTAGATAATGTGTGTATTGGGGATATAGCAAGTGTGTGCATACAGGCTATAGTGTGTGTGTGTGTGTATAGGTGATGTAGTGTGTGTTTAGGGGTGTAGTATGTGTTTGCTTACAAGGAATCTAGTGTGTGTATAGGGGATCCAGAGGGTGTATGTTAAGAGTGTAGTGTGTGTGTATGTGTGTGTATGTGTGTGTATGTGTGTGTGTATATATATTTGGAAGTATTGTGTATGTGTGTGGTGCAGTGTGTTGGGGGGGTTCTGTGTGTGTGTGAGGGTGCGGTGTATGTGTGTGTGTGAGGGTGCGATGTGTGTGAGAGTGCCGTGTGTGTGTGTGATGTGTGTGAGAGTGCCGTGTGTGAGTGATGGGTGTGAGAGTGCTGTGTGAGATGGGTGTGAGAGAGTGCTCTGTGAGAGTGCTGTGTGTGATGGGTGTGAGAGTGCTGTGTGTGTGTGAGTGCTCTGTGAGAGTGCGCTGTGTGTGATGGTGTGAGAGTGCTGGGTGTGAGAGTGCTGTGTGTGATGGGTAAGAGAGTGCTGGGTGTGAGTGGTGGGTGTGAGAGTGCTGGGTGAGAGTGCTGTGTGTGATGGGTGTGAGAGTGCTGTGTGAGAGAGTGCTGTGTGTGATGGGTGTGAGAGTGCTGTGTGAGAGAGTGCTGTGTGTGATGGGTGTGAGAGTGCTGTGTGTGATGGGTGTGAGAGTGCTGTGTGAGAGAATGCTGTGTGTGATGGGTGTGAGAGTAAATGTTAGAATGGATTGTGTATGTGTTGGGGGGGCAAAAACAAAAACAGTTCCCTGGCAGTGTTTCCTGGTGGTCCTCGTGGGTGAGTGAACTCTAGCTTGTGGGGCTAGAGTTCACTCTCGCGAGATCCGGTCGTTGCCATGGCAACGCGCCGGATCTCGCGAGAGGAACCCGGCGGAGCTGCAAGTTAGAGCTCCTCTCCTGGCGGCTGTCTGCCTCTCTCTCGTGGCAAACAGCGGGGCCGGCGCTAGGAGAGTGCCGGCCCTGCATAGACCGGCAAGGGAGATCCTGGGACCTCCCCTGCCGGCCTCGGCCCATGGCCACCGCGGCCCACCGGGCATTTGCCCGGTGTGCCCGATGGCCAGTCCGGGCCTGGGTTTCAGATATCTGGGTGACACTCATATGATTAAGGCAACCAGGATTCTACAGCAGTAGCAGATCGCACAAAAAAAGAGAGGAAAAAAATCCCCCCAAAACAGGCAAGTTGCAACTACGGCAATGTAAATACCTAAAGCTTGAGAACCATTAGCCCACATGATAATCTGGAACTAAGCCAAAGGAGAGGCAGGAGGCAGCACAACTGTCTAGGGAGAGAAGTGCCACACAGACAGGCACATTGGTATAAGTAAGAAATAAATAATATAATTTCATTTTTTATGACATCGAAGAAGGGTAGACTAACTGCTGGAAATCAACCTCTGTTCATACTATTTTGACTGCTTTTGAGTACTACATACATTACTCATAAACTAATGATTTTCAAAAGCTTTCTATTTTAAACTAATGATTTTCAAAAGCTTTCTATTCAATTTTTATGAACTGAATAAGAAGTAACAAAACCAGTTTAATGAACGTAAGCTTACTTTGACCCATATTTCTATTTTGATCCACTGTATACTTTTTAATAACAAGTAAAATATGTTTTAATAACAATTAAAACATAGGACACGAGGTCACACATTTAGGCTTGAAGAAAGGAAATTTCAACTAAGGCAAAGAAAAGGTTTTTTTTACAGTAAGAGCAATAAGGATATGGAATTATTTGCCTGAAGAGGTAGTTTTGTCAGAGTCTATGCAGATGTTTAAACTGCAATTGGATAAATACTTGCAAAAACATAACATACAGGGATATAATTTCTAATTAGTGGAGTAATAGCTGCTTGATCCAAGGAGACATCTGACTGCTATTTTGGGGTCAAGAAGGAATTTTTTCCTAGTTTGTTGCAAAATTGGAAGCGCTTCAGACTGGGTTTTTTGCCTTCTTTTGGATCAACAGCAAAAACATATGTGAGGAAGGCTGAACTAGATGGACGCAAGTCTCTTTTCAGCTATGTAACTATGTAACTATGTAAAACACCTTTTAGTGAAGGTTTCCTTTTTCTTCGCAATATCATCCAATACTTTATTCACTGATGGGTACCTGCATATGCCTGCAACATAAAAACATATTATAGCAAAAAATACAAACTGGAAATCTTTCTGAGAGGTATTGTAAATTTTACTTAGAATTCAGCAGGTGAATCTCTAAATTCAGTAAATGTGCTATAATATAGTCTTTTTTGTACTCTATAGAAAAATATCTAATCCCTCAGACTTTGAATTAGAATTGGAGAGATTGTACTTGTTGAAATAGAAGTTGCTCACATTTTTACACTTTAGTACATATTTACATTGTTACTTTATTTTTAAATAGCCAATTTAGCAATATAAAATTGTAATACGAAGGTGACATAGCACAGCAAAGGGGAGCACCCATGCCACAAAGAGGGTATGTGCTAAACAGAAAATTGATAGGATTTAAAATGTTGGTGGCATGACTGGTAGGGGATAGATGATAACAGTCATGACTGTAAAACCTAAACATTTATTCACAAACAAAATAAGGTCCTAAGAATAACTGTGATTGGTAAATAATGAAGCTCCTTCATGAATCAAAATAAAACCATCTGCAAAACTAGTGTTTTTCTCTGACTAATCAGTTTTAGGCTAACAACTTCTAAGTTCTGTGGAGCTATTGATTAACCAGGAATTGTGGGTAAATACTAATGGAAGTGAAAATGATAGAGTAAAAGCCGCAAACACTATATTAAGCACATTGTAGTTAAGTGTTCACCATTGAAATTAAAAAATATATATATATTAACATTCACAAAGGCATATAATGGAAAATAACACAGGGGGAGCCAAAACAAATTTTTTAAGAATGCATTTCACACCTTTCAGTATTTAGTTTAACGAATATTTTTTTTTTTTCATTTCTATGATGTGTTTAATGCAGTGTTTGCATCTCATATTCTGTGTGTGGAATTGGAACCTCCTTGTCTGGGGTCTCCCCAGTTAGGTGGTAAGCGAGACCCTTGCATTTGTATATACATATATTTTGCACTCTGCTTTCATCTTCATTTTTTCAAGTTTCTATATGCCTAATCAAGCACATTTGTTATTTGAAAAAAAATAAGCCAAAAAGCCCAAAGTGAAATAATTCTCCATCTTAGCTATTGAGTCTCCTAAATTCTCCATTTCCATTTATCTTTCTATTTAGCCACGCCCTGCTTAGCGAATAGCCCTACATATTAATAGACAAATCCTAAACCATCTAGTAGAGCAGTAGGCAAGCATTGATTCACAGCTCCTATCATCACACTATTACACGTAAAAAAATTAAATTGCTAGTATGAAAGCAAATTTAAATTGGGCAGACTATATGGGCCGAATGGTTCTTATCTGCCATCAGATTCTACGTTTCTGTGTTTCTATGTTTCAAATATCTATATATATATATATATATATATCTATATATTATAAATAAAACATGCTGATTATTCTTATTTTTTAGATTTTTAATATCATATTTACTCTCTCATTACTGGTCTTGTGTTCTAAAGACATAATATTTCACAGCTGGTGAGAAAACAAGGATGCTACCTCTACAGTAGGCAAGCATTGATTGACAGCTCCTATCACCTAAAGACACACTATTACATGTAAAAAATTAAAATTGCTAGTATGAAAGCAAATTTAATATGGGCAGACTATATGGGCCGAATGGTTCTTATCTGCCATCACATTCTATGTTTCTGTGTTTCTATGTTTCAAATATCTATATATATCTATATATATTATAAATAAAATATGCTGATTATTATTTTTTAGATTTTTAATATATTTACTCTCTCATTACTGGTCTTGTGTTCTAAAGACATAATATTTCACAGCTGGTGAGAAAACAAGAATGCTACCTCTACAAAGCATTATTATTGGTAAATTTATATCTAAAAATATTTTAGTATGTAATCAACAGCGTAAAGAAAATGTAACAAAACATTGTAATTTTTTTAATACTAATTAATCTATACACATGCTGAGTTCTCAGGTAGAACTTTAAGTGGTCAGCAGAAAAGCTTGCTACAAATCTATACAATTAATAATGTATACGAACCTGTAATAGTTATCTGATTTCATCAAAATATTGTAATCTCTAGTGACAGTGTCTAGTGATCAGTTTTCATTTTGTTTCAATTAATTTCTAAATTCAGATGGTCCTTCTTTATCTTACCTTTGATTATACTGGTTAACCATCGAGCTTGAAGTTCTGATGTTGGCATTATAGGACCAAGAGGTTGAATAAGGCCTATAATACCCAATGTTGGTTTCTCAAGATTTGGAGGAATGACACATTTGTATAGATCTGCTTTATTGGTCTCAATATTGGTCAGTGACTCATCCAGAAATGGAAAAGAATATGCATATCCTGTTGCAAATATGATTACATGAATGTCTTCCTCAACTGTTCCATCATTAAATGTCACTGCAGTTTCACTGAATTCCTTCACGTTTGGCTTCACTGTCACAAACCCACATGTTATACGGCTAGGAATTTCATCATTCAGCAAAGGCTCTTTAAACTGGGTTCTATAAAAAAAGTGGAATTGTAAGAAGATATTAAAATGTATACATATGAACATTATGATGTAAAACTAAGAGGGTTATTTTCTAAACTGTTAGTTATCAGGACATCAGTACGGTATATTGAAAATTTCCAAATGAGTTGGAAATGTCTTCCCAATTCATATTTGTTGCCCTAAAATTTTAAATAACCTGATTGATTCCATTCAATTCAAAATTTAGTATATTAGCATATATCCAATTAGCATTCTCTGCAGAGGAGGTTTTGCTAGCATAAAGAAATCTTTTGTTTTGTTTTTTAATCCTGAAAGCATCCAATGTAAGTTTTAAATGTGCATAATGTTTTTCTATACTCTATAATGACCCAGCAATATTTAACCTGCAATTGGTCTAACCTACAATCTAGACATTTATTTTTTTTTTGTTTATATTTTATTCTATAGATTTTTGAACATATTATATGTTTAGTAGTAGAAATGTAGATAAACAATGTGGCTTGAGTGCCCTAGGGTCATTCCAGCATAATCTGTCAAAATGTTTTTGCACAGTTTGGCACTTACCTTGGTCTCACCATACAGACTTACTGCTTCTGGTCCTCTCAGGCAGGATAAGCCAGATGCTGATGTAAATGTGCAGTCATTGACTCAGGATATCCGCTAAGTGTTCTCAGCCAATGAAGGAGTTCTGGTATTGTAATAAATTGATATCCAGTTTCTATATCTCTGAGAAAACGGAAAGTAGCATGGACAATGCAAGACTTAGGGTAGTGTCAAACTGTGTGAAAATCTTTGACAGATTACCGTGAGAACGGTATAATAACTACAACAGCAGACTGCAGTGGCTATGATGTTTTGCGGTCTTCATAATAATTTTTTTTCTGTTTATAACAGTTTCATTCATATAGTGTACAATGGTTTTGAAGATCAAAGAAGTTAAGGTGAATTCCAATATGTTCCTGAAAATGTTGGTCCCTTGAAAAAAAAATGATATCCAGTTCTCCAGTACATTTTTAAAATGCTACACATTTAAAGAAACCTAAAGTAGAAAAGTTCTTACACTTAATCACAGGCAGATAAGCTATATGAAGATGCATGAAGATGCACACACCCTGTGTGGCTGAAAAGCAAAATATGTGTTTTCAAGTTAAAAATATCTTTGTAATAAACAGTCAAATTAGCAATCTATAGTGTTTCATTTCCATAATTATAATCAAAGATATTGTGCACATTTATATAATAAACTATACCATAATTTGAGTTTTTCATTAAGAGCGAGTAAGCATTTTATGAGGTCTTCTAGAAAAATCTACTTGCATACCCCTTTTAAGATCACCATATTTTGGAACCCATTTAATTTTTTTTATTGCACATTTACCTTTATAAATAGTATAAAAATGGGCTTGAGCATTGAACTTGATGTACTTTAGTCTTCATTCAACATAGACAATGTAATTACATAATTCATGTGTCTATAACCTCATTATGAACCTTGACAATGTGCAACTATAGAGATTTCATCCAACTTCAAATATTTGTTACGTGCAAATATAGTCTAATGGCGCAGTACCACTTGCAGTGTACCTGTCACAAGGCTGAAGACCAAAGTTTGCATGATCAAACCATGTATTCATTTTCTTCTCTGTCAACCAGCCAATAATTGGAGTTGGAAGTGTATTCCTGATCCAGTTCTGAAATCTTGTGTCAAAACAAATATCCCAAGGGAAACCTTGGTCATAGACACGGCTCATTACCCATGCTCCTCTTCTAGTGCTGAGAAACACCTACATGGACATTAATAATGTATTATTATCACATATGTAGTGCCAATATATCCCATAGCCCTTTATCACTATAAAACAGGAATATATTACAGCACCTAATTGACAAACAAAATTATGTTGACAGATATAATAGGCAACGAGGATCCTGCTCAAACAAGTTTTCAGTCTAGGAGATATGAGTTAATTAATGCTATATCCATTGGTAATGGAATTTAAACCTGAGATGCTCTTACTTTGGCACCTTTCACTTTAGTGTTATGATCGGTGAGAAGTTGGAGAGAAATGCTTAATTACTTGCTGTCACCCCATCCTCTCTCCCAGCATATTAGTCACCAGTGAGAGATTAAATTAATGGCAGACATATCCAGTTGCTTAACTGAAATTAGGCACGCCTCAAGGACAGTATCAGTGTTAGTCACACTATACATTTGTCATGCCTGGTAGTACTTACCTGTGCTTAGGCATGACATCCATGAGGTAGGGCCATGGTGGTCCTGGCCTCTGTTGCTCCATCTCAGCACACTGCTGCCCTTCCAGTGAGGCATGCTGGCAGGGTGCCTGTGTCAGCAGCACCACATCCAAAATGGCCAACATAATGTGGTGCCCCTGAAGGACCATGGAGCAGCAGTGGATTCAGTTGTGGAAAAGAGAAGGGACAGTGAAGCATCCAATATGTTGCAGAGTTCTGGGCTTAATTTATGGAAACTACTTGGACTCCACCTACAGGTAAGAACCGGTCATATGACCCTATTGACCTAAAAAAAAACAGCTCTCATCCCAGTAGTTGCTTTGATGTTTTGCAGCTTGCTACTGTCGTGGTGTGCTATTGTCCTGTTCTTACCCCACCTCCACAGTTGTCTCTATTGGCCAATTACCTTTGGCTTTTTTCCTGACTCTATTACTTCTCTGCCTGACCTATGGACCTCCTGACTATGCCTTTGTCTCGCCCCTCGTTAGATATATTGCTCTATATTAAAGCCCCAGTGATTCTGCAAACCTATCAGAACTCATTCTCCAGTTCCAGGCCTCTCCTGAGGGTCCTGTTAGTAAGGGAGTGCTGTTCCCTGCATCAGAGTTCCATCGCTCTAACCTAGAGTTACAGCATTACAGTTTTTGTGCTTTATGCCACCCAATTTACAGTACAGCATTTGAAAACATGATCTGCCCATTGAAACAATGGGTCAATCTTATAAGAGTAGTTTAAGGTTAGGATAGTGTAAGACCTGCCAGAATAGGGAAAAATTTGGTAATTTGGATAAAAATATGTTTAACAATTGATCTAACATAAGTCCATATAATTTTCTCAAATGTATAGACCATGCCAGCAGGTACAATGTTGGGCAAGTAGTACCTGTACCTTAATCTGTTGTTGAAATACTTGTATTCAAACTAAATTCATTAGTTAATGCAGTTTAGAAAATGTTTATTAAGAACAAGCATCTGTTCTCAAAAAGATCATCTTGAAATGTTTACAAAACGCTTTGAAAAATATACTGTCAATAATTCGTGCCAGAAGTCACTCAGACTAGGTTTCCATTTAAATTTAAAAATAATTTTTTTGGACAAATAAACAAAATATCAAAATGTTTTTAGGATGGAGTAAATTATTAAGTGTCAAATATTTAGTGAGATAATTAAATTATTTATATATGAAACTGAGGGTATACACGTTTAGTTAAGTAGTCATGGGAGGTTCATAAAAAAGGAAAAAAGGACTAAATATGTATTAAAGTGAAACAATCACGAATTAAGGTTATTTTCTAACATAGCACATACTGTTTATTTAGGTGAGCTATAGATACGATTAACATGCAAAGTGTAATGTATTGTGCTACATTCTTGGTACCCAAATTTGGACTAGCTCAGCTGCCACTCCTCGTATTGTTACATCACTAATATTCACCTCGACCAAGACCCCCAACGATGAGTTTTGATAATTTTAAAGAAGCAACAAGAATACGAATCAGGAAGGTAGTGTGTGGCAATAAGTAATAATCTGTTATACAACTCTTCCAATAATATTGGTTGAAATAATACAATTTTAACAAGGAATTGTGAAAACATTTTAAATTCACTTTGAATTCACCTCGAATGCTCACTTTAATGAATATTTTATTCACAGATCAAGTGAGAAGTTACAAATAAAGAGGAAAAAGAAGGATAAGTGAAACAATAAAAACTCTATATGTATATGTTTATATACATATATAATATATTTACTGCTCCTTCTGTTATCCATTTGTTGGTTACTTTTTTCCCACTTGATCTGTGCACAAAATGGAGATAAAATGTTCCTCAGTGTACTGCAAAATAGATATGTAATACTATATTATGTATATATTTTGCAGTACAACAATTGCCCATTGGTTCGCCTGATTCATTTCCCATATCAGTTTTCCAGTACTGAAATTCTGTCGAGCTAAACAGACATATGTTTGGCCATCCAGAATATTTATTTATTTAAAAAAAAAAATGTTCTGACCAAACCAAATCTTCTTGCCATGCACAAGCTTAGCTTTCATCAATCCAATTTCAGGCAAAAAGTTTAAAAAAAGAAAATATTCAACACTATTGTCACCCTTCCAGAGAGAAAGAGAAAGAGAGAGAGAGAGAGAGAGAAAGAGAGAGAAAAGAAATAAAAACAAAGGAAAGGAAAGAATGTTACCTGAGAAGCAGTTCGACTGATTTCAACAGCAATGTCAGCAGCCGAATTTCCCATTCCTACTATGAGAACTCTTTTTCCTTCAAATCCATGTGAGTTCTTGTATTGTCGACTATGAAAATATTCGCCTTTAAATCTTTTTATGCCTAAGAATTAATAATGGTATGTTAATCGCTACACTACACACATACACAGATTGGAATACACTACACTACACACATCCAAAGACTGGAAAAATACCATGATCACTAAGTAGAAATGGAATAAAACTTAACCTTTATTTGATATATGTTTAAGAGTGGAAATGTATTAGTTAAAAGAGAGCAGAATCGATATACTACTGCCACATTGACATAAAAACGTGAAAACTGAGTGAGAACTAGATCTAGTGTGAACAGAATATTATTTACACGTGTGAAAATAGACAACAAAAACAAGTAACTAGATATATACAAAATATATACAGTGGTGTTAAGGTCTACATAATGTAGATACGGAACCTAATCCTAATTATCGAAGGATACTCTAATTAAGGTAATGATGGCTCTTTGACAAGCTGGTAGATCCAACTGAGTATACAGGTTAGGTAGGCAAAGTGTAAAAAGCATGGAAGTACTATAGTGAAACAGTACAAAACCTAAGAGCAATAATGTTGCAAGCAGGTTATCCTAATTCCAGGCAAGGGGAACCACAACTAAGTAGTGCTAACAGATGAGCATCTATTGCCTAATAAAGTTAACTCTAAAATATACACCAAAGTAATACATTTGGTTCTGCCAGCACTCTGGGGATAAGTGTCACTGTCTTGTGTCTACAGGGACACCCGGGCTGGAGAAATAAGTCAAAGCTAGTTGTCTCATGGATACAAGATAGCAAAACAATTAGACAAGGTCATGAAAATTAAAGTTCCTGCTGAGCTTAGAAAAAGTTTGAGGATGTTGAGTGAGGGTAATATTAGAAGATATAGTATGAGGTAGTCATTTTAGACAGAAAATGGAGTATAAGAGGTGCAAAAGAGGATGTAATGAAAATATATGTAGAAGTTACTGAGAAAAAAAGATGAGTTAGTTGGAATGTTGAAGAACCCCAAGGATGAGATATTGAGTATTAGAGGACATTAAGTGGGAAAGGAAGGCAGAAAAATTAGAAAAATAAGAGGGAAGTCAGGGAGTGATGTGTAACAAAAATGCAAGTAGAGTTGGGTTTGAACAAGTGTATTTGAGTGGACTTCAAACGAAGAAAAGGAGAGTAAAAAACAGGGGGCAGTGGTTTGAAGTAGCACTAGATGATATTTAAAAACTCCACCCCACCACCTTTGCTGTTACATGGTGTTGAAGTTTGAGTAAATTAAAGACAGGGCCATCATACCGCATGGGAATGCTGGGCAATTGCCCAGGGGCCCTACCAGCATAGGGACCCCACAGCAATGCCCATGGGCTGACAGGGAAAATCCTTTCATCTTCTCTGCTGGCTCTGTTCACTTACATACATAGATGCATACATACATACATGCATACAGACACACACACACACAGAAACAATCACACACACACACATACAGAAAGACCCACACACACAAAGAATCAGTCAGACATGCACCCTCCTGTTTACTACCTATTAGATGCAGGAGGGTGACTTCCCTGGGGTCCAGTGGCTCAGGCTGATGGGTGTCAGAGTTCCCAGAGTTCTCCTCTCCTCCTCTTCCTCTCGTGTGGGCTCTACATAAGCTGGGAGGTGTGACAAAGGCAGTCACTTCCTCCTAGCACAGTCTGACTTCATTACTTACTGTGTGCCTGTCAGGGTTTCTCTGCTATTTTAAACAGCAAACCTTCCATTCTCTGTGTCTGAGATATTCAGCTGCCTTTAATGAACAGCTCCTTCATTACTGTTTCCACAGTTACTCACCTGGTTGTTAGTAGCCAGCCCTGTTGCTAATCAGTGCGGCCCTTATAAGCAGCAAGTGCCAGTACTTCCTTGCCCTTGCGTGGTTACCTGTTTTCCAGAAGACTTACTGTTTCCTGTGTATTCCTGGTTCCTGACTTTTGGCCTGGTTCCTGACTCTGCTGCTTTCCATTATCCTGATTCCGGCTCATCTGACTACCTGCTTTGGTGACTGACCCCTGCTTGCCTCCTGGAATTTGTTTTTGTTTTATCTCATTTTTTGCAATTTTTTAATAAAGGTGTTTTGCATTTACGTTCTGTCTCTGTTTTGTTTTTGGTCCATAACACTTTCTTAGGCCACTGAGGAGATCAAAGATCTTCCTCACTGGCCCACTTGCACTTTGTTAGGTGAGAAGACAGGAGGAAAGTAGGACCCAGGAGGCTCTGTGTTCCTCTCACGAGCAGGAAGGTCAGAGTGTTGCCGCACATTACCATGGCAACATTTCGACCCAGCACTTTGTTCGTGGTAGAAGTAAAGGAACCTTCCCTCGCTACCACCAGACCATTAAGGCTTGCAGGGATTGCCTCCCCCCCCTTTGCCAAAGGGGGGGAGCATTATTATATTTTTTATAAAATCATAATAAAATATACATGTTCTCCCTTATCCTCCCTTACACTCACAATGGACCCCTTACACACTGTACTCATCAGCCCTCACACACATACACTGCACTCCTCACACACACTTCAATCCTAACACACTCATACTTTGCCTTCATACACAAAAACACACTGCACCCCTCACACCCCCACACACTGCACCCCTCACACATACACAGCACCCCTCACACACACACACACACACACACAAACACACACACACACACACACAAACACCTAATCCTAATCCCCTCACACTCACTGCACACACTGAACCCCTCACACACTTTGCACTTACTGCACCCCTCACACACACCCTACACTCACACACACACATACTGCACCCCCCACACACACATTGCACCACACACACGCACACACACAAATTGCATTCCACACACACACAGTCTGCACCCCTCACACACATTGCACCCCACACACACTGAATGCCACACACATACTGCACCTCTCACACACACACTGCACCCCTCATACACACTGCACCCCAACACACACACTGCACCCTGACACACACATACACACTACACCCATCACAAACACTGCATCCCTCACAACAGTCAGCCTGTGTGTGTGTTTTCAGCAGTCTGTGTGTTAATTCAACAATCTGTGTTTATTCACCTGTCTTTGTGTGTATTCAGCAGTCTGAGTGAGTGTATTCAGCAGTCTGAGAGTGTGTTTAGCAGTCTGTGTGTGTTCAGCAGTCTGTGTATGTATTCAGCAGTCTGTGTGTGTGGTCAGCAGTCTGTGTGGGTGTTTGTAGCAGTCTGTGTGTATTCATCAGTCTGTATGTTTGTTCAGTAGTCTGTGCATGTTAAGCAGTCTATGTATGAATTCAGCATTCTGTGTGTATCCATCAGTCTGCCTGTGTGTGTATTTCACAGTCTGTGTTTGTGTGTTATGTGTGTATTTGTGTATCTATGTGTATTTAGCAGTCTGTGTGTGTGTATTCAGTGGTCTCTGTGTGTCTTTGGCAGTCTCTATAGTTATTCCGCAGTCCATTTGTGTATTTAGCAGGCTGTGTGTGTATTTAGCAGTCTCTATGTATATTCATCAGTCTCTTTGTGTATTTAGCAGTCTGTGTATATTCAGCAGTCTATGTATGTAGTCAGCAGTCTGTGTGTATATGTAGCAGTCTGTGTGTATGTATTTAGCAGTCTGTCTGTGTACTCAGCAGGCTGTGTGTGTATATATGCATGTGTGTATTCAGCAGTCTTCAGTTTATTTGTGATATGGCATGCATGCATTCCAAAGAGCATATCTGGAATAGTTTTAAGATTTAATTCAACTAAATGTTAGTGATTTTTCATCTCACCAGGAAAGGATTCCAATGGATAAAATGGTTGTTCATGGTGCCCAGAACAGACCATTACAGCATCAAAGATTAATGTTTCCTGTTTTCCATTCTTTTCTATGATAACATTCCACTGGCCAGTACAGAGAAAGTCAGGACATTTTTTTACACTGCACACCAGAGTCTGAAACAATACATAAAAACGATTGCCAATTCTCAAGTATAGAACTGTTAATGAAAGTAAAAAACAAAAACTTAAATTTTGATATGTAGTTACTTTTCTGAATTGTATCATTATGGGAAACATGTAAGTGAGTGGATTTGGTATATTTCTTTGAGCTCTGTAGTTTAAAGTTTGGTAAGCCTGTAATGATACTTCTTTTAATTTTTTAAATTGACCCGCGAATTATGATTCACAAATGTATGCCGGATCCACCCAATATATGCACTAAACTCAACAATCTATTTGGATATAGTGTTCACTAATAAGTCATCTAGAAGTGAAATTAGATTTTACGTTAAACATGTTTCAAACTGTGCTTTGGAGCCATGTTTTATCTACGATCTTTAGTTTTCACCCTTATTGTCATCACAAGAACTTCCTATGTTGGTAAGTTCCAACCCCATAATAGTTAATAGACACATTACATCTAGAAAAAAACTAACTTGGAAGCAATCACTGTTTTATTTAATATACAGATAAAGAGCCATCATAAAGATAAAGAGCAATCCCCACTATAACTGGTAACATTGGATGTATTCATATTCTTGCCCCAGAGTCTAATATTAATGCATTCAAAACATTGACCAAGAAAAAGTAATACATGCCACTGTAATCACAAATATAACCCCGAAAAAAGAGATGCTACATCAAACAATATAGAAGATGGATCCATTCCCATCAGCAGTCACTTTTACAGAAGACAAATGCAGTTGAGAAATGTAATTTACCTTGAAATGGATGTGTTTAAGTAGGTCAAACTGGTCTGCGTATGCCCTGTAATAGGCCAGAAGTTTAGTATTGTGAAGAAAGTTGGGGGAGTTTTCTGGAAATGGAAAGTCACTGAAACACATCATTTCTTTACTGGTGTTAGTGACGACTGATTGATATATGCTGGCCCGGCCATTTTCAATATGTGGCTGTTATAAATGTCACAGTGAGAAAAGTCATAGTTAGAAAATGAGTAATACTTTATCAAAAAGACAAAGAAAAACATTAATGATTAACATCAAAAACTGTATGACATTTAATACAATGAATTTAAAAAAAATGAAAGAAGCTAAATATTAACATATTATTTGAATATTGTGATAATATATTTACAAAAATATCACTAAATGAAAAAAAAAATCATTTTTAAAAACACAAAAAATGTTTTAGAATGACCTGACGTGGTAGAACATTTGCAATAGGTTTTATGCCTACCAAAGGACATGATTTGTTAAATTTAAATACAATCATGCATTCTAAGTTTCACCGTTTAAAAAAGCATGTCAAGAATTAAAACATGAATATAAAAAGTAGATACATTTATAAGAAAAATAAAATGTTAAAATAGGTGGAGAAAAAAATAACCCAACACAAAGCTAAGTTATAAAAAATATGCATGGATATTATACCATATCTGACTGGGAAGTAAAACTGTAGCAAAAATGGAATGCATCCATAAATACATACATTTTATTTAAAAAAATTACATTGAAGCCATCAAAGCATACCCTCTCAACTAACACATATACAGATTCTATCAAAAGTATTTAAACTGCTTAAAAATTATCAAGTTTTTCTAATGACAAATATTACATATAAAAAAAGATTTTCATTGTAAACTCAGCTGTTGTAGAAATGTTAAAACCAAAATGTGGTAATTAATGTGGTAAAATAACTAAAACATGCTTCTTACATATGCATTCCAACCACTTGTATTAATATTTAGTTGAGGCACATAAAGTCTATAGCTGGAAATATCTACTAGCCTTATATGGTGACTGGGAGCAATATTTGCTCCAGGTTGTTCGGGTTTATTGGGTGTCTGCAATTTTAACCTATTGCCATTGATTCCTACAGGATTAAAACCAGGACTTTATGGTTATTCATGTTTTTGTTCTTGAGCCATTCTAAAGATGCTTTTGACTTCTGCTTAGGATCATTTTACTACTAAAAGATAAACTTTCTTCAGGTTTTTTTTTTTTTTATCAGACCAAAGAAGGTCCTCCCGCAGTGTTGCTCTGTATTTTGCTTCATCCATTCTTCCTTTTCTTCCAATTTTCAGGTGATTCCCATGTCCTAATGGTAAAAAGTACTCCAAGAATATGATGCTGGCACAAATATACTTCATTGTAAGAAAAATGCTTTCTTTTGTTTATTTTTTTAATATGGCAGTATTGAATTGTGTTTAAAAAAACACTCTCTAGGTCTCACCTGACCAAAAACCATTTCACCATATCGTTTAAGCAAACTCATGTTGTGCATTCACAAGTCTTCTACTGACTTGGTTACTGAGTTTTTGAAGATCACCTTTTCTAGACATTGTCTGGGTCATGGGACATAGCCTGTGTGGTGACATTGCTGTTAACCTTTTCTTGGTCCCTGGGGAAAGCTCTTGAGCCCCATGGCAGCAACACCAATAGAGGCTTTTGGCCCCTAACATGGCGGAAAACGTTGTTAGTCCTCCTGCATTGGTCCAGCCACAACACACCTTCCAACTGCTGGATGACATCTTCAAATCTTTCGACATCTTTCTACACCACATAGCAGAGAGACAAAAGGACTTCCCAATGCCCTCACAACACCTGCTGATGAATGAGGGGGAACCCCCACCTAGGCGATCGGCGGCTGATGCACCAAGCAATTGAGAAATGTCAAAATGTCCCTCCCTACCAACTGTTGACATAAAAACTGTTGACAAGCACAACACTATAACCACTAATCCGAAGGCCACTGCAGTCAACGACTAGGTCAGGGACTTTGCATCCACCATATACTTACCTTCCACCTATCTTGTCGGACGACCACTCGCACCCTTGGAAATCGCAAGAAGCGAGGGGGGAGATCCTGCACAGCTGTTGCCTGAATGCCTCCGGGGCAGTCCGATGCTCACAGTTGCTTTCCTGGAGAACTTGGGGGGAACAACACCAGTGCACATCACATATCCCCTGAGGGGAAGCTATCAACATCAAGGTGTGGTTGCAGCCTCTTGGGACTCTGCTCTTGGTGCCAAGGGTGATCAGGCCAATGAAAGATGCACATGGGCTCTTGTGGAACCCGGGGCCAGCAATGTGGCCTACTCTGTATGACTGGGACTTACTCTTGTTCTGTGACTCTGTGAGTGAGCTGGGGTATTGGTGTAAGACATAAGAGCACTCTTAGTGTGGGAGCCACTAATGTACTTTATCCATATCCTCTATGTTCCACTAGCATTGTAGGCTTCAAGGTTTATATTTTATTTTTGTTTATTTTATATTGCTTTCACATGTGTTGCTTTGCCCAGTTAAGCTGATCTCTAGTAACTGTATCAAACTACTAGGGACGCTACCCATGCCTAATTGGTTTTACACTTAATTAGTGCTTCGCTTCGATGATATTTTAGGCTAAATTGGCACCATCTTCCGGTTTTAAATGCATACATTGCGCACTAGCCTGAGCATGTCAACAATTCCTATGCTATCGCACATGTCTTTTTTTATGTCCTGCTGTGGTTTTTTTCTAGCCTCCATGAGAAGTAATATTATTTTTGCAGAGCAATCCCCCCTGTCCGTCTATTATTATTTGCTTTCCTTTTGTTAAAAGATTGGATGAGTACGGTTGGCTTGACTCCAGTACTTTTTTACCACTAATGTTTGCCTTGCATGTTTGTACATATGTACAGAAAGAAACAATATGTGTGAACACCCACCACAGTCTAATAAGTGCTTAATTTATATCAACAGAAAGGAACTTTCCTGTATAGGATAAGATTTCCAATAGTATCCCAAAAGACTTCATCTTGTCTTCCACACAACACAAGCAAAAAAAGGGGGATGATCTGCTGAAACAATCATAAATAAAACAACATAGCGTATAACTGTGTATGATGACAAATTGTAGAAGTTATATTCACAAATGGCCACTCACACTTTTGCTGAAGTATGCAAGCCTTGAATATTTTCCTTTTCCTTTCCTTTTCAAAATAGGAATTCCAAATCTTCTGGAGAGATTTTAACCCAGACCGAGGATTTGGAATTCCTATTTTGAAAAGGAAAATATTCAAGGCTTGCAAACTTCAGCAAAAGTGTGAGTGGCCATTTGTGAATATAACTTCTACAATTTTTCATCATACACAGTTATACGCTATGTTGTTTTATTTATGATTGGTTCAGCAGATCATCCCCCTTTTTTTGCTTATGTTTGTACATATCACTGATCAGTATCTCAGTGTCTCAGTCTTATACCTAGTCTATTTTGCCTACAGCTAGAACACAGATACCAAATCTGTTTATATTTCATGTTTTATATATTTTTTAATCTGCAGAGGATCTTGACATGCTGGGTTTGTTTCATGTTTTTTTTATACAGCTTATGATTCTATAATACATCATTGCTGACCTGTTTATATACCTCTGCACTTAAGAATGTGCAAAAAAAAGAATAGTCTGAAGACTAGAAACATATCTTGCCTGTCACAATACACAATACAATATTAAGTTATAACACAGCAAATAATCAAATGGCTGAAAACATAGCATAATCATCTAAGTAGTAAAGGTGCAAATAGTCAAACGACTGTGAATATAACACAGTCATGAAAAGGCATGTATTAACTTATTGTGTTTTTGATTAATAGTTGCCTTTTTTATACCCCATGGTTACATCTTGTGCAAACGCTTTTTACAAAACATTGAAGGCAAAGGTTTTTTTAAAATTAGCATTTTTTAAGTAATTGTAATACATAACTAAAAAGGACGTTGATTAAAAATTTTATACAAGAAATTACTAAAAAGCTAAATATCTAGCTAAATCCTGTAAGCATCTTTGGTTCCATTTGTGAGAAAGTGTCACAAAGTGACATTCACATACATTTAGGGTATACCTACCGTATATCTCCATAGTCCACCAATGTCATCACTCTTTTCAAAACAAGTGGGATTTAAACCTTCATCTAAGCAGGATTTAATTGAAGCAAGACCACTGACACCAGCTCCAATTATTGCTACTTTCATTATTGATGGTACTCTTTGTCAATCTCTCCCAACTAAGGTCTTGTATAACCTGTGAAAAGAATAGACTTTCTAAGCATTAAAACAAGTAATTAGTTTGTAGTTAATTTTTGTTTGTGTTTGTCATAATCTGATGGAAATTAAACTTTTCATAATATTTATGGTGTGTGGGATTATTTGTTTATTGAAGACTAACACGACACAGGACCTGAACCTTCTACTGACATAGGACATAATACATTCCACTGACAATAATGTTTAAAAACAAAACAAAACTAAAGTAGGATAACAATGGGGAATTACAAGCAAAATGGCGTACAACATAAAATATCATTAACCATCAGGTGACAGACTTGAGAGATATAAGTATTTAAAATACAATTCTATTTTTCAATTCAAATTATTTATATAGAACCAACATATTCCAAAGCACTGTACAATACGTAAACAAAACATACACAGAATTCTAACAAAACAAGTTTTCTTAAATCAGCCCCAGATACATTGAAGGCATCCTGTATCACAGATTTACAATGTATTCAATGTAACAATACATACAATGCAATATGACTCACCAAGATCTCAATCCAGTGCTGTCATTTCCTTATCTTTGTGAGTGTTACTCAACCTGACTTCTTAACAGATGAGCTCTGAAATTTTGACTTCATGCTGCAAGAAATCATTGCCTGCACTATTCTATACAAACAGTATTTCTCTTGTACTGCATACATACACATATACATGTACATGTTTTTCGTCTATCGATTTGACGAAGTAATCCATGAATTGCTAGTGCAGGTTCCATTTGTGTGTGCGCATATAGCTATCAAGGCCAATTCTTGCATGGAATGTCAGATGACAGATGGAGGACAACTCCGACAGGATTACTGGCCCAAGCTTTTCTAGCTTGCCTCTTTTGTTCTGCTGCAGCCATCCTTTTGGCCTCTCATGAGTCAGCACCTTTTTTACTCGAAAGAGTGTCATGTCATTTGATTCATTGTTCTCTATTCCCAAGAGTCATAGCTGATGTTAAATGCTTTGAGGGTGACTTTGAGAGAAGTGCTTCTTTTGTAGATACGTGCTTTCATTTTTGTCCAAAAATGCGTTTTTTTTCATATTTGTATAGGAAAGGACAAATGCCGAATGCATTACCTTTTCAATTAGTTTTGTTCGTTTAAATGACTCCGTGCTGCAGAAGAATTAACCCACGCAGCACGGAGAATAACATTGCCATATTGTCATTTTGACCCCCATTTTAATAAAAGGGAAGTTATATCCTCCCACATGCCCCTACTTGCGGCATGCCGCGAGTAGGGGCATGTCGCCTAAACAAATTTAAAACTACTAATGACTGGGCAGCTATAAGGGGGGGCCTGGCACAGGTTAAATCCTGCTGCATGCCCCTACCTGTGCCAGGTCCCCCCATGTAGTAGGGGCATGTCGCCTAAACAGCGAGCAGCCAGTGGCTGCTCACTGTCATTTAAAACTGAATATAAAAATCAGTATCTTATATAGCTTATGAGTACGTGTAATAGTTATAGCAAAAACTATATGTTGCAAAATGAAAAAGTAGCTATTTAGATCAGTAACACAATAAGGCTGTGCTACTGATCTAAATAGCTATTTTTTTACACATACTCTCACTGTACTCTTTACACTTCTATACAAGATACATTTACATCCAGTTTTAAATGACAGTGAGCAGAGTGCTCTGTGTCATTTTACACAGCATGGGAAAGATATTTGGAATTTTCCCATGCTGCGTAATTTGACTCATAACACTGTGATTGGTTGCTTTTCAGCCCAGGGTGGGAAACAGAATATAACTAAAATGTAAAACTACTAATGACTGTCATTTAACACTAAATATAAATCAGTATGGCTGTGCCAGGTCCCCCCTTATTGCACTAGCCACTGGGCAGCAATAGCTGCCTAGTCACTAGTATTTTTAAATTTGTTTAGGCGACATGCCCCTACTCTCGGCATGGCGCGAGTAGGCGCATTCAGGAGGATTTAACCTCCCTTTTATCAATAAGGGGGTCATAGTGACCCCCATACTGATATATATATATATTTAGTGTTAAATATATAGTAGCAACCCCCATAGGTTTTAATGGGGGGAGTAGGAATTAATATTATTCCAAGGAGGGAGCTGGTAACGCTGCTGGCTCCCTCCTTGTTTTTTTTTCGCGCTTGCGCAGTGTTATTTCTTCGTGCTATGGGGGTTAATTCCCCTGCAGCACGGGGTCTATTAAATTTGTTTTATTAAATGAACAAAACAAAATGAAAAGGTAATGCCATTTCGTTTTGTTTATATTTCGTTTGTAGGACTTTTGTTTATGTTTTAGTAAACAAATATGAAAAAAACAGAATTTTCAGACGAAATCATATTCGTACGAAAATGAATGCACATGTCTATAAGATACTGATTTTTATATTCAGTTTTAAATGACAGTTCGCTGTTTAGGCAACATGCCCTTACTACACGGGGGGACCTGCTACAGATAGGGGCATGCGGCAGGATTTAACCTGTGCCAGGTCCCCCCTTAGTGCACTAGTGACAGGGCAGCAATATGGCACTAGTGCCCAATCACTAGTACTTTTAAATTTGTTTAGGCGACATGCCCCTACTCCCGGCATACAGCAAGTAGGGTCATGCATTTAACCTCCCTTTTATTAATATGAGGTCATAGTGACCCCCACTGGTTTTAATGCAGGGGGTGTAGGAATAGTTATTTATTACAAGGAGGGAGCTGGTAGCACTGCCGGCTCCCTCCTTGCTTTTGTCCTAACAGACGAAAACAAATTATTTTTAAGGAATTTCGTTCGAAAATGAATAGTTTGTGGATGAAATTCGGGATTGCCGAATTACATTTTTATTTAGTACGAAATCATTCATACAAAATGAAAATTTCACTGGTGCACGTCTATTCTTTTGACCCCTTCGGACCACTGTCCTGCAGCTCACCATAAAAAATTATCTTTTTTTCTTTTGTAGCCAATGGTCTGACAAATAGACTACATGCCCTGCTCAGCATGACTGTGACTGTATCAAGGTGGTAAAAATGCTAAGTAGTGTCCTGGATCTTGTCTTGTCCTTTTACTGAGGCATGTTGTGTGGAAATAGTTCAGTTTTTAGGCATGGCACTGATACACGGTCCAAATTTCGCTAGCATAGAGCAGTGTGGGGAGAACAACCGCCCTGTATAATTTTAACATTGTTTGGGTTGTGATACCTCTTCTATTACAGACATTGGCATATAATCTGCCAAAGATTGCACTAGATCTAGCAAGCCTGATATTCACCTCATTGTCTGTGGTGGTGTTAATGGACAAGTTGCTCCCAATGTAAGTGAATCTGTTCATTACATTAAGTCTCTAGCCATCAATGGTGATGTTGGGCTCAACATAGGGTTTCCCTAATGCGGAACTTCAGCCTTCTTTGTTCTGATTGTTATACCAAAGTTTGCGCAGGCATTGGAACACTTCTCTGCACTGCAATGCATGACAACTTCGGAGGGAGCGTTAAGGGCACATTCATCAACAAACAGGAAATCATAGATGATATCTTGTTTTTTGCATGAAGCCTCCTTCAGATGACTGTCAGTGCACTACATGATGCCAATTTCAACGTCTCAGTCTCTGAAAGCATTGGTCAGCATAGCAGAAAACATGATGCTGAAAAGTGTAGATGCTAGGACATAACCCTGCTTCACTGTTTGTAACAGGAACATCTCAGATGACTCGCCATTATCCTGGACCCATGAATGCATGCTTTCATGTAGTTGTTGGACCAAGACAATGAACTTCCTTGGGCATCTATAATTAGCCATGATGTTCCACAGGCCTTCTCTACAAACTGTATCAAAAATCTTGGTCAGGTCATCATAGGTTAAGAACATTTCGGAGTTCTGCTCCTGACACTTCTCTTGCAGTTGTTTTACAGCAAATGTCATGTCATTGGTCCCAGAATCGTCCAGAATCCACAATGACAGAAGTGCCTGGTCAATGTGTGCTGTGTGATGACTCAGCAGGGTCCTGATAAATATCTTATATGTGATATAGAGAAAGGATATACCTCTATAGGTATCACCTGCTTGCCGGTTCCCTTTACTCTTGTACAGATTTATAATGGAGGCATCTTTAAATTCCTGGAGAATTGTCTCCTGTTGCCACATGAGTTGGAACAGTTTATGGAGCCTTTCAGTACATATGACACCCATTGTACAACATTGTGGTGTATGCCCGTGCACTCCATTTAATAATAAAAAAAATATACAAAAATACATTATGCTGCAAAGTGTCCATTTAATGGTGCTACTAATTTCCATGTCGATTTCCCCTATTTGTAGCACTAGGCACCATTTTTTAGGTAATTTTGATAAATCTCCCTGAATGTGATTTATTAATTAATGCTTTAATCTAATTAAGTCTGTATAAAATAGTTTTCTCTGTCATTTGCAAGAAAAACAGAGAATATGAGATTTTTAAGAACAGACAAAAGCTTAGGGAAACTCAATAGCTAGCCTTTTGGAAAATCACAGCTCAGGTCTCAAAACTGTTTTTGGTCACTTGTGCCATCACAGAATGAACCTATACCATTTGTTGTACATGAGACTGATCCTATCCATAAGAGCAGTCCCGAACCAGAATGTATCTGCACAAGAGATACATCAATTCTGTTATGTGTCTTGCTTTTTCTTTAAAGATAATCATTCCATTGAAAAATGGTATGCATTGTGCAATATATATTCTCAAGTTACATACAGATCGCTTAAAGATATCATAAGCATTTTGATTTGAATTTAAGGAATCAATCTTCTTTAAGTCATGGAGTTTAAAGATGTCATAGAGTTTAAAGAAAGGCTGCCTAACCAGTCCTGCAAGAGTTACCAGTAATAATAGTTCTCAATGCTGGAAAAATGAAAAATGTGATGTTAAAAAGAATTGGTTAGTTGAACCAAGTGGATTTTCAAAAAAATCAGATTACAAGCATGTGTTCCTAAATTAGATTACAAACATGTGTTCCGATCCATTATGAAAAAATATTTTGTGTTGTCCGGTAATGTGACAAAAAGTTTTGCAATGGTTAGCCCTCTTATCTAAGCCTCTATCAGGCACCAATCCTCCTATAGTGCATTAGGTCATTCATTGTCCGAGATCATCAGCTGAATGCTTTTATCTAATGAATGTGCATGTAATATTCACAGAATTGATATAATGGCATACTAATAATACTCCCGAAGTTGGAGTTAGAGCTCTTGCAGCAAGATAACATATATCTTTATTTGTAATGTTTAGTAGTGAAATGCTGCACATACAGACTCAGAGCACCATGACCACTTCAAAACACTGTAGTAGTAATAGTGCTTGAGTAACTCTTTAAGAAAATGAAGAAAAAAATTATCAATTTGCAGTGAAAAAATAAATACCCAGTTCAGCTTCACATGTATTTCTTAAAGCAACACTCCAAGCACCCTAAACACTATACCACGCTCTCATTGTTATTGTAATTGTGCCAGGAGTGTCTTGGCGCACTCCCAGGTTAAGTAGTCATACCAATTGCAAAAGGTTGGAAAGCCTACCTGGAATATGCCAGTTTCCGATCCCAGACGTTAGGAGCAAGAAGCTCTTGAGCGGAATGACTGTGGAGCTTAACTCTTTAGTGCATTGCTGGCTTAGCTCTTTGCACATAGTTTCTGGGGTTATGGCTGGTACCTGTTAGACCCCTGGTATGTTTTCAAACCATTCACAGCTTCACTGCTTATCCTGGGAAGGTACCAGGACCCTTGGCACCATACTGATCATGTGCATGGAGTGTTCCTTTAAATTTCATACTCAGGGGATTTCTATTTAAATGGGGACGTAGCCTTATAAGAACTATGACAGATATGCAATGTATTTATGCATCTGTTCAGCAAAACAAGTAAACAATCGTGGCTGAAAATTGGTCTAATGACTTCTATAAATGGGTCAGGAAAATAAAGCAAAAAGAATACATAACTGTTTTGTCAAAGAAGAAACATTAATAAATGCTATACCATATAATACATTTTCAAAATTTCTAATACAGCTGCCACCTATATATTTGAAATGCTTTCATTAAACTTTTCCAAGAATGGAGATTCAAATTAAACCGTTCACCTACAATTACAATCTGGAAAGAATAGAAATCTCTGTAACTCTTTCGTTAAAATGAGCCTACTCAGACATAGCTAAGACATCCTTATTTCAGATTGCATAACTGCTTACAGTACAGATATGGGCGTTAAACTTTCTCTTTCTCTATATAAATAAAAAGAACGATGTAGGCTACCTTGATTGTATTGGATTAGTTATTTATTCTATCTGAGAATGACAGTGCTCATTCTTACTCTTATTATTCATTCTATGTACTTACCTCTTGGAATCAAAATGTCCAATTCTGGATGTGGGAAGATTAGAGTTAATAGATCTCTGCTTCTCCTGAGTTTAAAAAGTTACTGTGACTCAATACCTAAAGTCAGTTTAAAAAAAGTCTTGGAATCACAGTTTTATGCTCCGCCTTTTTTGTTATAATATGTGTAAGAATGAGTGTAAGGAAGCAGCAAGAGGCTGATTGAGGAGTTTTGATTTTTTTTCCAAGCTTCTCTGGTTGTTGACACAGAAAACCTTTTCACAAGTCACTTTAAGCATCATAGCTATGTTACCTCAATGTATTGTTTATAATGTGCAAGGATAATTACCGTGTATTAACTTGTTGTAGAAATGTCTCATTAAGGAGAAACTTAGTGACCTATTTGGCTTGTCAGATTCAGACACAAAGACATATATTTCCTCCCAGCATGTCAAAAATCTATCCAAGTTTTGCATGTTTTATGTATATCATACACCTACAGGCACACATCATACACGTCCCTACCCTCTCCTCCCCAGCAATCAGGAGGGAGCGAAAGCCGCCGCCTTTCAAGTAAGTAGTAGACACGTGCATTTGTTTTCAGCCATGTCAAAAATTAAACAAAATATTAAAATTAAAATGTTCAAAAATGTTGTCTGAATATGAATATAGACCTTAAATGAATGAATTTCCAATGAACAAATCAGCCGCCGAACAAATTCTGTTCAGTGCTATTTATTTCTTTCGTTGACTTGTTGCTACATATCTGAGTGCATTAACAACTAAAATATACATGTGTGTGTCTATTTTTATTATAATTTATATATATATATATATATATATATATATATATATATCTAAAATAAATTAAAAAATAATAAAAATTACTTGCACACTATTTTAAATACCTATGCACATTTAAAGAACTAAAGTTTTTTTTTTTTGTATGACCCCAATGGCCATTAACATGTAAGCCCTCCTGCCATGTCTACTTTGCTGTTTGAATTAAGAGGCAAAATTTGTAATGAGACAGAGAATAGTATTTTTCTAAGCCCCTGTACACTTATTAAACCATAAAAAAACACTATAGTGTTAATAATACAAAGTTGTTTTCCTAACACTGTAGTGTTCCTTTGTCCCCCCTGGTACTGAAAGGGGTAAATAACTATTTCTTTCACTTAACTCACTTGATCTGTCTTCGCTTCCTCCAACGTCAGCATCAAGGGGAAACCTAATGCCAGCGCCACATGCGCATTAGGCATTCCCCAAAGGAAAGCATTGAATCAATGCTTTTCTATGGGGATTTTGAGAACGCTATACATCCTCATGCAAAACTTCAAAACATCCAACATTATTTCACAGACTCAAACTCTGTGAAACAGCAGGAATCACTTCTAGTGGCTGTGTGATAGATACAAATACAAACTGTTAAGACACCCCTGGTGCCTGTAAGGGAAACCGCCATTTAGTTAAGCTTCCCCCTTCGCAATCTCACTATCTCCGTTCGCATAGGCTGCTATATACAAACCACCATCAGGGGAAGCGGTAATCTCCCGAACGGAATCCGTAAGCGGTTCCAAACTCCCGAACATAAATCCACGAACCGTCACTAGCCGCCGAACAAATATATCCACCAAGCGGCTTTCGGCTCCAGCAGTCAGTCTCTAGTCGTCGGTAATAAATCCCCCCAACAAAGAGACTAAGCTGCGCATTGAGGGTAAAACAAGATCTGGCTTTACTGTGGGCTACCCGCCCGTATATATGCAGGTCTCCCACTTGGTGGACACTCCCCTAGGGGACTAAATGGGAGACTGTGATGGCAGATGGACACATGGACATTTCTGACATAGAGGCACAAACTTTTTCCACAATGCAATATGGTTTTCTCCCCTCTGCCCTGGAGATAATTGAGAAGTAATTCAATTATCTCCAGGACAAAGACAAATCGCCATCTTAAGTAAAATACCAGAAAACACACAAAAATAAATAATTACACAACTACCGAACATTTTACATTCGCATCACATATCCCCAGATAGCCTGGATCTGAGGGCATATTATTAGCAAATAGCGCTCAGATCCCATACGCATAGTTCAATCACTATGGAGTCAAAGTTCTTACAGTCTTTCGGTATGCGATTGACTTCATGGGAAGGCTATCTGGGTTAAGTCTCTTCATGTAATTCAAAACTCCCGAACAGCCGGTGTTCGCATGCTTTCGTCGACGGAGAAGGGTGACCCGTTGTTTCAGCGGTGTTCGGCAGAAAAAGTGTCCATTTTTAGTTCCATGAAATCAATGACGAACGCCACTGGTCTTTCGTGTGATCTAAAATGGCAGCTGCCTCGTGGTCGACATGCGAACGATGACCACCCTGTATTCGGTTTTAATTGAGAAGTGTCTGCGGTTAACCACAACGTTCTAATTGGGATCAAGAGGTTAACCAGCAGCACACTTCTATTCTGGGTGGCCGTCCGTTCGGTAGATTTGTTAGGTGAAAAAGTCCATCATACGCATGGGCTATAGAAATAAGCAATTTCCATGAAAGGAAGGTAAACCAGATGAATCCACAAATAATAATCATACAGATGGGTCTGTCACACAAACCTACACAATTAACCTCTGTGCTCAAACTCACATTACTCCTCGGCACTAGCAATGATTATAGTACAGCCCCAATACATAAAGTGAAAAACACAAAAACGTTACCTATGCACAATTAAATAGCTGAAGTCGTTTTCGTATTACTTCAAAGGCCATTAAAGTGTAAGCTTATCTTCCACATCTAGTATTTACTAAAGTGAACATTGTAAGGACATTTCAAATTTAAGGCCAGAGTAGCCAAACTAAAAGCATGACTTTCTCCAGTTTGTCTATTTTTACCTTAAATTTGAAATTTACTTTGAGTTCTCACTCTAGTGAATAACCCTGTAACAATTCACCTTGCTGGTTTGAATTAAAAACCAAAATCTCTAATGAGACAGAAAGTGGCATTTTTCTAAACCACTACACATGTAATAAAGAATGCATGGGGTGGGCAACAGCCCTGTGTCACTAGAGATTTTGCCTTTTAGTTCAAAGCAGCAAGGTGAATTGTTAGTGTAGGAGTCACCGTTGAGCTATGCCTTGACGTGACAGGTGAGCTAGCATTTTAATTAGGGTTACCAGACCCACCATGTTTTCAGGGATAATTATTATTTTGTTATAATTATGAAAATTCAGTATGCATATTACTAATTACTTAATTAATATCTCCTTCAGAATACTGCATATTACAGGGCTGACGTTGGCGGGGGAGACCTGGCCGCATGTTCACATTAGACCTCCCCATAGGAAAGCGTTGCTTAAAACACTTTTTGTGTTATCAAACAGCCACTAGAGGAGGACTTAACATTGCAAGGTAATTATTGCAGTTTATAAAAACTGCAATAATTACACTTGCAGAGTTAAGGGTGGTGGGAGTTGTCACCCAGACCACTACAATGGGCAGAAGTGGTCTGGGTGCCTGCAGTGTCCTTTTAAATAAGTATTTGACCCCCTATCAATAAGCAAGATTTCTGGCTCCCAATTGTCTTTTATACAGGTAATGAGCTAAGATTAGGAGCACTCTCTTATAGGGAGTGCTCCAAATCTCAGCTCGTTGCCTGTATAAAAGACACATATCCACAGAAACAATCAAGGATATTATGGCACTATAAAGAGTGCAGAGAAGAGCTACAAAATTAATGAAAAGAATGGAACATTTTTAGCTATGAAGAAAGGTTAACACATTTAAACCTCTTAAGTTTAGAAAAATGTTGCTTCTCATATGATAACATGATACAAATATATTTGTGGCCAATACAAACTATTGTGTGGAAATCTATCCACAAACAGGACTTTACATAGGACACGAGGTCATGCATTTAGACTGGAAGAAAGAAGATTTATTCTAAGGCAAAGGAAAGGGTTTTTTTACCGTAAGAACAATAAGGATATCAAATTCTCTGCCTGAAGAAGTGGTTTTATTAGAGTCCATACAGACTAAAGAGCTATCCAAGGATGTCAGGGACAATATTGTAGACCTAGACAAGGCTGGAATGGGCTACAAGAGCACTACCAAGCAGCTTGGTGAGAATATGACAACAGTTGGTACAAATATTCGCAAATGGAAGAAACACAAAACAACTGCCAGCCTCCCTCGGTCTGATGCTCCATGCAAGATCTCACCTCAGGGGGAGCGGTGGGGGGGCAAGGCTGCCAAACGGAGCGGCAGCAAACTAAGCCAGCTCTGACTAAACACCGCACAATAACCTGCTTAAAACCCTAAGAACCCGACAGAACTCGGGCACAACCCGAGAACCAAGAGAGGACATAACCAGAAGTGGAAAACTGGAGATCCTGCCCCGCTAACAACAAGCAATGAGCACGGGAACTCTACGAGGCCCTCGCCTGGAGGAGTGCACGAGGCCCACCATATGCACTGAAAGAGTGGGAGACGGGGACCCCTGCCTGCTCCTCCCCCCCTTCTGGCCAGTGGGGGTGATCCAGTCCTGAAAGTCCAATCTTCGGAGACTGGGGGTGGAGGCCCATCCTGCATGGGAACCTAACATACCCGGGGCCAAGATGGCCAACCGATGACTTACTCCCGTGCATCAATTTGGAGCACCTTGTATGGCAGGGACTCACGCTGGCTCTGCGCAGGCAACAATCTGCATTTACTCTTATTTACAGATACTTAAGCCTCTGTGCAGGCGACTGTTCGCTTTAATGAAAATCTGTTTGATGTAAGAGCACAAGACAAGATACCAATAAACATATTTAAAACAAGATTTCACCTTGTGGAGTTTCAATGATCATGAGAACGGTGAGGAATCAGCCAAGAACTACACGGGAGGATCTTGTTAATGATCTCAAGGCAACTGGGACAAAACACACTACACCGTGAAGGACTGAAATCCTGCACTGCCTGCAAGGTCCCCCTGCTCAAAAAAGCACATGTACAGGCCCATCTGAAGTTTGCCAATGAACATCTGAATGATTCAGAGGAGAACTGGATGAAAGTGTTGTGGTCAGATGAGACCAAAATCAAGGTCTTTGGCATCAAGGAGGAGGAGGAGGAATGCTGCCTATCTACACCATCAAATATGGAGGTGGAAACATTATGCTTTGGGGTTTTTTCTGCTAAGGACAATGGACAGGGCATCCCATTATTGGGTGAAAACCTCCTTCCTTCCTTCAGCCAGGGCATTGAAAATGGGTCGTGGATGGATATTCCAGCACTGCATTGACCCAAAACACACAGCCAAGGCAACAAAGGAATTGCTCAAGAAGAAGTAGATTAAGGTCCTGGAGTGGTCTAGCTAGTCTCTAGACCTTAATCCCAAAAAAAATCAATGGAGGGAGCTGAACATTTGAGTTGACAAATTTCAGCCTCAAAATCTTAATGACTTGGAGAGGATTTTGCAAAGAGGAGTGGGACAAAATCCCTCCTGAGATGTGTGCAAACCTGGTGGCCAACTACAAGAAACATCTGACCTGTGATTGCCAACAAGGGTTTTGCCACCAACTACTAAATTGAAGGGGTCAAATACTTATGGCACTCATTGACATGCAAATTAATTTATATCTTTTTTGACATGCGTTTTTCTGGATTTTCTTTTTGTTATTCTGTCTCTCACTGACAAACACACAGATGTCACTGACAGACAGACTCACTGATTTGATACACACAAATTACCCAACAGACACACTGGCAGATACGCACTGACAGTCACACACACTAAATGAGAAACACAGAGACATCACTGACAGACACAGACTCACAGATCTGACACACACTCATTGACAGACACACACACACATGCACACTGACAGATGCGCACACTGACAGACACTCATGGAAAGACACACACTGATAGTCACACACAGATTCAATGACAAACAGACTCTCACTGATTTGACAGACACTCACAAACACACAGATACTCTCATACACTCACATGCACACACAGACACACATACACTCACACACACACTAATTATTAATATTATTAAAATACTCTTGACCTACCTGTAGAGCCGGCGTCTTTCTGTCCCTGGGGTACAATGGGGCTGCTAGGAGGCATGTGGCTGTGTTAGAATCCGAGGCGGCAAGGGAGCTGTGATCTCCCTGCTCTACTCCCTCGCGCCTCGGGGGCCATCTACCGAAGCCAGGAGCCGAAATATGACGTCATATTCTGGCTACCGTGGCATCAGTTAATGGCGTGCGAGGGAGCAGAGCAAGTAGATCAGAGCTCCCTCGCCACCTTGGATTCGAATATAGCCGTACGCTGGGGTGTCCATATGGTGGCCAGCAGGCAAGGTCTTACCGGGGTCACAGGGGTCACGGCTGCGATCGGGCCTGGCCCACCCCACACACTCAACACTAACCGGCCGCCCAGCAACACCACTGGACCCCAGGGAATCCCCTCAGCTCTCCCAAAGGTAGGGAGGCTGAGGGATTGCATTTTTAAAAAAATGTGTGTGTGTGTGTGTGTGTGTGTGTGTTAGAGTGTGTGTTAGTGTTAGAGTGTGTGTGTGTGTGTGTGTTAGTGTTAAAGTGTGTGTTAGTTTTAGAGTGTGTGTGTGTGTTAGTGTTAGAGTGTGTGTGTGTTAGTGTAAGAGTGTGTGTGTGTGTGTGTGTTAGAGTGTGTGTGTTAGTTTTAGAGTGTGTGTGTGTGTTAGAGTGTGTGTGTGTTAGTGTTAAAGTGTGTGTTAGTTTTAGAGTGTGTGTGTGTGTTAGTGTTAGAGTGTGTGTGTGTGTGTGTGTTAGTTTGTGTGTGTCAGTGAGTGTGTTACTTAGTGTATTAGTTTGTGTGCGCCTGTTAGTGAGTCTGTTTGGTGTCTGTTAGTGAGTATGTGTTTTGTCACTGAGTGTGTGTCTGTCAGTAAATGTGTGTGCCTGTTAGCTAGTGTTTATGCATCTGTTCATGAGAGTGTGTGTGTCTTCAACACCTACCTTTCTCCAGCGCCGGACTCCCTTGGCGCTGGGGATCCCTCTGCACCGATCCGCCTCTCAGCTCCGAATGCGCAGGTGCCTGCCGTCATGTGTTGCAGCCCCGGCCCACGCAGAGTAACCGCGGGGTGGGAGGGCCCACGGATCAGTTTTCGCACCGGGGCCCCATGGGTTGTGTGTACGCCACTGCTTGGACCCCACATGATGGGGGGAGCAAAGGGGGCACCTGAGTGGGCGTTTGAGGGTGGCATTTTTTCTGCCCCTTGGTTAGTGCCGCCCAAGACAAATGCCTAGTTTACCTTGCGCTAAATACACCACTGGATGTGGGTGCCACAAACTTGAAGGGAGAGAGAAAGAGGAAGATCAGTATTAGGAGGAGGATAGACAAGGAGCTTAGTTATAGAGAGATTGAGTTTCAGAAAACAGTAGGACATCCAGTCAGAGATGGAAGAAAGACAAGCAGGGTCACATTGGAGGATGGCAGGGGAGAGGTCTGAGGAGGAGAGATATATCTGGGTGCCATCAGGTACAAGTGGTAGTGGACTCCAAATGAGGTAATATGTTTGCCAAGAGAGGCAGTATAAAGAGAAAATAGAAGGGGACCAAGGACAGAGCCTTCGCGGAATCCAGCCAAGACAGGACAAAGAGAGTAGGTATGATTAGAAAAGGAGACACTAAATGAGCATTGGGAGAGTTAGGAGGGAAACCATGTCAGAGTCATGAGGAGAGTGTCATGAGTCAGTGATGAGTTTGAAGAAGGCAAGCATGATCAGCAGTGTCAAAGTCAGAGGTGAAGAAGAATTAGTATTGGTAAGTGGACTTTGGGTTTAGCTGTTATTGGGTCATTATAACTTTGATAAGAGCAGACTTGGTAGAGTGGAGGGGGCGGAAGCCAGACTGAAGAGGGTCAACGAAAGAGCTGGAGTTGAGGAAGGAGACAGATGAGTAAAGACAAGTATTTCCATAAGCTTTAAAGAGAAAGGGAACAGGGGTATGGGACGATAGTTAGAAAGGGAGGACGGGTCAAAATATTTTTTTTCAGTATGGGTACTACAGTTGCATATTTAAGGGCAGCAGGGATAACTCCAGAAGTTTTTTAAGTTTTTTAACTCACACATAGAATTTTTTTTTTCCATCAGCCCAACTGATTATATACTACCACTAGTAAATGCCATTTTCACAGAACTTTTAGCGGCAACTAGAAAATGTTTCACACCAGTCTCTAATAAACCAAAGAGTATGACATGCCTGATGATTACCTAACAGAATGGGAGAGAAAAAACAGACAACCAAATATGCCTACTAGCAGAAGATTACCAATCTATTTTCAGCAGGGATGAACATCAGGCAAATTGCATGTTCATGTCATTACAGAAACAACATAAACATTGAACTTTAACCCCTTAGGTATGGCGGGCGTGCTATGTCGCCCTTGAGAACCCGTCTCTGAACACCAACAGGGGCAGAGCACGTCCCCGCCGTCCTATGTACTTACCCACTTGCCAGCAATCCCACGCCGGCGATTGCGATGGGGGGACTTACCTGGCATCTCAGGAAGTCCCCCTGCTGCGTTTCAGCCCTCCTGGGCCATGTGATCGCGAGGTCCTTGCGAGGACCTCACGATCACATGGACGGAATAGCCGTCCACAGCATTGCCAGCAGGGGGAGTGCCTGGAATGACAGGTAGTCCCCCTGCTGCCTGAAAAAAATTAAAATAAAAGTTAAAAACAGTTTAAAATAAAATTGTATATACTTAGATCATATATATATATATATATATATATATATATATATTATATATCTTGGTGTTACTTTTGATTCTGGTCTGTTGTCCGGTCTGTTGTCAAATTATGCCAATTCCACCTCAAAAACATCGCCGGCATCCGCCCCTTTCTTACACAAGATGCTACTAAAGAGCTTGTCCATGCTCTAGTAATCTCTTGCATGGACTATTGTAACTCTCTCCTAATTGGTCTTCCCAATAGCCGTATTGCCCCACTACAGTCTGTAATGAATGCTGCCGCCAGACTGATTTTCCTCACTAGTCGGTCCTCTCACACCTCACCCCTCTGTCAGTCCTTACATTGGCTTCCTGTATCCTATAGGAGTCAATTCAAAGTGCTAACCCATACTTATAAAGCACTGAATAATCTTAGCCCCTCTTATATCTCCTCACAGATTCATAGATATGTCCCTTCTCGGTCCCTCCGCTCTGTCCGCCACTTGTACCCATACGGCCAACTCGCCCATGCAGAACTTTTTGTCCTATGGAATAGCCTGCCTTCCACCATCAGACTCTCCCCTAGTCTTTAATCATTTAAGAAGTGCCTTAAAACTCATTCCTTTAGGAAAGCCTATGGCCTCCCAGACTAACCTCTACCTCACATACCTGCCTCTTGCTCTCTCCTAAAGGGCAGCACTTTACTCTGTCCTCCAGCTCTGCTCCACTCCCACCTATTTTGACTTCTTTTCCCTGTCCTAATGTGTTTTATACCCCACCTCCTATAGACTGCAAGCTCGTTTGAGCAGAGACCTCTTCAACCCTTCGTTTCTGTAAGTTTTCTTGTAATTGTCCTATTTATAGTCAAATCCCCCCTCTATTGTATATTGTCAAGCGCTACGGAATCTGTTGGCGCTATATAAATCGCAATAATAATAATAATAATAATAATTGTGGCCGAACCAACCTCACCACTGGCCAGTGAAGGAGCCCGGTTGCTCGCCTGCTCCCTTTAGACTATGGCCCCATGTTTAACACTCTTCTTTTTCCCAGCAGAAAGGCTGGTTTGTGCTTTTCTGTGGACTGTTAAAGTCATAAACACCGCTGAGCCGCCGACCTCCCTTCTCCTACCTGCAGTCAATTATCCGAACACCGGTCCATTCGGTATTTTACTGTTTAAACCATGCCACCCCAGATAGCTATGCCATGGAGCCCATCCGTATACTGAAAGACTGTATGAAAGATTTTGGCTCCATGGTGATTGAACTGTATGTATGTGATCTGAGCGCCATCCGGTAGTAACGGGCGCTCAGATCTAAGCTATCTGGGGATAGGTAGAATGTGTATGTTCTATGTGATAAATGTAACAGTATGTAATTTTATGTATTTTATTGTCCTTTGTCTGCCATGTGGTTAATGGAGTTTTGCCTCTGTCCTTGGAGATAATTGGATTACTTCCCAATTATCTCCAGGACAGAGAGGAGGGATAGTGATGCATTGTGGGATTGTAAGCTTGTGATTGGTCAATGTCCAATATGTTTCCCAGTCTTCCATCTGGCCCCTATGGGAGTGTCCACCAGGTGGGAGACCTGCATAAAAGCGGGGCAGGTAGCCCCAGTAAATCAGTTCTGATTGATCCTCAAACGAAGTGTCGTCTCGTTCTTGGGGGGAATTGGTTTGTATGCTGTTACAGTGTGACTGCCAGGAGTGTAAACTGTTCGGATGGTTTTTCCTGTTCGGCTGTTTAACAACATTCGTGTGTTCGGGAGTTGGTGAATTCATGTGTTTCCGGTTCGGGAGTTGGTGAATTTGTGTGTTTCCTGTTCGGGAGTTTGAGTATTCATGTGTTTGCAATTCAGGAGATTGGTGCTTGCAGTAGCTGCCTGTGCATCTGAAAGGGGAATATCGCCTAAACGGTTTTTAACCCCTTGTGTGCTGAAACGGTCCGTTACAATAAAATATACACATACACATACATAGACTGTCTAAGTGTATTTTAATATTAATATGTATGTGTATAATTATATATATATATATATATATATATATATTAATATCAAAATACACGTAGAATGATATTGATTAAATATATATATAATTCTAATTAATTCTACGTATATATTTATGTTATATTTTTACATATTAAGGTCATTTTATTAATTACAATTTGCGTGACCTACCTGACAATCCAAGGCTGAAAGTCCAGGGAATTTAATTTGCTAGCATTATATTTAACCCTGTAACTTTCCAAGACACCATAAAACCTGTACATGGGGTTGTACTTTTTTACTCGGAAGACTTTGCTGAACACAAATATTAGTGTTTTAAAACACTAAAATGTATTACAACAATGATATTGTCAGTGAAAGTGAAATATTTTGCATTTTTCACACACAAATGGCACTTACACTGACAATATAATTGCTGTAATACGTTTTACTATTTTCAAACACTCCTCATGTACAGGTTTTATGGTGTTTTCAAAAGTTACAGTAAAAAAGTTACAGAGTCAAATATAAGGCTTGCGTTTCAGTTTTTTCACATTGACATTTGCCAGATTGGTTACGTTGCCTTTGAGATCATATGGTAGCCCAGGAATGAAAGTTAACCCCATGTTGGCATACCATTTGCAATAGTAGACAACCCAAGGTATTGCACATGGGGTATGTCCAGTCTTTTTTAGAAGCCACTTAGTCACAAACACTGGCCAAAATTGGCATTCAAGTTAGTTTTTTGCATTTTTCACACACAAACAAACATTAACACTAACTTTGGCCCGTGTTTGTGACCAAGTAGCTACTAATAAAGACTGAACATACTCCATTTGCAATACCTTGGGTTGTCTACTATTGCAAATGTTATGCCATTATGGGGGTAATTCTCATTCCTGTGCTACCATTCGGTCTTGAAGGCAACGTAACCAATCTGGCAAATTTCAATGTGAAAAACCTGAAAAATGTGATATGCTATATTTGACCCTGTAACTTCCCAAAACACGATAAAACCTGTACATAATAGGTAAGGTATTACAGGCGAGACATCGCTGAATACACATATGTGTATTTTATTGCAGTAAAAGCAAACAGTATTATGACATTCGCAATTAAAATGTCATGTAGAACTAAAAAAATAAGAACATATCTTATTTTCTCACATTTGTTAATATTTTATTCATATTAAATTATGTTTCATAGCTAACTATTTGATGTTAAATGAAAGCCCTGTTTCCCCTGAATAAAATAATATATAATAAGTGTGGGTGCACATAATATGAAAGAGGTGAATTACGGTTGAACAGACATATAGTCAAATTCCAGATTTTATTTACGTTTTGTTTTCATCAAAACGTGTACATTTGGCTCAGTTCTTAAGGGGTTAAACAGTAAACTATATTTTGTAGTGAAGGTGAAAAAGATAAGGTTGAAAAAGAGTAAGGAAGTGCATGAACACTTGAACAATATGCTAGAAACTTTAACCCCTTAAGGACCAAAATTCTGGAATAAAAGGGAATCATGACATGTCACACATCATGTGTCCTTAAGGGGTTAAACTACATGCTATTAGGGAACGATACTAAATGTGTGGTATATTATTCATTTGTACACATTTTATTGATAAACACATCTTTATCACACATTTATTGAATGTAAATAAACAAACAAACACATGCAAAACAACATGTATGATAAGAACCAAGAGAGCGGGAACTTCTCTGGTATACGTGTAAACTGTGCAAAGCAAGTATACTCCCAATGTTGTAATGAATGATCCAAAGAAATAAAATTGCGTGAAAAAAAAATAATAAAAAAAAAAAATATATATATATATATATACACTTAATATGGGGTGTGTCTGTGAACAATGTGAAAGAGGTGCTTTTTAATGCTGCTCCTTTAGAAGAAAGTATCCCTACACTTTCTAGTACAAGTCAAAGTAACACTGAAAATGGTTAAGGTAGCGCAAAAAATAGTCTAATCACATGTTGATAATAAACATATAAACATTTATTGAGTGGAATGGCAGAAAAAAAAAGAGTACTGTAAAAAAAAGAAAAGGGGGGGGGGGGGTCCAACCTTGTATAGTTTGCTGACAGCTTACTGTTGGGGATGTGTTTATGCTGACATCCTTCTGATTACATTTGAAGAGAGTAAGGTCTGCTGCAGCACTGAGTATCGAAGCTGTTACTGCTACAAACTATCCAAATAGTAAGTGCTGCTGGCTGACTGCCAGGGAGTCCCGTTGTGGAGCTGTACAGGGTAGTGAAGATGAAATCCTTTTCCCCCTGTGGCTGTCTTGCTATATGGGGGGTCTCCTTTGTTGGTAGCTGCCAGAGCTGAGCTCGCTCTGCCGATAGAATATGTTGCGGCCGCTCACATGGAAAGTGATGAATCTGTGTGAGGTCTGGTGCCAATCTTCTCCGTCGATCCTACATGTTTCGTGAGCCTGCACTCACTTCTTCAGGGATGATAATGGAGTATAGGATATTGAAAAGGATCTATTATATAGGCATGCAGTCCCAATTAACAGCACATTCCAATTACACAAAGGATATAGGATATATATAATTCTTCAATACATTTCCTTCTTTTAGAATGAATTTAACACATGTTGCAGAAAGTAAAAGCGTTACATACATTTATTCTAAGTCACAATCCTAACTGTCTAGAATGGATATTTCTGGGTATAAAAGGGGTTAATGATTCCATAAAATGCTTGTAGTAGGTATAAAACTAATATGTGTCATTTTATTTTTGTATCTATATTATATAATTTACCACAGTTTTTTCTGCCATTCCACTCTAATTTTTATTTTTATTTTTCCACATTTTCTATTCTATTTTTTATGGTATATTTCTATTTTACCTTATATTTCATTAATTGACACAGTGTCTTTTTTTGCTATATTACTTAGTAGTGTGCACACTCAGTATAGCAATAATTATTATTGTACAAGGTTTTTTGTCATTGTGTTTTAAATATATTTTTAGACTTCATATAAGATCCAATAAATGTTTATATGTTTATTATCAACATGTGATTAGACTGTATTTTTTGCGCTACCTTTTTCAGTGTTACAAAACAACATGTATAACCATGAAAAAGGTAGATGTATTTCATGGTTATCTTTGGTTACCAGAAACGACAACAGTTAATACTTTTATATTTAACAGAGAAAGAAAATAGAAATTATTATTTGTTCCTTGGGGAATTTGCATTAATAACAGGTTGATGCTGGGAATATATTTTAGATGTAAAATCACGTATATATTATTTCATTTTAGAAAATGATTGGGAATTACATTTTTCATCTAGAGAGATTTATCAGTTTCTGAAAGATTCTCTATAGTTAACATCAAATTTGTCATTTTGATTATTAGTTAATTAGCTACAACTATTATGTTTAGCTCATGATGGGTGCAGGCAGTGGCAAAACTACCACGGTCGCAGGGATTTCAGGTGTGACCAGGCCCGTGATCGCGGTGCCCAGACAGCCATGTGTTGTAGCCCCAGCCCACATGGTAGAACCGCCAGGGCCACGTGTTGAGGAACCCATCAGGTGGCCCATGCTGTTAGGGCTACCCGATGCAAAGTATTTCCAGGGGGCCCGGTCAGTGGTGTAGCGCTTTAACAGCGTGACCAGGTCCCCTGTGATGAGGTCAGACTGAGCTGGGAGGAAGTGACTGCCCTGGTCACTCCTTCCAGATTATATAGAACCCGAACGGGAGGAAGAGGAGGAGAGGAGAGGAGGGAGTCAGTGTGGGAACGCTGACTCCCATAAGCCTGCGTCTAAAAGGTAGTAGACAGGAGGGTGATTAAACCATTGTGCATGTGTGATTGATTGTATGTGTGTGTGTCTTTCTCTATGTATGCGTGTGTGTGTGTGTCTTTCTGTATGTATGAGTGTGTGTCTGTCTGTCTGTGTGTATGCATGTGTGTGTTGGTGCTTGTCTGTATGAGTGTGTCTGTCTGTCTGTATGTATGTATGTATGCAGGGCCGCCATCAGGGGGTGACAACCATAACGGTTGTCACGGGCCCAGCGGTCCTAGGAGGCCCGGCCGCCCGTGGGGCCCATCGGGTGGCCCACACACTTAGGGGCAGCAAGTGCTGCTGGGAGGAAGTGGTCACTTCCTCCCAGCTCACTCCGCGTGGGAGGAGCGCGCGCGCCAGTGAAGAGGGAGAGCCAGGCAGTGAAGAGGGAGCTGCGCCGACTCCCATCATTCACAGCCGCCCTCCTGCAAAGAAACGGTAAGAGACAGGAGGGTGGCTGGAAAATGAGCTGTGTGTGTGTCTGTATGCATGTATGTATGCATTTATGTCTGTGTGTATGTCTGTATGCATGCATGTATGTCTATGGATGTATGTCTGTATGCATGTATGTATATATGTATGTCTGTATGTCATTATATATGTATGTATGTATGTCTGTCTGTATGCATGCATGTCTGTGTGTATGTCTGTATGCATGCATGTATATGTATGTCTGTCTGTCTAACTGTATGCATGCATGTATGTCTGTCTGTATGTATGTCTGTGTATGTATGTCTGTATGCATGCTTGTATGTCTATGGATATATGTCTGTATGCATGTATGTATATATGTATGTCTGTATGTCATTATATATGTATATATGTATGTCTGTATGTCAGTATGAATGTATGTCTGAATATCATTATGAACGTATGGCTGTGTGTTTGTGTGTATGGATGTCTGTATGCATGTATGTCTGTATATATGCATGTATGTCAGTCTGAATGTATGTATGGATGTCTGTATGCCATTATGAATGTATTTCTGTGTATGTCTGTATGCCATTATGAATGTATGTGTGTATGGATGTCAGTGTCTGTATGTCTGTCAGTATGTCTGTATGTATGAATGTGTGTCTGTATGTATGTTAGTACGTGTGTGTCTGTCACTATGTATGCCTGTGTGTATGTCTCAGTATGTGTGTATCAGTATGTATGCCTGTATGCGTGTATGTCTGTTTCAGTATGTGTGTCTGTTAGTATGTATCTGTGTCCTTTTGTATCAGTGTGTGTGTTTGTGTCTGTGTGTGTATTCCTGTGGGCGGTATTTGGAGGTGGGGTCCAGACCCTGAGCTGAGTTAGGGGCCCCAAAATTTCTGGTGGCGGCCCTCTATGTATGTGTGTGTTGGTGTTTGTCTTTATGTATGTGTGTGTGTCTCTGTATCTATGTGTGTTGTCTCTGAATGTATGTGTGTCACTGTTTGTATCTGTATGAGTGTCACACTGTCTTTACCTTAGAATGTTTCCAGGACTTTAATACATAACATGTGGGTACACAATTTTTTTTACATAACCCAACCTAGACAATCATCTTTAATGGAGTAAACCCAAGTAGTAAAAAATATATTGGATAAAAATAAACAAACAAGAGTCAGAATAATGGAATGAACAGTAAATAAATAAAATTAATTGTACTTATCCCTATAACAATATGCTGGATCTCCACTTGCTGTCTAGGTAGTCAAACACATTTAGGATGTCTAGGTAGTCAAACACATTTATATAGGATGAACAATATTGTTACTTCCAGCAATTGGGGTTTTTAAAGGGGGCTTAGTTTTAGCAATATTGCATTATTGTTGTTCTTCGTGAATTTTTTCTTTTTAGGCACAACGTATAGCTGTATAAGTAAACAATAAGGAATTTATTTCACACAGTTTTTATATGTTTTTTTTCTTTTTAATTCAATGTTGTTACTTTATCAATTGTACATATACACAGAAAGTGCACACACCTACAAAGTACAAATCTTACACATAAAAAATATTTTTTTAGAATAATATATAGAATACAAATATGAATACATATATGTTGATCAACCATTCTTCAGCGTTAAAAACAAATGTATGATGTACTTTTCAAAATGAACTATATTGAACATATTATTTTATTTATGTGGATTATTACACATTATATGCATTAGGATTAATTATTTAAACATATGTCCCATTACAGAGCTGGTTTATTTTCACGTTATATTTGGACCTATAGCTGCAATCTGTGTGTATGTAAGTATATATAAATTAATCGATGAAATTCATCACAACAGATTATATGGGTACACATACACAATGGCACACAACAGAGTGGCAGTTAGATTTCAAGTATTTAAATATCACCGTGGCAGTTGTAAAGAATGGTGGAGGGCAGATAAAAGAATTTAGAACTTATAAAGCAAGGTTTCATATACTGTAATTCTACATTTGGACAACCCTGTGTATATATTTATATACACTACTTAAAGGACCACTATAGTGCCAGGAAAACATACTCATTTTCCTGGCTCTATATGGTCTCTACGTCCCCCCACCCTCCGGGCCCTCCTCCCATCGGGCTCTAGGGGGTGGAAGGGGTTAAATTTACCTCTTTTTTTCCAGCGCCGGGCGGGGGATTCTCCTCCTCCTCCTCTCCTCCTTCTCGTCATCATCGGCTGAATGCGCATGCGCGGCACGAGCCACACGCGCATTCAGCCAATCCATAGGAAAGCATTCTCAATGCTTTCCTATGGACGCTGGCCTCTTCTCACTGTGAAAATCACAGTGAGAAGCGCGGAAGCGCCTCTAGTGGCTGTCAATGAGACAGCCACTAGAGGCTGGATTAACCCTATTATAAACATAGCAGTTTCTCTGAAACTGTTATGTTTATAGAAGAAAGGGTTAATCCTAGCTGGACCTGGCACCCAGGCCACTTCATTAAGCTGAAGTGGTCTGGGTGCCTATAGTGGTCCTTTAAGAACACACAAGAAGGATTTGGAATTGTTATAGGCAACAAACTAGGAAATAATGTGCAACATCAATCAGCAGTTGCTATGGCCAGTAAGGTATTGGCATGTATTATTATTATTATTTTATTATTTATATAGCACCAGCAAATTCTGTAGCGCTGTACAATGGGTGGACTAACAGACACATAATTGTAACCAGACAAATGGACTCAGAGAAACAAAGGGGTTGAAAGTAGTGCTAAATGAGCTTACATGCTAGGAGTGGAATATTGTGACACATAGGGCATAAGTAGTGGTAACAAAGTAGTTTGCTAGAAAAGTATTTACTGAGGGCTTAATGGGTAATTTTTGACAGTTGCAGGAGAGGAGTTATGGAGGATGAAAACCTGCTAATAGGTTAATTGATACACTTTCCCGAAGAAGTGAGTTTTCAAAGATTTTTTTGAAGGAGTGGAGACTGGGTGTAAGTCTAACGGAGAAGGAAAGGGAGTTCCACGGAAAAGGTGCAGCCCTGGAGAAGTCTTGAAGGTGAGCATCAGAGGTAGAAGTACGGAGAGAGGATAGACCTTGCTTCGGCACAGCGCAGGGTCCTCGATCGGACATACTTGTGTATTAGGGAGGATAGGTAGATTGGAGCAGTATTATGTAGTGACTTGGAAGCAAGAACCAGAATCTTAAATTGAGCCCTACATCTAAACGGAAGCCAATGTAGGGACTGACAGAGGGGGGAAGCGTTGGAGGTGCAGGTGGACAGGAAAATGGGCCTCACAGCAGCATTCATTATAGATTGCAGTGGTGCAAGCTGGGAACATCTAGGACCACTGAGAAGGGGATTGCAGGGAAGGCGAGAGAGAACAACAGCATGGACCAGGGCCTTAGCATCCGGTGTTCAATGAGAGCTATGGTTTTAAAGATGGAAGCAGCTTGATTTGGTGATCAATTGGACATGGCTGGACAATGAGGGGTGAAGGAGAGGTTAGAGGCAAAGAGGACACCTAGGCAAATCTATTTTTTCCTTATTTTCTCAGTGGTTTGGCTTTTAGAATTTAGCCAATAATTAGAGTTGAGCGAACCCGAACTGTAAAGTTCGGGTTCGTACCGAACATTACGGTTTTTGGACCCCGGACCCGAACACGGATATATCAGTGTATGTTCTGGTTGGAGTTCGGCATTTTAATGGCGCGTTTTGAAAGGCTGCAGGGCAGCCAATCAACAAGCGGTTGACTCGTGTGCCCTTAGAAGCCATCACAGTCATGCCTACTAATGGCATGGCTGTGATTGGCCAGTGCAGCATCTGACCCACCCTCTATGTATAAGCTGGAGTCACGTCACATGTGCTCTTATTAGTGTAGGGAGAGGATGCTGCAGCTGTGAAGGACGGATTAGGACAGAATTATGGTGTTGAATCTGCAAACTACAGCGAGTATTTTTGTGGGTGCTATAATACTACATTTTTGTACCCTGCCCTGAGCCCAGTGCCACAGAGAGTGCAGTGCACTTGCAACTGCATGTGTGCCAGGCACATTACTTTAATCCTGTTCTGGTAGCTCAGTGGGCAACATCTAGGTATTTTTAAATACTGCAATTTTTTTGGTGCAAAATAGTACATTTGCCTACTGCATTTCTTGCAGTCCAATAAAACCCTTAAATTCTACTGTTACATTGTTGGTATAAAAAAAAAAAAAAAATCACACTTTTTTGTGCTAAATAGTACATTTGCGGCCTGCGGTGTACTTCATATCTAAGAGTCAAATAGAGCCGTCAAATACTATGGTTACATGGCAGTTTTAAAAATTCAAATTTTTTTGGTGATAAATAGTACATTTGCGGCCTGCGGTGTACTTCATATCTGAGAATCAAATAGAACCGTCAAATACTGTGGTTACATCACACTTTGAAAATTTTTAATTTTTCTGGTGCTAAATGGTATATTTGCAACCTGCGGTGCACTTCATATCTGAGAGTCAAATAAAACCGTCAAATACTGTGGTTACAATGCAGTTTTAAATATTCAAATATTTTTTGAATTGGGTTGCACTTCATATCTGGTGTATGTGTGCAACATTGGCTAGTTACCGCTTCTCAAGAAAGTCTTAAGACAAATAAATGTTGCCTATGGTGCAGGTAGTATAGAAGGCAAGACTGAGACAAATCATTGGGGTTATGTTTGCCTGTTGACATGTTGATTATCTTAGACCATTAAAATGCAATAATCAATGAAAAAACACACTAAATGCCATACAAAAATATGTATTATAGACAAGTTAAAAACAAGACTACAAGTCATGCTGTAACAAGATTAAACAAGTTTTAAAATATGTTTTACTGGTTACATTCAAGACTACACACTCTAGTGAACAGGACCTTCATGTAGTGTGTTCTTTTTTTAAAAATCATCCAGCATCCTTTCATGAGCTTTTCAGATGTCATATTGTTAATTGCCAATTTTTGCTTAGCCTGATATTTTTTTTTAAAAAAGTGAAAAATAAGTGTTATTGTGATCGCTTCATATACAGAAGCATTAATATACATTTCTATATTGTGTAAAGACACAACTACAAAGTTAAAAACCAAACACCAAAACAATGTGCCAGACAATCTACCTGTGCATGGCTAGGGTGATATAATAAGTCTACATCTTATAAATGCAATAACCCACAGAAGATGGGCGAGAATTTTTTTTTTGCAAATGGAACTTTGATTCGAATTTACTACATCGGTCACAAACAGATTGATATTTTCTACACTAGAAACTACCAGATAACAAGCTGCTATATTTAAACCAGTTATCAATAGCTAAGAGGTACTTAAACAATATTGTAATTCTGGGGCAATACCTTCACAAGTCAAACTGAGAGGTCAGTTTATAGGGAAAACTGTTGCCTGTATACAATTCTAAAACAATTTCCATATGTCCTTTGCAGACTTTACATGCTGGAAAAACACAGGTGCCAATTGCTGTGGCTTTCTGCAGTGTGCAGACCAGCAAGAAGGGCAGGGTTGAGGAGTGGGTGGAAGATGATGTGGAGGATGATGAGGTCCTAGTCCCCACATGGAATGAAGGTCATGCGAGTGACGTGTGAAGTTTGGAGGAAGAGGCGGTGGTCGCACAGAGGCACCAGCACAGCATAAGAGGGAGCAGGGTGCAAAAGCAGAGCGGCCGTCCCCTAGACAGAACGTCTGCTACTGCCCACCACACCAAGGGACTGAGCACACCAAAGTTCCCTGGCGTGGCAGTTCGAACGAGGAGAACCCAGTCGATTCCTGTGGCACTTCCCGATAGGCAAACAGGAGATGGTGCAGGAATCTCTCTCAATCCTTGTGAGTCGGCACAAAGGTACAGAGCATTTGCTTCAACGTACCGTTGAAGTGCTCACAAAGGCCATTGGTCTGGGGGTGGTAAGGGGAGCTCATGATTGGTTTAATGTGCACAATCTCCAAAGTTGGTGGGTCATTTGGGCAGTAAACTGGGTGCCCTGGTCTGAGAGAATCTCCCGGGGAAAACCCATCCGGAAGAACACTCGCATCAAGGCTTCAACCACAGTCTCTGCCCAAATACTGCTCAGGGTACAAAGTCGTGTAGTCCATGATGGTCAGAATGTACTTCTTCCCAGAGGGACTAGGCTTGGCTAGGGGACCTATAATGTCGACAGCTACTCTGCCGAACAGATCTTCACTAACAGGTAGGGAATGGAGGGGGGCCCTGTGCCAATCCCTTCTCTTCCCAACTCACTGGCAGACATCTGGCAGTACTGCCTCAGGTCCTGAGAGATGCCTGGCCAGAAGAAACTTTGGGTGAGCCGAGACACTGTCTGGCTCCTGCCCAAATGCCCTGGCAAGGGGATATTGTGAGCTAGCTTCAGCAGCTCATACCAATACTTCTTGGGTCTGGGGCTGGCGGCCTCTCATCAGCGTGTCATTGGGGAGGCCATTGAAAAAGTGCATGACGAGCTGGGTGATCTCCTCCGGCTTGATGGGAGTTGAGCCAGTTCTAGGTGGCCCTTGGGATGCGGCAGGCCCACTCCACATGGGAGTCCTTCTCCCCTTTCCGGGTCTCCCTAAACTTTCGGCGGTATTGCTCGGGGGTGACCGCATACCGGGCCAGGAGGATTTGTGTAATAAAGGTATAGTCTCTGATCTGCTCTTCTGGTACAGCCCGGTAAATATCCGCTGCCTTCCCCACTAGTTTGCTTGCCAGGATGGTGACCCAGTCGCTGGGGTCCACATCTTGGAATAGGCACTGGCGCTCAAAGTCTTGTAAAAAGTAATCGATGCCTTCTTCTGCTTCCTTGAACTCTTTGAAGGCATTGTATGGTAGCTTGTGGGCCAGGGTGGTTGTGCTTAAAATCAATTAATACTGTGGCTTTTTCAACTGGTTAAATTAATACAATCAAAAAATTGTATTAATTTATCCAGTTGAAAAAGCCACAGTGTAGTGCCGAAACGCGTTCTGGTTTCCTGATTTTTAGCATATTGATGCTCTTTGTTTTATTAATTGATTTTAGGCATATTGATGCCCTTTTGTTTTATAATAAAGTTAGCTTTTATTACTATTTGGATTCCTGGATTCACCTAACCCACCTGCCTTTTCTTGATGGGAGTGCAGTCCCACACTGCACAATACATGAAAATTGAGTCACATTACTTGACTCCAGGCTTGTAAGTACCCATTTGGGAATCTTTATTATCTTATAAGGGAATCTCAAATAGTACTGCACAATCGTCCGTGTTTTTACCCTCTTCCTAGGATAAGAGTCACAGTACTTAAAATTAACCAAAGAAGAGGGAAGATTATTCAAACGGACCCAGCAGTGACATAACTTCGATAAGGGGAGGATCGCCTAAACGGATCCAAAAGCGATACAAACTAGAGCTGAGTCTACAGCTCCCCGTTTGAACTTGGTTGCTGATCTCCTATATATTCCTCAGAGACTACTAAAAAGTGACAATTGATCCCCATAAGCACTACATTCTTCTCTTTCTCAAGTTTTAAAAGCCTGATGGCGTTATTGAACTGCAAGAAATGCACCGCGGGCCGCAAATGTTTCTTTTTTTTAATGTGTCCCAATATTTTGGGAGCTACCCCAATTAAAAAACAAACAAAAAAAAATACCTCCTCTGCCTCCACCGCCGCTTCCACCTACACTTCCACCTACACTGCCACTGCCTCAACCTCCTACTCCACATCCATCTCCTCCTAAAAACAATATTGGCTACCTCATCCTCCTCCACTGCCACGGTCACCTCCTCCTCAACCAATGGGTCGCTTAGTATAAACTATGTACACAATAGCAGAGGCTTGTGAAGGCCTTTTCTCCATGCATCAGGAGTTGAGCTCAGTTTGAACAATGAACGAGAATACCCTGAACTCCAACCCTCTCTCTACCTACCCTGCTGACAGCCATGCTTTTTTATGTTTATGCTTATTTATGTTCTTCCAAAGCTAAAATCAAAGATTTCATCTAGTGCTATTTTATGGCTCAGCTGTATTTTACATTTTTATGTATTTTATGTTATTTTAAGTGATTTCCCTATCCACATTTGTTTGCAGGGCACTTGTCCTACTCTTACCCCCATGTTACTTCCTTTTAAAGCCCTCTAGCCCTTTGCTGGACTTTTTTAGAGGCATTTTAGTGCCCAAAAGTTTGGGTGCCCATTGACTTCAATGGGGTTTGGGTTCGGGGTCAAGTTCGGGTCAAGTTCGAGCCCGAACTCGACCTTTTTGACAAAGTTCGGTCAAACTTGGCGAACCCGAACATCCAGGTGTCCGCTCAACTCTACCAATAATCTACCTGATGAGTTTGTCATCACTCCCAATGGGATATTGTCAGGATTACAGTATGATCCAGCACGTAGAATTGTGTAACACAGAGGACTGATAGGTAACGTGTACCTGACCTTAGAATGGCCGGACTAACATACCAAAGAATAGTCAGGAATAGCCGAGGTCAAGGGATACAGAAAGTGACACAATGATAAGGAAAAGCCAGAAGTCAGGGATACCAGAAAACAGGGAAGTCAAAAACAATGCCAAAGTCAAATAACCAGAAATACCAGAAGAAATAACGCGCTCTCGGACAACCACCAGGGAAACCACGACAGGGCACTGAGCAGGATGAGAATTGGGCCTAAATACCCCTCCTCTAGATCTGATAGGCTGTAACCTGCCTTTGACCCCAAAATCAGTTACTAGGTTTCCATTTGCATAATTGCTGCTCAGCATTCACCCTTCTGTGAATTAGGTTGCTGCTCAGCACAACTTTTCCTGTGTGGACAGTAAATGTCATTAACTACATTTTTATAAGCGGATGAATACGTGACAGATATATTTTTACACAGACCGAGCTATTAAGTGGAGCATTGATACAACTAACATTAAACCTCAAATTCCGGCTTTTTTTTTTATAATTTACGTTTTTAATTAATTGTTGCGAATAGTTAGTATAGTTAGGTGATAAAAATGTGAGGTTTAAGAAGCAGAAAAAAATTAGAAAGTGATACAATTTAAGTATACATTTACATAACTAGTTAGATACTACATGTATTCCGAAAAACATTAGACAGTATTTATCATATCTTCCTTTAGCTTAAATCCAAAAATTAAATACCAGTTACCCAGTTTTAGCCTTTTATCCAAATAGCAACAAACAAAATGACAGCACAGAGGAACCATGGCAAAACTGAAGGGAGATATGTAACTGACAAAAAGGATCTCCCTATAGTTTTCATCATTCCTCTTGTCTTCAAGGGCTTCTCAATGCGATCCCATTGTGTCAAAATTGCCTCTCTGGCTCCTGCCCACTTTCCAGGACCAGTTAGACGATACTGATAAGGGTTAGTTGTGCCAAAAAAGATTTTTAGACCTAGAACTGGATCTGTGAGAAGCAGTTTCATTATATTCGGCTTTGCATTTATATTTGAGGCCAAATCATCCATGTACTCAATGTAATTTACACGCCGACAATTTCCTTTAGCTGTCCCGAACCTTAATAGTAAAACATGAGTATAATTAGTCAAGTTAAAAGATGCACATAGTCATAATTAGATTAATATGTTCATCCCTTACAGTCATTTTCCTATAACATCATGCTAAACAAACCTTTAGAAAGTAATAATTTATGGTTTATTTGGTGATACATAAAGAGAACGTTTAACAATTTACACAAAGCATAAACAAGGCATGTCCTAATTCTGTTCTCTGGAGATCTCATGCACATAGCAACTGGACTAATTGGATTGCTTTTCAAAATCTAATATTAATTTAAAGTGAACCTGTCAGCAGGTTCACTGTAACTGAAATCACCCTCACAAACATTGAACACATTATATCTCAAAGAGATAAATGACGTATGCAGTGTACACTATTCTATTTCTATTATTTACCTCCAGTCCTGCATCACAATTTACTTAACTCAGTGGGTGTTACACAACTGTATATAAAGGATAGGGAGGACCTTAAATGGGTATGATAAAAGCATGATCTAAATTAGTAGTGTCAAAAACACAGATGTTGCCATTTTTGGGCTCACCATCATACAGTATTAGTTTGAAATTCTTTTGGTCAGAGATTTTTGTTTGTGTAAGACTTCAGTGAGGTGCAATGATTGGAGCATGGAGGAGTGCACAGGGCTACTCTAAGTAAAAGCACACTACCCCCAGGGTTCCACATTTTATGGCTAGTCAAAGGTTTTTAAACAATGGAAAAATATCAGAAAAATTATATCTTAATGATTATAAAAGCTAATTAACAGTTGCCACTTAACAGTTTATCATACCGTTTCATTCTGAGTTTTTCATTCTCAACCAACTGCTCCTTCATTTCTTTGTTGCTTGGGAATCTGTGCAATCCTTGAAAATATACAAATGATGAATTCAATTAAAATAAAATGTATTTACAAATGTAGTGTTTTGTTATTTGCATCGGCTTTGATGTTCTTGTTGTTAGGACACACAAGTATTATAGCAGGCGAAGGCAAGGTAAGCAAGGAAGGGTCAGATAGATCAAGTTTCAGTCCTTGCCACTGAAAGAAAAGGTGCTTGTACACAAAACATACCTGTGCAAAGATAAAATCCAAAAGAAAGTTGTCCAAAGTTAAAAATGTAGGACAAATCAAATCACTCGAAACACGCTAAATAAAACAAAATAGCACCATTTTTTCAGTTCCAGAAGACACTGTACATACGAGGGATTACAAAGTCTGAACATGAAAGGTCTACTTAACGCTCACTGTTAGGAACATATAAAAAGGCTAAAGTCAGCATCATAAAGCTTAGATTATGTTGGGGGCTGGAGCATTGAACCAGTGCATCCAAGACATTGGACAGTTCAGTGGAACGAGAAACACACAGGTCGACACATAGGCAGTATGGCCAGAGGCGTAGTGTGGGGGTGCAGGGGGGGCCGGGTCGCCGCCCACTGTGGAGGGGGGGGTTTGCCAGGCGGGGCGGGCTTACCGGGGGCAGGCTGCCCTAAAGCATGCCCTAAAGCATGTTAAAAACGGCTGCTGGGCCGTCTTTAACGCACGGCTAAAGGCAGCTGCCCCGGCCCAGTTCTTCCTAAGGGGCCACCAAAGCAGCTGCCTCTCTTGAGCCCCGCCGGCCGTGGCTACAGAATTCCGATCCTTCACTATGCGGCCGGCATTGCCCCATAGTGTAGGACGGACTGGCTCGGTCGGTGGCTCCTCCTTCTGACCTCCCATGCGCAAGCGCGTACCGTGACGTCATGAAATGAGTCACGGCCGGTAACAGCGCATGCGCATAGCCTCCACCTGAAGGACGCCAGGTACACCCTCACACCCTTTCTCCTAGCCGAGCATCCTGAGAGAGCAGCTGCTGGTATCTTCAGAGAAAGTGTTCAGAGAAGTGTAAGTATTTTTTTTTTATTTTTTTTTTATATTGAATGTAAAGTAAATTATAGTTTTAGGAGGAGTGGGCAGTAAATGCAATGTGTTAATTGTGTATATAACAAAAAATCTGCAAAATAAGTTGTAATGGTGGAAATGTATTTTTAGGGGGAGGGGGTAGTAAATCAATATGTTCATGTATTGTAATAAGGAGATTTTTTTTTAGGGGGAGGGGGTGGAGTTGGGGTGCAGTAAATGCAATCTGTATAGATAAAAAAAAAAATCTGCAAAATAATTAAAAAAAGATTGTAATGAGGGAGTTTTTTTGGGTGGGGCGCAGTAAAATAAATGCAATGTGTACATATATATATATATATAAAAAAATATGCAAAATAAGTTGTAATGATGGAATGTATTTTTAGGGGGAGAGGGTGGGGGCAGTAAATCAATATGTTCATGTATTGTAATAAGGAGATTTTTTTTAGGGGGAGGGGTTGGGGGACAGTAAAATGCAATGTGTATAGATAAAAAAAAAATCCACGGGTTAGGGGGCGCAAATTACTTGCCTTGCCCCGGGTGCTGACAACCCACGCTACGCCACTGAGTATGGAGACAATGTTGTACTTGTAAACCAAATGTGTCACATCAAATAAAGGCATTAGTTCATGTGATTATTACAACAAAACCATACCATACTCTTTCATAAATACAGTATTGGGACTCAGATGTCATCAATATTGTTTAGCGAATTACCAAGAAATTACCTGCAGCCACTACTGAAAAATAAGTAAAAGATAACCGCTCCCATTATTTTCTGGAAGTCTTTGGCCGCTAATTAGCAAAAATGCATGTTATCTATATGGCATTGCATGGAAACTCTAGAGCACATAGCACAGATTTTTAAACCATATCAAACACAAATAAAATAAATGTAAATCCAGACACATCATATAAAAAATTAAGACATTCTTTCTATAAGTGCAGTGCATATGTCTTTTAATTGAACATGTAACAGAAATAGACCTCAAAAGTTACATAGTTATGTTTTTTCCATAAAACAAAATCAAAGTTTTCTACTCTTTTTTCTAAAACAACTGCAAATCTGTATTGTAAATTACTGATAAATATTTTCTTTTTGAACACAGTCCTTACCTTTGAAAAGTCTCATAGCCCACCGATTTTGAATTTCAACAGTTGCTGCAATGGAACCGACGGGTTGAATAAAGCCAATGAAAAATAATGTAGGCTTCTGCAGGTTAACAGGAAAAATATTTTTGTATAAAAATCCCTCATTGAAATCTGCTTGAATGACTGATTCATCCAGAAAAGGGAATCTGACTTCATATCCAGTGGCAAAAATGACAACATCAAGATTATCTACTGTAGTGCCATCTACAAACTGAGCTGATGTCTCGGTAAACTTTGTTATCCCTGGTTTCATGATTACTAAACCTGCAAGAATGCGGCTTGGAAGCTCTTCATTAACCAAGGGTTCTTTCATCTCAATGCTACAAACAAATAGGAAAATATTTTATAGTCATTACAAGTGATGTGTATTGTATTGATAAAACAATAAAAATGCCTAAAGGGACATGCATCACTTTGAAACAACTGTGTCATTCAAAATAAAAATAGTTTTGTGGAACGTTTGAAAGAAGCTAAGAGGTCCCGTTGCCTTTATTACGAGGTGACACGCATGTGTAACGCATCTGAGACACATTTGGAATGCGGAAACCTGTGGTTACAACACTTTCGGTTTCGGTTTCGTACTTCCGGTTCCGGCTATCCATGAAAGCGCCAATTTTGATTACCACACTGATCTGAAGACGGGGAACACCTGGAGAGAATTCACGACTACACCAATGGAATCAAAGAAAGGATAACAACACCCACAGATCCACCAATGAACTTAGGGGTTAGCCCTATTTAAAGGTAGTTTCAGGGGGGGTTTATTAGGATATGTTTTTTGCTTACATGTTATTTATATTGTTATTTGGTTTTAATATTATTGCGGTCCCTGAATAAATTCTCTGGAACGAAACGCGTAGGACCCACTGCTGGTTTTTATCCTATGCTTATGGTGACTGCTCACATTTTAACCAATAAATTTGCTCGTTTTTTTTTAAACCCTCATCTACTAAAGTCCTTTACAAGATCGACCATTTGGAAGTGGAAAGTGGGATTCTTGGCCCCCCATTATATCGGGGGAGGCATCCTTTAAGTGATTTATTCACCTCCATCTAGTGAGTGCATTCATATTTGGCGCATAATTTCTGTTGTTTACAGTATTACACTATAGTTTATTTTATGTTCCTTTCTAGATTCATTTAGCCGTATCCAAAATAGTTTTTTTTGGTTTCTCTACATATTGTTAAGGTCGTATTTTGGGCAACGACCTTGGGAGGCTGTGCTATATTTCATTTCAAGCTAACTATTGCTATTTATACTTAAACACACTTATTCTATTATATTTATTTATACTGTGGTGTTATATTGTTTTTTGTTTTTTTTTATATTTTTGACCTTGAGCCTCCAAGTCCGTAGCTCGAAGATGTTGGCCCTCATGTCGGCCTGGGGCCGGAGGGTTGGCCCAGTCTGCTCCCATTGTGCAGCAACCTTTGCCGATCTCCCTACTTCCATTATGAACATCCCATGCATGGGCATAGGCTAAAACTGGACTAGCTTTCTGGGGCACGCTACTGTCAGCCATTCCTATGGTACACAGCCTCCACAAGTCTACAGGAACCACTGGTCTTCCTCTCATACGACTCCAACATGTTGTGCAATACTCAGTTCCTCAACGCATGCTTAGCTAGACATTAGATTGCCAGTCATTCTGGGACTATTAGTTTAGCATGTTTAATCTGTAATACTCTGTACAATGGTTTATTAGCCCAGTGCATTTTTTTAGCATAGATTCATGCAAATCTTACCTGTTACGCAGCATTGTCACTAAATGGCAACCACAGCATTATGTTTAGCATTAACTCATATATCTAGCCTGTTGTGCTGCACCCTATTATAAATGTCTCAGCAAAGTTTAAAGTACTCCTACATGCATCTCTAGCCTAACAGGCAACATTACTATTTCGTTGCAATCTCAGTATGCTATGTGGTGCTACCCAACGAAAATTGAGCCTGATGTGCAGCATTGCAGTCTAGTGATACTCTCAGTAAGGACAAGGTACTGACTACGGCAAATTTACCCTGTTATGCAACACTACTCCTCACTACTATTCTTCTTACACTCCATTTATATGTCTGTTGTGACAGGTCAGCATAGCCTGCTATATTCTGTTTGCTTATTTTAAATAGCAATGAGGCAATGCTAAATTTTGAGGTATCGCTACACAATATATGTACATCTTTGCCGCCTTACAGCTACACTTACCAACTAAAGTATAATGAATTTAAAAGAGCACCATAGGGTCAGGAACACAAACATGTATTCCTGACCCTATAGGGTTAAAACCACCATCTAGCCACCCTGGTCCCCTCATGCCTCCCTAAATATAGTAAAATCTTATTTGTATTTACGTCTGCAGCTGCTTCTTTTGTGCCTGTTTCCTTTAGATCTGCCCACTGCCTGCTGACATCATTAGAAGTGGTAGCCTGATCCCATCACAATGCTTCCCCGTTGGATTGGCTGAGACTGACAAAGAGGCAGAGATCAGGGGCAGAGCCAGTACAATTCAAACACAGCCTTGGCCAATCAGCATCTCCTCATAGAAATAAATTGAATCTATAGAGAAGGTCAGTGTCTGCATGTAGAGGGAGGAGACACTGAATGTTTGGATGCATTTTAGGCAGCCATGACCCAGGAAGGATCTCTAACAGTCATCTGAGGTGTGGCCAGTGAAGTTATCACTAGGCTGTAATGTAAACACTGCATTTTCTCTGAAAAGATAGTGAATACTGCAAAAAAAACAGAACATAGGATACAGGTAGCGCCAAAATAAATACAGTATTGTGGTAAGTAAGCAAAAAGGTACCAAGTAAAAGATAAAAATGTCCTTTTGATGCCTGTAGGAAAGATCTGACGTCTTGGTGTGTTGCTATGGAGTATGTAGTCCCCTTGTTATTGACTATTAGTGCAAAGGGGTAGCCCCATGTATAACATATGTTTCGGTTGCGCAGGTGTTCTGTAATGGGTTTGAGAGCTCGCCTCACTTGAAGTGTGAACCAGGATAGGTCCGGAAATATCTGTATATGGTGTTCGTGGAAAAGCAGAGGCTGGGAGGTGTCCCTGAGTGCCCTGATTATGTTCTCCTTCACTGTAAAGTAGTGGAGCTTACAAATGACATCGCGGGGTGCTTCAGAAACTGCCCCTCTTTGGCGTAATGATCTGTGTGCTCTGTCCATAATTATAGGGGTATCAGTTGGGTCCCCTATAATAAGATTGAATAGTTCCGTCAGGGTGGCCAACTACTGTTTGAGGGATATGCTAGTGGGGAGTTGAAATACCACTGTAAGCTGTTTTACCGAGAGCTAGTTATAGCTCTGAAAAAAGTGAGTTGGGGGCGTGGCCGGACGCAGAGCTGAATGGACGTGCACTAATCCAGCTCCCTGAGCCCTGGGATACAATCCGCAGCAATCAGAGGTCAGAAGACAAAATGGGAAACCCTAAAAAGCAGAACGCATCACAAGGAGCCACCAACACTAGTGGCGAAATCGGGACCACTCACCTGTTATTTTCGAGATTCAGCAGACCGCAAGGACGAAACCGCAGGCCTCAAAATGGCGGCGGACTCTGCGCCAACAAGCCCAGCAACATCCGAGGGCTCATGCAGCACACATGCACCATTACAATACCAGGAGATAAGAGACTTACTGAGGAATCTTCCCTCCAAAGCAGACCTAGCCAACATGATTGGAAAATTGGAGGCTTCCTTCCAGGCTAAAATAGATGCAGTGAGGGCAGATATACAGCAAGTAAGTCTTAAAGTCACAGACCTTGAAGAGGAAAGGGACGTGACACAATCCCAAATCACAAATAATTCTTCCACACTATCCTCCCCTTGTAATTCTGGGAGTCCCCTAATCCTTAAGTTATTTCTGCGGCTCCTATTGTCTAAATCATCTAGCTGTCTTTGAAAGGCAGATAGTATGTGTGAGTGAGCCTCTAGTGTGGAAGAATTATTTGTAATTTGGGATTGTGTCACGTCCCTTTCCTCTTCAAGGTCTGTGACTTTAAGACTTACTTGTTGTATATCTGCCCTCACTGCATCTATTTTAGCCTGGAAGGAAGCCTCCAATTTTCCAATCATGTTGGCTAGGTCTGCTTTGGAGGGAAGATTCCTCAGTAAGTCTCTTATCTTCTGGTATTGTAATGGTGCATGTGTGCTGCATGAGCCCTCGGATGTTGCTGGGCTTGTTGGCGCAGAGTCCGCCGCCATTTTGAGGCCTGCGGTTTCGTCCTCGCGGTCTGCTGAATCTCGAAAATAATAGGTGAGTGGTCCCGATTTCGCCACTAGTGTTGGTGGCTCCTTGTGATGCGTTCTGCTTTTTAGGGTTTCCCATTTTGTCTTCTGACCTCTGATTGCTGCGGATTGTATCCCAGGGCTCAGGGAGCTGGATTAGTGCACGTCCATTCAGCTCTGCGTCCGGCCACGCCCCCAACTCACTTTTTTCAGAGCTATAACTAGCTCTCGGTAAAACAGCTTACAGTGGTATTTCAACTCCCCACTAGCATATCCGTCAAACAGTAGTTGTAGTGTAGGTTACATGCAATTAAAGAAAAAGAAAACAAGTGATCAGCTGCAGTGTTTAAAACTCCTGGGACATGGGAGCATACCAATTAAAACTGATTGCAGGCTGCTAGCCACGTCAGTTTCCCAATGACCCTCATAATCATCAATGAAGACGAGCAGTCTTTGTTAATAATGTGGCAACTTGCCAGATTCTCTGAATAGCACTGAACTATTTTGCCTGACCATAAATGGCCCCAAGCCACTGCTGCCGCCACAATAGCGTATACCTCAAAAGAGCCATTTGTCACCAAATATGGCTGCAAAGCCCGTGGTAGCTGCTGCATCCATCCGAATGACCGGGGAGTGTATGGAAACCTGCAGGAGAAACATGCTTCTCCCGTTCCAGTTAGAGAGAAATGTACCACATGAGGAGGTCTGCCTTGGGCGTTAAGGAAGAAACAGCCTCGGTCATCAGGGAATGTGGGGAGTAGGCTGAGGAGCCTGGAGATGAAAGCTGAGGGATGACTCTCATAGCGAAGTTCAGGGAGCCTAACAATGACTGCAATTCTTTCCGGTTACAGGAACCGGTAAGCATGTAATGGTGGATATCGTGGCGGATGCTAGTGACTTCTCCTGTGAAAGGCTAGCTTACATGGTCATCGAATCCAGGTGTAACCCTAAGAAATTAAGGACCCTCGGTTTTCTTTGGTGAGACTGGTACCGCCCAGTGTGTTGAATAACGTGACTGCTTTATCCAAGCTGCTCGAGGGGGAAGAATTGCTTTCGATGAATAAAAAAATTGTCTAGACAGTGGATGACGGTATGGCACCGGCACATATTCAGGAGGAGCCAACACAATATCTCCACGAAAGTATCAAAAATTCTAGGACTACTCTTCGACCCGAGGGTAAGCCTAGTGAAAAAATAATACCGGCCATTCCATTTAATGCCGTGCAGGTGCCATAATGACAGGTGAATGGGCAATAACTTGAAGGCATTAACGATGTCGGTTTTGCTGAACCAGGCCCCCATGCCCACAGTCAAGATAGTGTTTATGGCCAAGGACATATTTGCTGTGAGGAACGTTGCCCCCAAATGCCCAGGCAAATACCTGGTTTGCCTCGATTTATGGGATCCCAAGAGCTTTGGGCTCCCCGTGGGCAGGTGCGCAGTGGTTTCCAGGGTGGGTGGTGAGGGAGCACTTTCCCCTGAGCTCTCTGCTCAGCTTCCTCGCGCAACCCGCAATGATGCCGGGAGCGAGAATATGATGTCATATTCCGGCTCCCGGCATCACTCTGTGGCACGCGAGGGAGCTGAGCAGAGAGCTAAAGGGAAAGTGCTTGCTCGCTGAAAACCTAGAGCGCCCGTCAGCCTGATTGCACATTCGTCCACCTCCCTGCCCAGCAGACCCACTGGACCCCAGGTGAGAAATCCACCCAGAAATCCCAAAAGTAGTAAGGTTGGGTGGATTTCAATTGTGTGTGTGTCCGTGAATGTGAGTGTGTGTCTGAATGTGAGTGTGTGTGAGTGAATATGAGTGAGTGAGTGTGTGTAAGTGAATGTGAGTGTGTGTGTCAGTGAATGTGAGTGTGTGTGCCAGTGAATGTGAATGTGTGTCAATGAATGTGAGTGTGTCTATCTGTGAGTGTGTGTGTGTGTATGTGAGTGTGTGTCAGTGAATGTGAGTGTGTGTGTGAGTGTGTGTCTGAATGTGAGTGAGTGTGTGTCAGTGAATGTGAGTATGTCAGTGAATGTGAGTGTGTGTCTAAATGTGAGTGTGTGTGTCAGTGAATTTGAGTTAGTGTGTATCTGTCAGTGAGAGTGTGTGTCAGTGAATGTGAGTGAGTGTGTCAGTGAGTGTGTGTCTGTCAGTGAATGTGTGTGTGTGTCTGTCAGTGAATTTGTGTGTTGCTCAGTCTGTGTGTGTGTGTCAGTCAGTGAGTGCGTGCGTCTGTCAGTGAGTGTGTGTCCGAGTAAGTGTATGTCTGTCTATCAGTGTGTCAAATCAGTGAGTGCGTGTATGTCATTGTTTGTCAGTGTATATGAGAGTGTGTGTCTGTCAATGAGTGTATGCATCTATCAGTGAGTTGGGGCGTCTGTCAGTGAGTGCGTACGTCTGTCAGTGAGTGTGTGTCCGAGTAAGTGTATGTCTGTCTATCAGTATCTCAAATCAGTGAGTGTGTTTGTCATTGTTTGTCAGTCTATATGAGAGTGTTTGTCTGTCAATGAGTTTATGCATCTATCAGTGAGTTTGGGGCGTCTGTCAGTGAGTGCGTACGTCTGTCAGTCAAAGTGCGGCCTTGACAGGAAGGGGTGGGGAAAATTTTAATTGGAGGGGGGGTGCCCGAGCACCGTCCTGTATTTAGCACAAATACTAAATACACCACTGTTTACGGCGTTGTCAATTGTTGTGTACTGTAGAGAGAATTCTTCTGACAGGATCAGTGAGTTTAGACTTGGGACCCCTGAGGAGTGTGGTGCTGAGAGATCTGAGTCTTTGTTTGCCTGAGTTTTCCCAGAGACAAGGCCAATGGAATTAGTTCCAGCTGAAAAAAAGGAGGCTCCATGAAAGGCCCTAGTAAGGACCCTTGCTCAACCTCTAACTGTAATATAGCACCTCTACTGCCTTGGTATTGGCAATGGCTGGCTGAAGATTGTTACATTCCAATATCCCTGTTGGCATGTGGATAAGGCCCATGTGGAAACACTGAGTAAAACCAGTTATCAAGAAATCCACAAGGTGTTTGGAAGGGTGTGTGGACAGTAGTCTAGCTAGCATACCAACATTGACCGATGTCAAGTAAGGTTTATAATGCCTTTTATTAGGGCACATGGTCTTCGCATGTGCCCTGAAACAGTGAAAGCATACATGCAACAGACGACAGGCGCTCAAACCACATGATCCTTCATTAAAATTATTACAAATCTGTGAATTCCCAAGGTATATGATTGGGCTGCCTAGTTTATCTTTTCCTTGTTTATCAACCCTCAAGGTGTTTGGGGTTGCCATACTGGGGGTGACGTCAGGCGAAACTGGACAGAAATTGTCCGAATGTGCAGCAGAAGAGCAAGTTGCACAAGCTTGGATCCTTAGCCCAGCGAAGTGTCTGCAAAAACGCTCTGTATTTAGTTGGCTCATAACCGTGCTGACGTTGTACTGGGCCAGAGCTGCAGATGCCCTTGCTGAGAATGGCCGGTGGTAGTCATAAAAGGACGTGACCCCGTAATTGTTGCCCAGGTCAACCAGCTTGTGCATATAGATATCCAGCTCTTCCCTTCTATGTGGGTGAACTGAACACAAAACATCCCTATAGATACCAAAAGTGATAACAAAATCTGGGATGGACAGCTTCTTGCTGAGTCTAGGGTCTCTTGATTTAAGAACTACCGAGGTGTCCCCATATGCGTAAGTGCGATTCTCTACGATATCCTGGGAGGCAATCAGAAGGGAGATGAGATTAATGTCCTTGCCTTCCAGGATGTCCTTTTTAAGATTTACCGGTATCATGTGTGCTGCATTTATAACGTGTGATCTGGACATAGAGAGCACACTATTGCCCGGTTGTAACTGGGGCATGTTTGAAAGTATGTCTGTGAGGGGCTCTGTAGCCATAATAGGTCAACTAGGAGCTTCCAGTCTCTCTAACCGATCGCTGATTTGTCCTATGGAGGACACCAGTGAGGTGATCATTGTGTGGAGGTTGGAGTCGTTAGAGCTACTTGTGCCCTCCCCTGCGTCCGTATCGTCCATTTTGGTCTGCATGAGCCTGGATAGCGCTGCTTTCCTGTCCGTAGTTGGGAAAGGAATGCTGCGCTTGCGTAGCTCAGTCTTAATGCAGTCCATGACCTGATGAAGGTTGGGCTACCCGTATCACCCTTGCGTGTAGAGGTAGTGGACCTGGCCGGAGTGCTGGGGACTGAAATATCATCACCTTCATCAGGAACCTGAGACATGCTAAAAAACTGCAATAATACAGCTTAGACCCAGGGACATTACTGGCATGCTAGCTAGTGCCAAGTGGTGAAACGATTCACTAATTGGTGACAAATGAGCCCTTACTATATGCCAATCGGCTTGAGAGGCTCTACCTAAGTTTTGGCTCGAGTGGAAGGTTTGCCACCTAACGTCGTTGCGGGGTGTCGGCCTCTCTGTGCCCATAAAGCATAAGATAGTAAGGGCATGAAAAGTGAGGTCCTCTCTATGTAATAAGCGAGGCAGCTAGATGTGAAGTGGCCCGTGGGGCGTATAACCTCTTGCGTGGAGGATGGATGAAGGCCTTGCGGGACCACTGAGCCTAAGGCGGAGATAGCCTGAAGCATGTACCTAAGGGGCCACCTTATTCCCTATCAGCCAGTAACCATGTAGCAAAATCAGGCTAACAGAGTGGGCCCAGGAGTCTAGTACCTGCTGGTAAAGTGAGTACCGGAAAAGGTCCATTGTGCGACAAACAGGAATCCTTATTAATTTAATATATATTTGTGTTCGGGACAACATTGATTATGATATGAAATTGTTGTTAGCAAACCTGTGATAGGAAAAAATCGGTCAAGGTGTGCCGAAACCAACATATGCTGTAGGCCAGTAAATAAAGTGGGCCTACACTAGAAGTGTATGGTGTATAAGTGGAGTGGAGGGTGGGGTGGTAGCTAGTCAAAACAATCACGGTAGGGTAGGGAAGGGGGGATTACATTTTTAAGGTCCATAAGCCCCTCCCACAACTTCAGGTCAAGCCTTCCAATTTGTGTTCGGGGCAACACATTATGATATGAACTAAGATTGTTGTTAGCAAACCTGTGATAGGAAAAAGTCAGTTGAGGTGTGCCGAAACCAACGTATGCTGTAGGCCAGTAAATAAAGTGGGCAAAAAAGAATACATATCATGCTCAATATACATGTATTCAGTAAAGAACATAATGCAACCTAAGTACATTTTAACGAATGTCCTTTGTATTTCGTGTACTGGTTGGGGTATGTATGTTGTATATGATGATGACTTCCAGCGACCTAGAGTTTTAATGACTGGAACGTGCTGGCTTGATGCCCTAGATGCGGCCCCTATCCTAAACAAGTGTCCTGAATAAAGGCTAGGGTTCATACCGAGCCTTGTTAACAATAAACGTACATTGAGGTAGTGAGGATAGTCCCGTGAAGTGACAGTAGCGGAAGAGATGTGATATTAGGAATCAAAAACCTTCACCGGCACCATATATTATTTGTGGGATACTATGGAATGTGGGTGGGTTGACCAAGTTGACTCGTTTTGGTCACGGGTAGAGTCAGTATGTAATGATCTTGATGTTTAATTAGGTAGGAGCTTCGAAAGCAACCTTGTGTGTTGTGTTGGCCACTCATGGTAAATTCTCGTGGCCTCAGGAAGCCGTAAAAGGCCAGGTAAATAGCAGTTTCAGAGTTGGTGAGGGCTTTGAAAGGGGCTGAATCTAGCAAATAAGACATATTTTTGGATACCCTTAAGTATAGTCGGATTGGATAGAATGAAAGGAAACTGGTAGACATGTGCAATTCGTTTCGGGCCGAATGTGAATTCGGATGAATTTCGGGCAATTCGGACATTCGGTTACTTCAGAATGTCCGAATAGCTTAAGTGCCGAATTGCCGTAGTGCCGAATTACCGAGGTCCAGATGTTCCGAAATTACCACATTTCTGAAGTGTCGAAGTGCCGAAGTTCCGAAGTGCTGAAATGACAAAGTTCCGAAGTTGCCGAAGTTCCGAAGTGTCGAATTGCCGAAGTTCAGAAGCACAGTATTGCCTAAGTACTAATATACTTACCTAGTGGAAGAAGAAGAATGTTACACTGAATGTAATTTTAAATAAAAAGTATACAAACGTAGCCAGGATTCAGCTGTAAGCATTTGCAACACTTACAACAATTAAGTAACACACATTCATATAAAATGTAAGTTACTTGGCCAGTCAATGTAGTGACAGGAATGAATAAGTAGATAACTCCCTAAATTCCATGGTATTAGGGAGCTATCTTCTAAAAGACTGAAAGACCTACATTGGTATTTCAGCCAAATGTACTAATATTAAGTAAAGATTACTTAGTATTAGTAAATTATGCCCCTACTCGCTATACCGCGAGTAGGGGAATGTCTACTAAATAGTAAGAAGCTGTTTACTAGAATGAGGTAAACCAAATACTTGCATGAGCCACACTAGGTCAAGACCAGCTTGTTTGGAGTTTAGGCAGTTTGTGTTGATGACCTTTGAACTGAAAGTAGATGGTTCTGTACTGAACCAGACAGTCTCATCAGCCTGCAGCTCGTCAGACAAATCATGGTGGGGTAGGGAAGGGGGGAGTCACTTTTAAGGTCAATAAGCCCCTCCAACAACTTCAGGCCATGCCTTTCTATGTATATATGTATTTATACATATATATATATATATATATATATATATATATATATATATATATATATATATATATATATATATATATATATATATATATATATTTATACATATATATACACATATATATACAAATATATATATATATATGTATATATATATATATATATATATATATTTACACACACACACACACAGTTGTAATCAAATGTATGCAACCCCTAATAAAAAAATTCACGTTTATTGTCAACATTTTAAGACATTCAGCTGTTTGCAATGAACACATCAGACAAAAGCAATTAAAATAGCTCCACACAATGAATGCATCAGGTTGTTACCCCAAATTCAACTAAAAATGCAACTTATAATTACAATTATTATTGAACCCATTCATGGCAAGCATCTTTAGTACTTTAAAGGCACCCTTTTGATGTTATGACCTGCTGCACATGAGTTGCATAGTCAGACACCAGCTTCTGGCAGCTTTCCTGAGGAATCTTACCCCATTGCTAACGAGCAATGGACTCCAGTTCAGTAATATTCTTGGGTTTTATGTGCTGCAACTGCCTTCTTCAAATCCCACCAGAGATTTTCTATGGGGTTCAAGTCAGGTGACTGTGATGGTCACTGTAGACTTTTACAGGACTTCTTCTGCAACCAAGCATTGGTGGAATTGAGATGTGCTTGGGATCATTGTCTTTTAGGGGGTCTAATAACGCCCAAGCTTCAGCTTCCTCATAGACGGCATGATGTTTTCTCCTAGGATTTCCTGCTATTTCAATTAATTAATTAATCTTGCCTTCCACACGCTTCAGGTTTCCAATGCCAGAGGATGAAAAGTAGTGCCAGACCATCACCAAGCTACCACCATTAATAACTGTAGACAGAGTGTTGTTTTCAGCATATGGGTCATTCCTCTTCCTCCAGACATACCGCTGATCTATTCGCCCAAAAAGTTTCAGTTTTGTTTCATCGTTCCACAGAACAGAATCCCAACACATCTGTGGCTTATTCGTATGATTTTGGGTGATTTAGAGATGACTTTTCTTGTACTTTTGGGTCAGTAGTGGTGTATGTATTGGAGTTCTGGCATGGAAACCTTCTGCATTTAGCATATGCTTTACTGTGCTCAATGAAACCTCAGTGCCTGTTGCCCCCAAGTCTTACTGCAGGTTTTTTGTAGTCACTCGATGATTTTTCACAACCAGCATTCTCAGAAATCTGGTTACATAGAAACATGGTTGCAGCTATTGAAGCCATTGCTTCCTTTTTCTGCCCCGTCCAGATAGTTAACTACTGTTCCTTCAACTTTGAACTTGCCGTCAGTGCCGTCGCTATCTTTTCCTTGTTTGTGAAGGGCAATGATCTCTTCTCTTAACTTTGTGGACCATTTTTTTGACTTAGCCATATTCCGAACATACCATCACATATGACACTCATTAAACCCTTAACCAGTTCAGGCATTACAAGTGTCTCAGGTCAGGCACACCTGGTGCAACTAATGAAGCTATTGGTTAGTTACATCAAGTGTGCTTGAGACACTTGTTTTGCATATTTGGGCTGTTTGAAGTAATCTGTTCAGGGAGTTGAATCATTTTGAGACTGGATAAGTCATTATATGCTGCATTTTCAGTTGTGTTGAGCTATTTTAATTGTTTTGGTTTGCTTTGTTCATTGCAAACAGCTGGAAGTCTGAAAACTGAGATAGGTGAATTATTGGATGGATGAGGGGAGGGTAAGAGGCTCAGAGGTGTGCCAGAGAAAGCAAATTCACAATGTTTATGGTGAGTATATAAAAGTTTGTTACATAGTTTTCAAACTTGTCTTGCTTTATTTTAGTTTCTATATTTGTGTAAAAGGATGTGTTTGCATATCTATAAAAAATATCAAGTGATACATGTCCCTTTAAAGCTAAATTCAGAGCTCCACTATTTTTATCAATCATAAACATAACCATATACAAAGGGGGATGGGGGTGGGGGTGTCAGCATATAAGCTGAACATTTAATTATTATCTGTATATTAACACTTGCAATATTATTAGTTATACAAATGTCTATTTCTATATATATATATATACAAGTTGAATTTTGTATTTATGTCTCCGACTTACTTAAGCAAGTCCATAACACGTGTTAAGAAAAATATGTGCAATAAAAGACTGCTTTATATTCTTTGCATAAAGATAAGTATGGTTTTCAAAGGTTGAGGATAGAGTGGCAATGTAGGAGGGGTAGTCACATACAAAAAACTCTTTAACATCAATTCTAAACCCTCTGCTAATATGGTGAGGATGTATTAAAGAGATTGTTGTTCCAATTATTCTAGTGACAGTAGTTCTAAATGTCTTTGTGTCTAAATGACCCCTGCCTAAATTAAATAAACCCCAAATTGCAAATACCAGGAATAGCATATTTTTAAGAATACCCCATACACGCTGTAATCAACTTACCATTCTGGCTTAATGTCATAGAAGCCATGATCAAATTGGTCATTCATATATTTTTCATATAAGAATCGTGATAGAGCAGGTGGCCCACTAAGTTGGATCCAGTTTTGGAAACGAGTTATGAAACTTAAATCAAAAGGATATCCGTCTCTTCCAAGTCGTCGAAACATGCAAACACCTCTTTTTGAGCTTAGATATACCTGCATGGCAAGTTAGAGACAGAAGAGTTCTGAGTGAGTGACCAGGTGGCAGTGACATTATCCATTTACTTTAACTTGCACATAGGATCACTGAATGTGTACGTCAGTTGCTATAAATGTCACAAATTAATTGCAAAATGTAAAGCAAAACTCAAAACTGGCAGATAGCAACAAAACTATTTAAAAGTGAGATGAAAATTCTATATGTATTTACAACTGCTAACCTGAGTTTTATAATTAAACCTAACACCATCAAACAAGAGTCATTATAAGGTTTTGTGAAAGTGTAAGTGACAACAATAAAAAACAATTCAGAGACTGGACATACTAGGGCGATAGACAGAATAATAGTCTGCTGTGTGAGCAGCAGATAGAACATCAAAAAATGTTTGTGGTTCCCAGAACCTCCTTGTACCTGTGAAGGACCAGGTGACCTGGCTACCTAAAATTAAGATGAACATGAGTCACAATGATCCCTCATAATCAGCTAACACAGCAGATAATCCAGTCAAGTTTTCATGCGAATGGTAAAATGGTTAAATAATTAAGAAAATAGTCCTAGTCTTATTTGGAATTCATTATTATGGAGCTACCATGCTGGATGAAAAGCATATGGTGGGAAATATGATAAGCATATCTGATGAACAGAAGTGGTGTAACTAAGAATCACAGGGCCCTGGTGCAAGAATCATAACATTTACATTCTCACTGATACACATACACTGACATACACTCACTGACACACACACTCACTGACAGACACACAGTCATTGTCACACCAACTGTTTCACATTTTCAGTGACAGAAATGTACACACACTCACAGACAGACATACACTGGCATCCACTGGCAGACAAACACACTGACTGACACACACTGACAGACATACACTCTCACTGATAGCCACTCACTGACAAGCACACAAGCTCATTGACAAACACATACTAACTGACAGACACACACATACACTATCACTGATTGGACACACATTTGCTGACAGACATGCATATACACTGACAAACACACACACTCACTGACAGATACATACCCAGCAACCATTCTGATCCACACAGCGCACTGCACATCGAGAGGCCCCCCTCCTCTGCCATGAGAGGTAAAACAGCAGGGAGGGAGGCCATGTGTGTGAATGTGTACACAGCTGGAACTACTTTCGCCTTGGGTGCCCTCTCTGTAAGGGAAGATGCTTAGTACTGTTGTCTATTCTACCTCTACTCCTACTTGGGAAGGGGGGGGGGGAAGACATGGATGGAAGGCGTAAAGAGCTATGGAGGAGAAGAAATGAAAGGGATAGGGGGTGTAGATGGAAGAGGTAGGGAGGTATGATGGGAGATATTGGATGAAAGGGGAAGGGAGATATGGATGGAAGAGGTAGGGAAGTATGTGGGGGAGATATATGAATGGAAGGGGTAGGGAGGTATGGGGGGAGAGATAGGGAAATATGGATGGAAGAGGGAAGAAGATATCGGGGAAGAGATATGAATTGAAGGGGGTGGGAGACATGGGGAAGAGATATGGATTGAAGGGAGGAGGGAGACATAGGGGAGAGAGAGGAATTGAAGGCAAGAGGTAGACATGGGGAGGGAGATGGATGGAAGCGGAAATGGAGACATGGGAGCAGAGATATGGATGGTAGGGAGGGAGGTATGGATGGTAGGGAGATATCGATGAAAGAGGTCAGGAAGACATGGGGGAGAGATATGGATGAAATGGGGGAGGGAGATATGGGGTGGGACATGTGGATGGAATGGGGGAGAGACATGTCAGGGAGGGGAAGAGAGCCATGGATGGAAAGGAGATAGTAATAAGTTGAGTGTGCAGCTATACCTTACTCTGAATGGTGAATGCAGAAGACCGAGCAGAGCGGGGGGCATGGATACAGCTCCTCGCTAAGGGTTCTACAGACCCTAGGTGCACCTCTGCTCACTGCCCATCTACAGCTCCCCTCAAGACACAGTATATATCAGCAGAGTAGGTACATGCCTTTCAGGTAAGCGGGTGACTACTCTGCATTAATGAATATCCATCTTGGATGGGGCCCTAAGGTGGCAAGCCGGCCAGCTCATTGGCCCCTCATGACAAGCAGAACACAAAGTACCTGGCCGCACTCATGACCTCTGTGACCATAGTAATTCTGCCACTGAAAGATCCTCTCAAAAAGATCCAGTATAGTTGTGAACAAAACAGTGACAGGAAATTGGTAGCAAATTCCAACACATGACCAGGCACACACTGGAGGCAATATATAAAAATTAACACACCTGACATCAAATACAAAATAACATTCTTTATTTAATTAAGCAAATGTAATGTATATGCACAGGTATGTACAAATCACACAAGAGTATGCATGAGGATAATGAATTGAACATGAATTGTCCATTAATGCAAAAGTGCAAACATTTAAAAAATGAAAACAATGCCTACCATGAAGAAACTGCTGTATAAAATACACCCTGTTCCAAATTATTATGTCACAAAGATTAAATATTTTGTTTTTCAGTTTAACTCATGGATGACATTGTGTCTCAGGGCTCTTTTGATCACTGAAAACAATCTCGGACACCTGTCATAATTAGATTGCCAGGTGAGCCCAGTTTAAGGAAAAACTACTAAAGGAGGGTGTTCCACGTTATTAAGCAGAGCACCATTTTTATGCAATATTGGGAAGAAAAAAGGATCTCTCTGCTGCCAAAAAGAGTGAAATAGTTCAATGCCTTGGACCAGGTATGAAAATATTAGATATTACACGAAAACTTAAGCGTGATCATCGCACTATTAAGAGATTTGTGGCTGATTCAGATCACAGATGGGTTCGTGCAGATAAAGGCACATTGAGGAAGATTTCTGCCAGATCCATGCATCAGATCAAGAGAGCAGCTGCTAAAATACCATTACATAGAAGCAAACAGATATTTGAAGATGCTGGTGCTTCTGGAGTCCCACAGACATCAAGGTGTAGAGTTCTCCAGAGTCTTGCAACTGTGCATAAACCTTCTATTCAGCCACCACTAACCAATGCTCACAAGCAGAAACGGCTGCATTGGGCAGAAAAATACATGAAGACTAATTTCCAAACAGTCCTGTTCACTGACGAGTGCCGTGCAACCCTGGATGGTCCAGATGGATGGAGCAGTGGATGGTTGGTGGACGGCCTCCCTGTTCCAACAAGGCTGCGGTGGAGTCATGTTTGGGCCGGAATCATGGGAAGAGAGCTGGTCGGCCCCTTTAGGGTCCCTGAAGATGTAAAGATGACATCTGCAAAGTATGTGGAGTTTCTGACTGACCACTTTCTTCCCTGGTACAGAAGGAAGAACTATGCTTTCCATAATAAAATTATCTTCATGCATGACAATGCACCATCTCATGCTGCAAAGAATACCTCTGCATCAATGGCTGCTATGGGGATAAAAGGAGAGAAAGTCATGGTGTGGTCTCCATCCTCCACTGACCTCAATCCTATTGAGAACCTTTGGAGCATCCTCAAGCAAAAGATCTATGAGGGTGGGAGGCAGTTTACATCCAAACAGCAGCTCTGGTAGGCTATTCTGACATCTTGCAAACAAATTCAAGCAGAAACTGTCCAAAAACTCACAAGTTCAATGGATGCAAGACTTGTGAAGCTGATATCAAATAAGAGGTCCTATGTTAAAATGTAACGTGACCTGTTAAAATGTTTAAAAAGTTAAAATGTTGTTATAAGTTTGATTGAAATAGCTTTTGATTTCAGTAAATATGCTGCAAACACAACAAATGACAATTCTCAGTTCTTTACAACCTATAAAGTGTTTTGAAACTTACTGTGCGTAATAATAATTTGAAACAGTGCATTGTAAGTTTTTTATGTTTACAAAAAATACTGTTATCATTAGGAGGTTTGTTCAATAAAATTTGAATTGTACTCTTAGTAGTTGATAACATGAGAATTATGCTGGCTGTTATTTACATCAATTATTTAGGTAAATTAGAAAAATATAATTTGCATAATAATTTGGAACAAGGTGTAAAGCTTTACCTAGTTGTTGTGACAGAGGGACACCGTAACCACCCAATGTTTTGGCTCCACATGCCTTTGTCAAGGCTTGCTATCCTCTTACACCAAAAAGGTCTGGAGGCAGGTGGTAGCTAAAATATGTAAATTATGATCTTTCTGTGTATATGTATGTGTTTGTATATGTGTTTATTTGTTATCTGTGTGCATATCTGTGAGTGTATATGTGGTATCCAGGGCCAGACAAAGAGCCCAGTGGGCCTGGTGCTGACAATTATGATGGGCCTAATTACAGGATCTAAACACTAACACAATAATACCTCTCAATCATCATGTATCTGATGGAGATGGTGTTGGAGGGAAACTCAAAGGATGCAGCTATAAGAAAACACATACCCTATGCTAATCTCTTTATCTCATTTATGCTTTCATCTTTTAAGTAAATCCATACCCCCTAACAACAGTGTCCAGTGAAGCAGGAAGTCAATGGGCCGGGTAAAAGTGTGAGCCACTGACGTGAATCACGTGACCAGAACTCCCAAAAAGTGGGCATGTCTGTCCAAAGAATTGGAAGGCTAGCCTGGCATTGGTGTCCCTATGTATCACAGTGTCAATGTCCCCATGTCGCCCAGTCCCCTAATCTCCCAGTGTCTGTGTCCCCATTTCTCCCAGTGTCCCCATGTCTCAGTGTGTCCCGTATCACTAGGATACTAGGGGACACTAAGAGACATGGGGACACAGTGAGACCTGGGGACACTGTGAGACCCGGGGAGACTGGGAGACATGGGGGCACTGAGACACTTGTAGATACAGACATGGGGACACTGGGAGACATGGAGACACTGGGAGACATGGGGACACTGAGACACTGGGAGAAATGGGGTCACAGACACTAGGGACACAGAAACATGGGGACACAGACACTGGGAAGACATGGGGACACAGACATTTGGGGAAACTAAGACACTAGGGACACTGAGAGACATGGGAACACAGACACTGGGAGACACTGAGACTGTGACACTAGGGACACTGGCTGGGAGGCATGGGGACACAGACACTTGGGGAAACTGGGAGACGTGAGGGCACTAATGTGGACATATACATGGGGACACAGAAATATGGGGACACTGGGACACATGGGGACACTAGGGACACAGATACATGAGGACACAGACACTGGGAGACATGGGGACACTTATACACTAGGGACACTGGCTGGGAGACATAGGGACACTGGGAGACATTTGGACACCGAGACACTGGCTGGGAGACATGGGGACACAGACATTTGGGGACACTAGGAGACATGGGGACACAGAGAGACATGGGGACACAGACACTGGGAGACTAGGGGACACTGGGAGCCATGGGGACATTGGGAGCCATGGGGACACTGAGACACTAGGGACACTGACTGGGAGACATGGGTACACTGGGAGACATGGAGACACTGTCTCCCTAGTGCTTCCATGTCCCAATTTGTCTACTTATGTCTCACAGCGTCCCTATGAGTCTCAGAGTCCCCATGTTTCCCAGTGTCCCAAAGTGTCTGTGTCCCCACGTCTCCCAGTGTCCCCTAGTGTCTCAGTGTCCCCATGTGTCCCCTAGTGTCTCAGTGTCTCCCTGCTGCCTTTCTCCCCATCCTTCACATACCTGAGCTGTAGTCTATCTCTGCAGGCTAGGAGCTGCTATCTGGACTCTCTGTGCTGTGTAGCTGCTCCCCCGCGGATCAGTGAGTAGAGACAGGCATGGAGATGCTGCAACTTCCTATCCCTGCCTCTCTCCATACACAGTGGTAACCCGCTTCCTGCCACTGGACTATTGCCCCATGTTTAACACTGTTCTTTTTCCCTGCAGAAAGGCTGGTTCGTGCCTTTCTGCCAACTGCTAAAGTCACGAACACTGCTGAGCCGCCGACCTTCCTTCTCCTACCTGCAGTCAATTATCCGAACACCGGTCCATTTGGTACTTTACTGTTTAAACCATGCTACCCCAGATAGCTATGCCATGGAGCCCAGCCGTATACTGAAAGACTGTATGAAAGACTTTGGCTCCATGGCGATAGAACTGTATGTATGTGATCTGAGTGCCATCCGGTAATAATGAGCGCTCAGATCTAAGCTATCTTGGGATAGGTAGAATGTGTATGTTCTATGTGATAAATGTAACAGTATGTATTTTTATGTCTTTTATTGTCCTTTGTCTGCCATGTGGTTAATGGAGTTTTGCCTCTGTCCTTGGAGATAATTGGATTACTTCCCAATTATCTCCAGGACAGAGAGGAGGGATTGTGATCAATATGTCCAATATGTCCAATATGTTTCCCAGTCTTCCATCTGGTCCCCTAGGGGAATGTCCACCAGGTGGGAAACCTGCATAAAAACCAGGCAGGTAGCCCCAGTCTCGTTCTTGGGGGGAATTGGATTATATGCTGTTACAGTGCGACTGCCAGGAGTGTAAACTGTTGGTATGGTTTTTCCTGTTCGGCTGTTTAACAACATCCGTGTGTTCAGGAGTTTGAGTATTCATGTGTTTGCAATTCGGGAGATTGGTACTTGCAGCAGCTGTTCATGTATTTAAAAGGGGAATATCACCTAAACGATTTTTAACCTCTTGTGTGCAAAACGGTCCGTTACACATTTGTATTGCCGGTATTACTGCCTCAAATATTGACTGTGCCTTAAAATACCAGTCAGGTGGCAAACCTAAGAGTAGTGTGTAAAAAAAAAAAAAATGGGCCTATTCCATGGGCCTGGAGCTGCAGCAACATCAGCCCTTATGTTAATCCGGCCCTGGTGGTATCTGTACATATGTGTGTATGTGTTAGTGTGTATATGTGTTATCTGTATGTGTCAATGTGTCAGTGTGTATCTGTGTGTATGATTCATTGAGTGTGTGTATGAGTCTGTGTGTGTATCTGTGTGTGTTTCCATGCATATCAAACACCAACTCTACATGCAAGCATATTTAAACACCAACTCTATATACAAGCACATTTAAACATAAACACTAAACACAAGTACACCACTGCAAATAAATAGCAACAGTACATACAAACATACAACAGCATTCAAATGCTAACTCTACACACAAAAACATACATTCTAACACACACAACATGCTTACATTCAAGCACAAGCACTACTCTGAAATATAGCTCTGCCAGAATGGATACATTGTAGATCCCTTGCTGGAAACAGAGGTCCACCATCCCAAATTGTTATTATAAAACTATTTTAGTATCACTCGAGCAGTTTGGAAAATGTTGCATTCCTCAATTATATCTTCCAGAGGTCAAGTCTATTGCATTTTGATTTTAAGTGAATTCAATTAATTAAAAATTATAGATAACTGTTTCCAGCTGAATAGAGTAATGTAAGTAGTTTCAGACTTAATTTTGTTAAAAAGATCTTTAACTAATATTACAATATGTTGTATGATATTTGCTGTATATTTATATTACAAAATAGAGCAAGTCCTACCTGTGAGGCTCTGGTACAAAGTTCAGAAGCGAGGTCAGCTCCACTGTTACCCAGTCCTATAATCAACACTTTTTTACCATCAAATTCCATTGGTTCCTTGTATTCTCGACAATGTAGAATTTTCCCCTTAAACTTGTTAACATCTTTGAGAAAATAACATTTGATATTAGTATCATTCAACAAAAAACTAGTACCATAAAAATGCATCCACACGCAACTATGTGAATATTATCAACAATCAAATTATCTGACCCCCTGATCAGGATTTTCGTCCGAATCACTCAACTTCGACTGCCCTCTTAAAAGTTTGCAACGATATCCAAACTGACATGGAACAAGAAGACTTAGCTGGAGCTATTTTCCTTGATTTTGCCAAGGCCTTTGACACAGTACACCATGGTATTCTTTTGCAACCGCTAACCTGGTTTCGATCATATGTTTCAGACCAATTGCAATATGTGGCCATTTCTGATAGCGCCTCCCTCTTCCAGTCACGTGTTGTGTTCACCAAGGCTCCATACTTGACCCTCTGCTATTCACATTATTTATAAATGATCTGCCTAACGTCTGCAAATCCTCAACTGTACACATGTATGCAGATGACACTGTAATCTACGCTAGAAAGCCCAATCTACCACAACTTCAGGCTGTGCTCCAAAACCAATTCACAGCGGTAGAAAAGTGGATAGTGGATAACAAACTCTTCCTAAATACTGACAAAACAGTTACATTGATCTTTGGAACTCTACCTAAATAATGTAAACTACAAAATCAACAACTATGTGTCAGAACAAATTCAAATAGCACACTGACAGCAGTCTGTTCTTTTAAATATCTAGTTATGTTTCTAGACCGCAATCTATCCTTTGGCCTTCACATTAAAAAAATATTTTTTAAACTTTACTCAAAACTAGGTGCCCTGTACAGAAACAAATCCTGCCTAAGCCCTACAGTAAGGAAACAGCTAGTGCAACAAATGCTGATGCCAGTCATTGATTATGGGGATGTCCTTCATGCACCTGCATCGCAAACCCACCTTAATAAACTTAATATGTTAAATAATTTATGCTGCGGCTTTGTACTAGAATGCAAATACTTTCCCCCCCATTGTGACATGTTAAAAGAGCTAAACTGGCTATCGCTGGAATCCCGACGCACTCTTCATCTTTCCAGCGTTGTGCTTTTTTGGGAAGCTCCCACCCTACCTCAGTAGAATGTTCTCTCAAGCTGTTCCAACATCCTATAGCTTCCAATACAGTACTAGCACGATATTTAGCATACTGCAATACAGAAATCAGGTGGCTCGATCCTCATTTTCCTACAGTGCACAGCAATTATGGAATAACGTCAGGGACACAATCAAATCTTCATCCAATCTAAAATCGTTTAAGATATCTATGGCAATATACCACAGCACAGAATGCACGTGTCATGGTTGAATATATTTACCATCTGTTATATGTTAAATATATGTGTGTATGAATATGTATGTATGTATGTATATATATATATATATATATATATATATATATTTATATAGTTTGTATATTGAATTTTTTGTAATATTGTGTCCTATTGTAACAATGCAATGTTTTGTGGACCCTGAACCTACTTGAAAATGAAAGAAATCTCAATGTATCCATCCGGGTAAAATATTTTATAAATAAATAAATAATATTTGGACTAAATCCCTCTCTCTCCTATTTCCACCCTAATGTCCCTCATTTCTAGAAGCTTCAATATTTGGAGTACATTTGCGCTGCGTTTTACAGGTATATGTCTATAAAGTAGAATGGACATGTTTAGAAATTATATGATTATGATCCATAAATGCCTATAGATATTGAAATCACCTAAAATGTCCCAGTATAGCCATACACTCTATTATGGTTTTAGCCATGGCCCCCTAAAAAAGGAAACTGTCACTCTTTGGACATTTGGAATCTTGGAAATGTTTTGCTTTTATTTATTTTTTTTTTTACATTATTATTTTACCTCTTATTTACGTCATCCATTAAAGTGAAGCTAGCTACATTAAACGTTGAAATTAAGCATAAACTAGTAATAGGCTGCACTAAAAACACCCTTGCATGCATAAATGAAAAATCATGATTATTAGAGAGCAAATGAAGTTCTACCTGGGAAAGAGTCCAGTGGCAACAATGGGTAAACATATTGGCCACTGCATACGGTAACTGCATCAAAGACAGTTGTTGCTTTTTCTCCATCATTCTCAGTTGTAACAACCCATTGCCCATTTGAGTCGAAATCTGAATGTTTCTGCACTTGGCAAACTGTTGTCTGCACAACATAGAAAATAATGGTTTAAGAAAATTTTATGAGAAAAAACAGCCAATATGTCTGCTTTTATTTCAAGAGCTGTAAAACATTCTACCACATTTATCCAAGATAAGAAATCACCTTCATTTGACATCAAGGCATGTAAGCTGATTTGGAAATATAAAGAAAGCAGCTTTCAATGAGAACTGCAAGGTTATTAAAAACAAATAAATAAATGGAATAGTGGCACTGTCACTTACTTGGTTTGCTTCTAAGGAAGAGATGCAGCATGAAACTAATAATTCATTTTGCTACAGGAACCCTCATCTATAAGTTTAACTTTTTTTCTGATGATACTCTCAAGTCTCTAACCCTTACAGGAACAATTTAGTGTTAGGAAATCAAAGATGTATTACTTAGACATAAAGTGACCCTCTGTCTCTATGGCTCCCACCATCCATGAAACGGATAAAAAAAACCTTTAATTCACCTACTTGATTCCAGCGGTGCTGGGTCGCGCTCCTCCTCCACCAACATCAGCCAATGGGGGAACACCGTGTGCACATTTGGCCTTCCCCATAGAAAAGCATGGAATTAATGCTTTTCTCTGGGGTTTTGCTTGATGCTGGTTGTCCTCAATCAAAGTGTGTGGACGTCCAGCATGCTTTCATGAAGTCCATGAAACTTTAGGAAACCACTGGTGGACATCCATTAGAGCATTTTTTTGCACTGTTTTGTATTTTCTATTTAAGGTCTCCATTCCAAAGAATATCATGGAAAGAGAGCAAAATGCATCTGTTACTTAGAAACCAGATTTGAAACAGTAGGACATAAAATTAGAGCAAACATGCAATTTATACATAGAGTGCAGTAATAAACTTATCAAAACTGTATTTTCAATTAAATAGTTTTGCTCTAATATCTAAAATCATATTCCTTGTGTCTTTTCTTTAGAATGTTATCTAAACAATGCATAATCTAACTCACCTTAAACTTTATATATTTCAACAACTGAAAGTGTTCGGCATATAATTTGCAATATTCTAGATACTTGGCATTTGGGAGGAAGTTAGGAAAGTTTTCAGGCATTGGAAAATCACTGAAGCAAAATGTTTCCTTGGAAATATTGCTGACAAGAGATTTGTAGATACTTGGACAACCATCTTCCACATGTTTCTGAAATAGAAATTACACTGCTTTTGGTAAACATTAAACATCAGTTCTGAATTATTGATTAATTATGAATTATACAACAAACATACAAACATTTCACACAATTAAATTATAACAAATAATCATTAATTAAAGGAACACCATGGAGTCAGGAACACAAACATGCCCCCTCCCCCCCCCCCACCTTCCTCTCACTCCACCACCTCCCCCCTTAGCCCCTTAGAAAAGGTGAAACACTCTCCTTTTTTTCCAATACGGCATGGGTCGGCTGACCCTGCTCCGCCCCCGTCTCCTTCCTTGGTGACTTCATCAGAATTGCAGATTTTTTTGCCAATACAGTTGCTTTCCTGCAGGGAGGTTTCCCTGGGGGGAATGTAAACACTGCCTTTTCTCTAAAAAGGCAGTGTTTGCATGAAAATACCTGAAACCATGATTATACTCACTCAAAGAACTACATTAAGCTGTAGTTGTACTGGTGACTATAGTGTACCTTTAAGTATTCCAATACATATTGGAAATTAATCAGACACTCGTTTTAATGTGTTTCTTTCTGTATAAAAACTCAACTTACAGGACAACTGTCATATTTTCACTTTTTTAAACATGTATTACTCTTATTGAACCTCAATATTTATTTATTATGTATATTATTTTTTTTGAGAAAATTTCACTTTTTGTGTCTGATTGAGCACCTATGTTGGGTCAGACTATACTATTATCTAACCAACTGTTGCTCAACCTGTCTTGAATACTTCTGCAAGTTAAAACTGAGCACACAGAGCAATAACAGCAGTTAGGTTAGGATGAACAGTAGTTGTTCAGATAACAGCAGAGTCTAAACCCAACATGGCTGCTCAGCCTGATGTAAAAGTTTTTTCTTTTTAATTTTATTTTTAAAAATCCATTAAGTTTCATAAAATGAGAAATTAAAATTTGAAGACTATTGTCATTTAAAGAGACACACTAAGTAGGGGTTATTGTAAAAGTTATGGTAATAGGTTTGTGCCAAATGTCTATGGGTACAATCTACTAATTGTTTGTTTGTGTGTGTTATTTTTAGTAAACCATTTTTGAACTTTTTGACTTTCCCCAGTTAGTTTTAAATTAACCATTTATAATACATACTGTGTCCTACCAACAGCTTTTTTTCACTCAGTTGTCCATTTTGAAATAAAATCAACTGACTTGAGTTTTATTGATTTACATTTTACACCAACCATAAAACATTGGTTGTGGTTGAAGTAACATTTCTGTGGTTTTCACCCCTCCCCCCCAACTCAAAAAAATAAATAAAATAAAATGCTTTGACCCTTTTCCGTAGAGGGAGGGAGGTCATGGAGGATGGGCTGAGAGGAGGACTGGGATGGCACGAGCTGTGCCACCATTGTTTGTCTGGTACAAACACATTGTATGTGCTGGTGTCAAATGGCAATTTTGCACAGAATTGATATTAGCCAGCCCATACCTCTGCTCCAGGCTGCCTCATAATCAGGGCCGTCTTTAATTTAGATTGGACCCTGGGCGAGCATTTACTTGGGCCCCCTGACTACGTCTAGATACACACAAATACACTACCTGACACACATGCAGATACACACTGACCACATATAGAAACACACAAGAACATACAGATACACACAGACTACATATAGATACACTGACACACACACAGATACAAACACTGACATACATGCAGATACAAAGGTACACACACTGACTACTTATAGATACACCGACACACACACTGACAGACAGACACACAGATACACACATGCAGATATACAGATACAAACACTGACACATACAGATACACACACAAATACAAATGGACAACATACAGATACAGAGACACATTCTGACAGACGTACTGACACAGACTCACACAGACTCACACACAGAAAACCATAATGAAACACACATACACAAAGACATACTGAACCACACAGACACTGATGGACTCTCACACACACAGACATACAGATACACTGACAGACGTACTGGCACATATACACACAGACAGACGGACATACTGAAACACACATACACACAGACATTGACAGACATATTGACAAACACAGACATACAGAACCACACTGACAGACTCACACATAGACATACTGACAGACTGAAACACACAGACACAGACACTGACAGATATACACACATACAGATATTTTGAAACTCACAGACAGCCATACTGAAACACACAGACACTGACAGACTCACACAGACATACTGACACACAGACAGACATTCTGGCACACAGACAGACATTCTGGCACACAGACAGACATTCTGGCACACAGACAGACAGACATGCTGAAACACACATACACACATACAGACAGACATGCTGAAACACACATACACAGAGACAGACAGACATGCTGAAACACACATACACACAGACAGACAGACAGACATGCTGAAACACACATACACACAGACACTGACAGACAAACACACATCCAGACATTTTGACATACACAGACAGCCATACTGAAACACACATACACACTGAACCACAGACACTGACAGACTCACACACAGACATACTGACACACTGACAGACATACACACATACAGACATACTGAACCACACAGACACTGACAGACAAACACACATACAGATACACTGACAGACTTTGATAACCACCCTCCAGTTTCTTACCTTGTCCTGGAGGGTGGCTTCCCTGGGGTCCAGTGGGCTGGCTGGGGTGGCTGGGAGTTAAGCTCTCCTGGCCTGGCCCCCTCCGGAACAGCTGGTCCTCCTTCCTCCCGCGCGGCTCCTGTTTCTGTGGGAGGAAGTGACGCACGGCTGTCACTTCCTCCCACTGCTGCCGAAAAGCAAGGACCCGGTCGCGCTGTTAAAGCGCCACAGCGCCCGACCGGGCCCCTGCTGACACAGTCCCACCGGGTGGCCCTAAGTGCATGGGCCACCCGATGGGCCCCCATAGTTTGCGGGCAGAGGGCAAACAGGGCAGTTACCTCGGGCCCCCCAGCAGGGACAGGGCCCGGGGCAGCTGCCCCGTTTGCCCCGCGTTAAAGACGGCCCTGCTCATAATGCTGCTGCTTTAGGTAGAGTTACACCACAGTGGGTGGTCTTCTTTTACAAATGGTATGCCATCCTGGAGGTAATTCTCGTTCCTGGGCTACCATACGCTCTCTAAGGCAACATAACCAACCTGGCAATTTTCAATGTAAAAAAAATTGACCCTTATATTTGACCCTGTAACTTTCAAAAACACTATAAAACCTGTACATGGGGGGTACTGTTTTACTCGGGTGACTTTGCTGAACACAAATATTAGTGCTTCAATATAGTAAAACGTATCACAACAATTATATCATCAGTGAAAGTGCCGTTAGTGTGTGAAAAATGCAAAAATCTTAATTTTCACTGACAATATCATCGCTGTGATAGGTTTTACTGTTTTGAAACACTAATATTTCTGTTCAGTCTCCAGAGTAAACCAGTAACCCCCATGTACAGGTTTTAGGATGTCATAGAAAGTTACAGGGTTAAATACAGTGCTAGCAAATTAAATTCTCTGGACTTTTGGCCTGGGTTGTCAGGCAGGTCCCTTAATTTGCAATGAATAAAATGACTTAATTATGTAAAATATTACATAAATATGTACGGACAATTTAAATATATATATATATATATATACACATACATATTTATATATTTGAAGTCTATATTGTGAATATTTATGAAATTATTTATGTAATTTGGTATGTGGATATCTATATATTTTGTGTATATATATGTGTGTATATATATATATATATATATATATATAATTTCATTTATTCTAAGTGTATTTTGATATATATATATATATATATATATTAATATCAAAATACAGTTAGAATAAAATTACATTTATATATATTTTTTATTATTATATTTTTTACATTTTTAAAATGTTTTATTTACATATTACTTACATTTGATATATATATACATATATATATATGTGTGTAATTTAAGTATAAGTTTATTTTATATTAATATATGTATACAGTAATATAAAAATACACTTAGTGTGACTATATATATATATATATATAATATAGGCATATATTAACATTTTTTATTTTTTTATTTTACAGATGCTGTGAGACTGCCTGTCAGTTCAGGCAGTCCCCATGCAGGCAGATTCACGGACGCCTATTGTGGCCATGTGACCGCTCTGTTAGAGTGATCACATGGCTGCGGTGGCCTAAATCGCCGAGGGGGTACTGTCTGGGCTGTCAGGTAGCCCCCCCAGACCAGGAGCAATGCCAATTACCGGCAGGGGAACAGCTGCGATCGGGTAAGTAAATATTACCATTATGACGGTTCAGGACCGTCATCAGTCCTCAAGAGGATTTTTCCAATGACGGTCCTGAAACATCAGCGGTCCTTAAGGGGTTAAATAGACAGGAAAGTTAAGGTGCAAAACCTGCCAAAAACTTCCATGATTTATGAAAAGAAGAGATATACTAGGTTATGTTACATAAATTAATCTTATGCAACACTGATTCAGAAAAAAAGCTCTCTGCTTATTGTCATTACTTTTTTCTCCCTAAACTTTAATTTGACTTTGAATCTATATAACTAATGAAAGGATCTCACTGTAGGAATAAATCTAACTTTTCTAAGTAAGATGCTCCCTGTAGAAATCTACTTAAAATGATCCTTTAATATCAAATATACATAAATACATTTATTTGGGAAAATATTGCCATCTCAATGTTTGGAAGACTTTACAACCACTTGTCGTTTCATTAGGATGTCTGCAGAGCCCATACTATTATTTTGCCATAATTCACAGTTCACTCTTAAATAATGTATATATGTATATATTTCCCTGGCCCTATGCATGGTAGCACTACTGTGGGGCACAATCTCACCCCTTAACTAACTGAATGGTTAACCCTTTGAGGACCATAAGATTACCGTCATCAAAATAACAAAGGGTTTTAAAAGCCTCCAATTTAATTAATTTAACCCCCCTTCCATGGTTCAATCAGTCTTTTTGCAGTCCACTCACCTTAAGGAATATAAAAATATTTCACACAATTAAATTATAACACATAATGATTAAAGGAACACTATAGATTATAGATATGATATTAAAAGTAAAGAGTTCCTTGGAAGAGGCTTAATAAATATATTATATTTTGTTTTTAAGGTTATCCTAACTATAAGATAAGGCCAGGGACTAATGAAAGTATTTAGAAAATTGGGCAGACTAGGTGGGCCGAATGGTTCTTATCTGCCGTCACATTCCATGCTTCTATGTTTCTGTTTATTTTTTCATATTATCTCAACTTAGAAAACTGAGGAACTATTGAAATGAGAAGATCAGAGATAATCATATTCTATATTGAACAATTATCTCCTTTTTCTGGTGTAAATTATTATACAATTTGTGTTTTGTGGGAAAAGCAAAGCTGGCAATATCTGTCAAACCATTTGAGCATCATTTGACATTCACTATTAGGCATGTTGGTCACCTCCTCTACTTCCCGACTTAGCAAAAAAGAGAAGACAGATGTTCATGTAAGCAATCAATATTTGGCTGAGATTGTCAACTGAGCATCTTCTGCCAGTTAATGTACTAAATGAGTTCCTGTCTTAAAGAAACTGACAGTCAACTTCTCCACCGGGAGAAGAACGGGAGCTGATCGGGCACGAGGCTTGACTTAGATAAGTGTCAAACTGAGCTAAAATGGTTCAGCAGTCGGTGCTGAACAGCACAAGGCACCATAATCATGACTGGCACCACAATCACTACAGTTGGCTATAATGGTTATGGAGATTGGTGTGTCCTTTTAAGGGATCCCAGATTGTTAAACCATATGAAGTCATTGTCTAAAAGTGTTTTTGCTACCTCCACAAATTTTCTTTAAAATTACAGAATTCACTTTGAATTTTTGCCAATTTACACTTTTGTGAGTAACTTTGAAAGCTGTAGCAAACATACCAGAATTTTGTTCAAATATAAATAGTTTCCTTTTTAAATCAAGGACACTTACTGTGAAATTCCACAGGCCTCCAATGTCATTTCTTCTTTCAAAGCACGTGGGCTCCAAACCTTCTTCCAAACAGCTTTTAATTCCACTTAAACCACTGACGCCAGCTCCAATAATTGCCACACGCTTCTTAACCATTGCAACAAATGAAAGCTACAAGAATAGGTTTTAGTATATTTTGCTGGGAATTATGCTTATTTCTTTAAAAAATTAAAGAAATAAAGTGAGTGTGTTCATGGTTAAACAAATAGAGTAAACTTATTTTAAGCTATTCATATCTACTATAAGATAAGGATTCCATTATAGTTTATACAGGTGATTAAATACATATTATACATGATGTATACTGATTTACGTTGAAAATGTAAATTTGCAAATGTTGAGTTTAAAAATCCATGTGTTATAATAATGGCAGTATTGTGGCATCAATATAGCTCTATTTATGATATCAGATTTTAGCACAGTACTGCTGAACATTACAGCATCTACGATTGTAAAATAGTTTGATAAGGTCGTGTAATAATTTCCATTTCTTCTGAGTCTTTTTGCAATCAATTGAAATAATTCTATGTATATTTCTTGGGTTAAAGGCTTGTCACATTAATATACGTCTATATTAATGAAAAGTACTAATACGCAATCTGACTTAAGGTTTCTTACGGTTTATTCTTAGTTACTGATACATAATAAAACAACAAAGGATGATGTTCATGGATGTTTAACAGTAGATGGTAATTGCTGGACAGGAAGAAGATGTCAGGATTACTAATTGATCCAGCATGCAGAACTGTATAACACCTAGGACTAAAGGTAACGTCTTACCGGGCCTTAGATTAGCCGGATTTAACGTACCAGAGAATAGTCAGAATACTTGTCGAGATCGGGCACACAGAATGAGACACAACAATGAGGGAAATCCAAAAGTCTAGGATACCAGAATACAGGGAAGTCAAAATAAAGCCAAAGTCAATAACCAGAAAAAAACGCTCAGGAACACACTCTCGGACAACCACAAAGGGAAACCACGACAGAGCAATTAGGGAAGGCAAGAAAGAAGTTTAAATAAGTCTCTTTTAAATCTGATTGGCCGTACCAGGCCTATGACCCCAGAACGTGTGTGTGCGTCCTTTGCGTGACGTCACACGCACGTTGACGTCATTAACACCGTGGGCGGACGTGGGGCTGCAAATTGATATGGATCTGCAGCAGCCGGCATCTTTCAGCATGCCGCAGGAGCCAGATACACCGGCAGAGGACTGCTGACCAGCATTTCCACCAATGCCAGGAAAGAAGTTACCCTCACGGACACCACAAGGTGAGGATAAACATGTGACAGAAGAGCCAAGAGAGAGAGATACCTCATGTCCCTTTGTTCAGTTACTATATAAAAGTGCCCATACTGACATCAAAGTATAACTCTAGCTATATAAGGACAAGACTACCAATCCACATTCCAGAGTTCTCAGACAAAGAAAGACATGTGACTTATTGATACCATCTGTTACTTATGTCAACCCAGACATCCATACATAATCAATAGAAACATAGAATATGCAATATTCTACAGGTAGAGTATTATGTGCTATAGGATTTGGGGTACTTAGTGGTTAGAGGCGCCTAGTGTTAAGGGAGCTTAGAAGGATGAGGATTTTGGATTGCTTTGAACTGCTTTGATTCTCTAGCAAGTGAAACCTAACTTAATCTCTCTAACCCCATTAGCCATGGTACTAATGATTATATAATCTAACACTTTCATTAAATTAGTACATCATTATAGTTTACATCGTGATAAATGTCACTGTTCGCAGTTTATGCAATTCAACTCAACTCATTTGCAAAATAATTCCAAGTCAGCTATACTTCAATTTCAGCAAATTGGACAAAAATTTTAAATTTACTAAGAATTCACTTTTACATCCCAACAATTCCAATTTTAGTCATAAACCTTGCAAGTGTTCATTTTGCCAACCTCAGACTCTTATCAAGACATTAAACCATAGCCCAAAATCCTCAAAACATGAATAATTAGTACTCAGCAGTAGAGGTGAGCGAACCCGAACTGAAAAGTTCGGGTTCGTACCAAACATTAGGTTTTTTGGACCCCGAACACGGACATATCACTGTATGTTCGGGTTGGAGTTTGGTGTTCGGCGATTTAATGGCGCGTTTTCAAAGGCTGCAGGGCAGCCAATCAACAAGCGTTTGACTCATGTGCCCTTAGAATCCATCACAGCCATGCCTACTAATGGCATGGCTGTGATTGGCCAGTGCAGCATGTGACCCAGACTCTATATATAAGCTGGAGTCGCGTAGCGCCGCACGCACATGTGGTCTTATTAATGTAAGGAGAGGATGCTGCCGCTGATAGGGATGGCTTAGGAAAGAATTCTGCAAACTAGTACATTAGTGGGGTGGGTTGCACTTCATATCTAAGAGTCAAATAGAAGCTTCAAATACCGCGGTTACATCGGAGTTTTAAAAAGTAATTTTTATTTTGGTGCTAAATAGTACATTAGTGGGGTAGTACATTAGTGGGGTGCACTTCATATCTGAGAGTCAAATAGAATCATCAAATACTGCTGTCACATTGCAGTTTTAAAACTTAAAAATTTTTGGGTGCTAAAAAGTACATTAGTGGGGTGCACTTCATATCTGAGAGTCAAATAGAAGCGTCTAATAGTGCGCTTACTGCGCAGTGGTAAACATTCTAATTGCTTTGCTGCTAAACTGCTAAATAGTACATTTTGGGGCCTGTTCTTCATATGTGAGAGTCAAATAGAAGCGTCTAATAGTGTGCTTACACCGCACTTGTAAACATTCTAATTGTTTTTCTGCTAATCTGCTAAATAGTCTAATAGTGTGCTTTCTGCGCACTTGTAAACATTCTAATTGTTTTGCTGCTAATCTTCTAAATAGTACATTTTGGGGCCTGTTCTTCATATCTGAGAGTCAAATCGAAGCGTCTAATAATGTTCTTACTGCGCACTTGTAAACATTCTAATTGTTTTGATGCTAATCTGCTGCTTACATTATTATTATTATTATGATATTTATAGAGCGCCGTCAAATTCCGCAGCGCTTTACAATGGGTGGACGAACAGACATGTAGTTGTAACCAGACAAGTTGACACACAGGAACAGGGGTTTGAGGGCCCTGCTCAATGAGCTTACATGCTAGAGGGAGTGGGGTAAAATGACACAAAAAGGTAAGGATAGTATTAGACTAAGACAGTTGCAGAGAGGAATCAGTCAGTGCTATTAACAGTTTTTGATACGCTTTTATGAGAAGTGGGGTTTTTAAATTTTTTTGAAGGAGTGGAGACTGGGTGAGCATCTAACGGAGGAGGGAAGCGAGTTCCACAGGAACGGTGCAGCCCTCGAGAAATCTTGAAGGCGAGCATCAGAGGTGGGAGTACGGACAGAAGATAGACGTAAGTCTTCAGCAGATCGTAAGGGCCTAGACGGGACATACTTGTGTATAAGGGAGGATAGATAGGTGGGAGCAGCATTATGTAGAGATTTGAAAGCAAGAACCAGAATTTTAAATTGAGCTCTATATTTTATAGGAAGCCAATGTAGGGATTGACAGAAGGGTGAGGCATGGGAGGTGCGGGCGGACAGGAAGATGAGCCTTGCCGCCACATTCATTATGGACTGTAACGGCGCTAGTTGGGAGCACGTAAGACCACTGAGAAGCGGATTACAGTAGTCAAGGCGAGAAAGGACAGTGGAATGCACCAACACCTTAGTCGCATCTGGCGTTAAGTGGGGCGGATGCACACAATGTTTTTGTGATGGAAATGACAGGATTTGGCGATAGATTGAACATGAGGCTTGAAGGAGACGTCGGAGTCAAAGAGAACACCTAGGCAGCGAGCCTGCGTGGTGGAGCTGATGGTAGCATCGTTGACTTGGAGGGAGACAGACACAGGAGTAACACTTGAGGGAGGAAAGACCAGAATTTCAGTTTTCGTCAAATTTAGTTTAAGGAAGTGGGCAGCCATCCAGTTAGAAACAGCAGAGAGGCAGTCAGAGACACTAGTCAAGAGGGACGGGGAGAGATCAGGAGAGGACAGGTAGATTTGTGTGTCAACTGCATAGAAATGATATTGGAAGCCAAAGGAGCTAATGAGTTTACCAAGGGAGGCAGTATAGATGGATAGTAGGGGACCAAGGACTGATCCTTGGGGGACACCAACAGAGAGGAGTTGGGGAGGAGAAGCAGAGCCAGAGAAAGAAACACTGAAAGAGCACTGGGGAGGTAGGAGGAGCACCAAGAGACAGCAGTATCTTGTAGACCGATATTGCAGAGGATGAGAAGAAGCTATTGATGATCAACAGTGTCAAAAGCCACAGACAGGTCAAGGAGAATTAGGATAGAGTAGTGACCACGAGATTTTGCAGCGAGTAGATCATTGGATACTTTGGTCAGTGCCGTTTCCACAGAGTGCTTAGGTCGGAAACCAGACTGAAGCGGGTCTAGCAGAGAGTTGGACTCGAGGAAGTCTGTCAATCTCGCATACACAATTTTTTCAAGGATCTTGGATGTAAAAGGCAGTAGCGAGATAGGACGATAGTTGGAATGGGGAGTTAGGGTCAAGATTGGGCTTCTTTAGAATTGGGGTTACAGTTGCATGTTTGAAGGGCAATGGAAATATACCAGAGGAGAGAGAGATTGAGAATTTTAGTAAAAGGTGGAGAAAGAGAAGAAGACAGAGTACGGATGAGATGCGAGGGAATTGGATCTAGGGAGCAGGTGGTGGGGCGGGAGGACTGGAGCAGAGGTGAAACGTCTTCCAATGTAGTGGGTGCGAATGAACACAGAACAGCAGAGGGAGTGAAGTTAGGGGAAGTATTGTAAGGGGAAGAAGAAAGATGAGATATCTCTTCTCTGATTGTAGAGATCTTGTCAGTGAAGTGAGTTGCAAAGTCTGAGGCGGTCAAGTTAGTAGGTAGAGGAGGAACAGCAGGGCGAAGAAGAGAGTTAAATGTGTGAAATAGTCGTTTGGGTTCGCAGGAGAGTGTGGTTATGAGTGTATTGAAGTAATTAACTTTTGCAGAGGAAAGAGCCAAGCTGTATGAGCTCAGCATAAAATTATAGTGGAGAAAGTCAGATGCACAGTGAGACTTTCTCCAACAGCGTTCAGCAGTTCTGGAGCATTTTTGGAGGTATCGAGTGAGCTTGGTGTGCCAGGGTTGTTGTTGGGGGGGCCTGCGGCGTTTAAATGTACAAGGTGCCATGATGTCTAGTTGAGAGGAGAGGGTGGAATTGTAGAAGGAGGTTGCAGAACTAGGACAGGTGAGGTTTGAGATAGGTAAAAGGAGAGTTTGGAGATTAGTGGAGAAATGCTCTAGGTCAAGACATTGGAGGTTTCTGTGAGAGTGATGTTTAGATGGTGGTGTCAATTGGGTCTTGGGTATGCTAATGTCAAAAGTCAGCAGATGGTGGACAGATAGAGGAAAGGGAGTATTGGAGAGATTAGAGGCAGTACAGAGGTTGGTGAAGGCAAGATCAAGAGTGTTTCCTGCTGTATGGGTTGCTAGATTGGACCATTGCGTAAGGCCAAAGGAGGAGTTTACAGAGAGCAGACAAGAGGCATCAGTGCAATTGGAGTTATTGATTGGGATATTGAAATCCCCAAGTATAAGGGAAGGAGTGCTAGATGAGAGGAAGTGGGGAAGCCAGGAAGAAAAGTGCTCAATGAATAGTCTAGGATAACCGGGGGGCGGTAGATGATAGCAATTCTTAAAGGAGTGGGTTTAAATAGGCGGACAGTGTGAACTTCAAAAGAAGAAAAGGGTAGGGCAGGGGGAGTTATGATTGATTGAAAGGTACATTGAGGGGAGAGAAGGATGCTTACGTTGTCTCCTTTACAGTTGAGTCTGGGAGTGTGAGAGAATTGTAGCCCACCAAAACATAAAGAGGCAGGAGTAGCGCTATCAGAGGGGGACAGCCAGGTCTCTGTAAGTGCAAGCAGTGTGAGTGAGTTTGAGATGAAAAAGTTGTGTATGGTTGTTTTAAAAAGTCAATTTTACATTGGATTTTTAAAAAGTCAAAAAAATTTTGGTGTTAAATAGTATATTTGGGGTGTTCACTTCATACAGTTGCAAGAAAAAATATGTGAACCCTTTGGAATGATATGGATTTCTGCACAAATTGGTCATAAAATGTGATTTGATCATCATCTAAGTCACAACAATAGACAACAGTCTGCTTAAACTAATAACACACAAAGAATGAAATGTTGCCATGTTTTTATTGAACACACCATGTAAACATTCACAGTGCAGGTGGAAAAAGTATGTGAACCCTTGGATTTAATAACTGGTTGAACCTCCTTTGGCAGCAATAACTTCAACCTAACGTTTCCTGTAGTTGCAGATCAGACGTGCACAACGGTCAGGAGTAATTCTTGACCATTCCTCTTTACATAACTGTTTCAGTTCAGCAATATTCTTGGGATGTCTGGTTTGAAAAGCTTTCTTGAGGTCATGCCACAGCAGCTCAATCGGGTTGAGGTCAGGACTCTGACTGGGCCACTTCAGAAGGTGTATTTTCTTCTTTGGGTCATTGTCCTGTTGCAACACCCATCTTCTGTTGAGCTTCAGCTGGTAGACAGATAGCCTTAAGTTCTCCTGCAAAATATCTTGATAAACGTGGGAACTCATTTTTCCTTCGTTGATAGCAATCCGTCCAGGCCCTGACGCAGCAAAGCAGCCCCAAATCATGATGCCCCCACCACCATACTTCACAGTTGGGATGAGGTTTGGATGTTTGTGTGCTGTGCCTTTTTTTCGCCACACAGTGTTGTGTGTTTCTTCCAAACAACTCAACTTTGGTTTCATCTGTCCACAGAATATTTTGCCAGTACTGCTGCGGAACATCCAGGTGCTCTTGTGCAAACATGCAGCAATGTTTTGTTTGGACAGCATTGGCTTCCTCTGTGGTATCCTCCCATGAAATCCATTCTTGTTTAGTGTTTTACGCATTGTAGATTCGCCAACAGGGATGTTAGCATTTGCCATTGACTTTTGTAAGTCTTTAGCTGACACTCTAGGATTCTTTTCACCTCATTGAGCAGTCTGCGCTGTGCTCTTGCAGTCATCTTTACAGGACGGCCACTCTTAGGGAGAGTAGCAGCAGTGCTGAACTTTCTCCATTTATAGACAATTTGTCTTATCGTGGACTGATGAACAGCAAGGCTTTTGGAGATACTTTTATAACCCTTTCCAGCTTATGCAAGTCAACAATTCTTAATCGTAGGTCTTCTGAGAGCTCTTTTGTGCGAGGCATCATTCACATCAGGTAATGCTTCTTGTGAAAAGCAAACCCAGAACTGGTGTGTGTGTTTTATAGGGCAGGGCAGCTGTAACCAACATCTCCAATCTTATCTCATTGATTGGACTCCAGTTGGCTGACATCTCACTCCAGTTAGCTCTTGGAGATGTCATTAGTCTAGGGGTTCACATACTTTTTCCACCTGCATTGTGAATGTTTACATGGTGTGTTCAATAAAAACATGGCAACATTTCATTCTTTGTGTGTTATTAGTTACAGCAGACTGTGATTGTCTATTGTTGTGACTTAGATGATGATCAGATCACATTTTATGACCAATTTGTGCAGAAATCCATATCATTCCAAAGGGTTCACATACTTTTTCTTGCCACTGTATCTGAGAGTCAAATCGAAGCGTAACTTTTATTCAAATTTACTACATCGGTCACTTGTAATACTGTTTCACACCTACAACACTTGTTACACAGATCTAAGTGATAGAAAATGTTCTACTCTAGAAACTACCAGATAACAAGCTGCTATATTTAAACCAGTGTTCAATAGCAAAGAGGTACTTCAACAATATTGTAATTCTGGGGCAATACCCTCACAAGTCAAACTGAGAGGTCAGTTTATAGGGAAAACTGTTGCCTGGAGGAAATTCTAAAACAATTTCCATATGTCCTTTGCAGACTTTGCATGCTGGAAAAACACTGGTGCCAACTGCTGTGGCTTTCTGCAGTGTGCATACCGGCAAGGAGGGCAGGGTTGAGGAGTGGGTGGAAGATGATGTTGAGGATGATGAGGTCCTAGACCCCACATGGAATCAGGGTCATGCGAGTGACGTGTGCAGTTTGGAGGAAGAGGCACCTCTTCCTCCAAACTGCACAGCATAAGAGGGAGCAGGGTGCAAAAGCGGAGCGGCCGTCCCCTAGCACTCGTCGGCATGTATTAGCTCGAGAATTACCAGTTATCCAAGTAATACGTGTCGAGATTAAAGGATCCATAACAGACTTGAGTAAAACCGAACTGCAAAGTTCGGGTTCGTACCAGATTTAACGATCCATTCGTAGTTTCACAGTGAGGTGGGCAGTCTGGTGACCAGGACCCAGACACTTTCAGGATGTGCCATTCAATGTAGTGGCTGTGGCTTTTGGAGTTGTCACCCTGCTGTTGCTCGCCTGTCTGCGCTGCAGCGTAACTTTGGCCTTCCCGCTCACCGCCTCATGGGACTTTGCGAGCAGCAGCAGGCCATAGTGGAGTTTCAGCTGCAGCACGCACAGGTCAGTGGCTCTGCACCAGACTTCCCTCCAATTGATCAGAGTTAAAGGATTTCAAGTGGACTCATTACAATTACAGGGCCTCTAAAGAGTCCTGTATTGTTATTTGTCGTCACTACCTTCCCGCGTCGGGAGTGGGTCATTTGCGCGCCTGCTGCCTTCCTTGCATGTGGTAGCCGTTTCTCAGGGTCCCTGTACAGAATGGAATCCTGAGTCCCCGTTACCCGTGGCCACCATGGTAGGCGCAGAAACTGGCATCAAAAGTTGATATGGATGATATCCGCATGAAAAGTCGCCGCCACGGGGATGTGCGATTTGCCCGAGGTTCTCTAGCGTCAAAAAAGTTCCTGTGCAACTATAATGTCAACAGCTACTCTGTGGAACAGAGTTGTTTTTTTTTATATGTCCCAATATTTTGGGGGCTACCCCAATTAAAATATATATATATATATATATATATAAATAGTGTTGGCTACCTCATCCTCCTCCTTCACCACCACGGTCACCGCCTCCTCAACCTATGGGTCACTTATGATAAACTAGGTACACATTAGCAGAGGCTTGTGAAGGCCTTTTCTCCATGCATCAGGAGTTGAGCATTTCTCCATGCATCAGGACTACAAGAAATGCACCGCAGGCCGCAAATGTTTCTTTCTTTGTATGTCCCAATATTTTGTGAGCTACCACAATAAAAAATAAATAAAAAAAAACATAAAATACAATGTTGGCTACCTCAGCCTCCTCCTCCACCGCTGCTTCCTCCTCCACCGCCATGGTCATCGCCTCCTCAACCTATGGGTCACTTAGTATAAACTAGGTACACATTAGCAGAGGCTTGTGAAGGCCTTTTCTCCATGCATCAGGAGTTGAGCATTTCTCCATGCATCAGGACTACAAGAAATGCAACGCAGGCCGCAAATGTTTCTTTATTTGTATGTCCCAATATTTTGTGGGCTACCACAATTAAAAAACAAAACAAAAACATAAAATACAGTGTTGGCTACCTCATCCTCCTCCTCCACCGCAACGGTCACCGCCTCTCAACCTATGGGTCACTTAGTATAAACTATGTACACATTAGCAGAGGCTTGTGAAGGCCTTTTCTCCATGCATCAGGAGTTGAGCTCAGTTTGAACAATGAAAGAGAATACCCTGAACTCCAACCCTCTCTCAAATTGATAATTTTGGTGATCCTCCTGACAGCCATGCTTTAGATTTTAAATTATGTTCTTCCAAAGCTAAAATCAAAGATTCCATCTAGTGCTATTTTATGGCTCAGCTGTATTTTTTATTTTCATGTTATTGTAAGTGATTTCCCTATCCACATTTGTTTGCAGGGCACTTGTCCTACTCTTACCCCCATTTTACTTCTTTTTCCAGTTCTCTAGCCCTTTCCAGGAGTTTTTTAGAGGCATTTTTGTGGCCAAAAGTTTGGGTCGCCTTTGACTTTAATGAGGTTCGGGTTCGGGGTCAAGTTGGCCCGAACCCAGACTTTTTTTCAAAGTTTGGCCGAACCCGCCGGACCCGAATATCCAGGTGTCCGCTCAACTCTACTCAGCAGACAATACGTAAACAAACATAGACAGCATTGTAACAAAACAAGTTTACTTAAATCAGCCCCAGATACATTGAAGGCATCCTGTATCACAGATTCACAATGTATTCAATGTAACATTACATACAATACAATATGACTCACCATACTCTAAATCAAGTGCTGTCATTTCCTTATCTTTGTGAGTGTTACTCCACTTGACTTCTTAACAGATGAGCTCTGAAATTTTGACTTCATGCTGCAAAAAATCATTGCCTGCACTTTTCTATACCAACAGTATTTCTTTTGTACTGGCCCCTTCACTCCCAGCCAGTGTTTGAATACCTGTGGGAGTATGGTGATGAGGATAAGGAGTAAAACAAATTTTATCTATGATTACATCTAAGCTTAGCCCAACACCCGTTACGTGAGGGGGGTCATTCGTGTGCCTCATTTATGGTTTGACTAAATAAAGAAGCCTTTTGAACCAACTACAACTTGTATATTTTGTTACAAGATTTCCTCACATTCCGGATACTAATCTAGATAATTGGTTAAAGGACCTGCTATGTTTCACTGAGGGTTAATCCAGCCTCTAGTGGCTGTCTCACTGACAGCTTCTATAGGCGCTTCCACGCTTCTCACTGTGAAAATGCTGGACGTCCATAGGAAAGCATTGAGAAATGTTCCCCATGGTGGGGAACAGAATATAACTAAAATGTAAAACTACTAGTGACTGTCATTAGTGACTGTCACTTAACACTAAATATAAATCAGTATGGCTGTGCCAGGTCCCCCCTTATTGCACTAGCCACTGGGCATCAATAGCTGCCAGTCACTAGTATTTTTAAATTTGTTTAGGCGACATGCCCCTACTCGTGGTATGGCGCGAGTAAGGGCATGCGGGAGGATTTAACCTCCCTTTTATTAGATACGTTTTCCGATCCATTATGAAAAAATATTTTGCATCGTAACCACAACAACTTGCAGTTGTCCAGTAATGTGACAAAAAGTTTTGCAATTGTTTGCCCTCTTATCTAAGCCTCTATCAGGCACCAATCCTCCTATTGTGCATGAGGTCACTCATTGTCCGAGATCATCAGCTGAATGCTTTTATCTAATGAATGTGCATGGAATATTCACAGAATTGATATAATGGCATACTAATGATTCTCCCGAAGTTGGAGTTAGAGCTCTTGCAGCAAGATAACATATATCTTTATTTGTAATGTTTAGTAGTGAAATGCTGCACATACAGACTCAGAGCACCATGACCACTTTAAAACACTGTAGTAGTCATGGTGCTTGAGTAACTCTTTAAGAAAATGAAGAAAAAATTGTCAATTTGCAGTGAAAAAATAAATACCCAGTTCAGCTTCACATGTATTTTTTAAAGCAACACTCCAAGCACCCTAAACACAATACCATGATCTCATTGTCATTGTAATTGTGCCAGGAGTGCCTTGGCGCACTCCCAGGTTAGTAGTCATACCAATTGCAAAAGGTTGGAAAGCCTACCTGCCAATCTACCAGAAGCTCTTGGGCGGAATGTCTGTGGAGCTTAGCTCTTTATTGCAATGCTGGCTTAGCTCTTTGCAGATAGTTTCTGGGGATATGTCTGGTGCCTGTTAGACCTCTGGTATGTTTTCAAACCATTAACATGGCTCACAGCTTCACTACTTGTCCTGGGAAGGTACCAGGACCCATGGCACCATAGTGATTATGTGCATGGAGTGTTCCTTTAAATTTCATACTTTAAATGGGGACGTAGCCTTATAAGAACTATGACAGATATGCAATGTGTAATGGCACCCCCAGACATAAAAGGGGTTAACAGCCGTTTAGTAGATCTTCCCCTTCCAGAGACACAGGCAGCTACTGTAGACACCAATCCACCAAACTGGAGAAGCATATGAATGCTCTCAAACATACAAATGTAGTAAACAGCCGAATAGGAAAAACCATACGAATAGGTTTACACTCCTAGCAGTCGAACTGGAACAGCATACAATAAATCCCCCCAAGAACGAGACAAGGCTCCATTTTGAATGTCAAGCAGGAACAGACAGAGCTGTGGGTTTATTGTTCTTATATACACATTAGTACCACCCACAGGGAAAACAACCAATAAACACGTACAATACACTCAGACACTCCCACACAAAATCCTCCCCTGTGCCTGTGATACAATTACCTTACACAATGGGTAATGTAATTATCACAGCCAGAGAAATACAGTTTTTCCACATTATTCATAACTTTGCTCTAATGACTATAAATGGGTCAGGAAGATAAAGCAAAAAGAATACATAACTGTTTCAAGTTAAATTTTGTCAAAGAAGAAAAATTAATATATGCTATAACATATATTACATTTTCAAAATTTCTAATACAGCTGCCGCCTATATATTTGAGAGCATATTCAATGTAAAATGCTTTCATTAAACTATTCCAAGAACGGAGATTCAAAGTAAACCATTGAACTACAATTACAATCAGGAAAGATAGAAATCTCTGTAACTCTTTTGTTAAAATGAGCCTACTCAGACATAGTCAAGACATCTTTATTTCAGATTGCATAACTGCTTACAGTACAGATATGGGCATTAAACTCTCTTTCTCTAAATAAATAAAAGGAACGATGTAGGCTACCATGATTGCATTGGATTAGTTATTTATTCTATCTGAGAATGACAGTGCTCATTCTTACTCTTATTATTCATTCTATGTACTTACCTCTTGGAATCAAAATGTCCAATTCTGGATGTGGGAAGATTAAAGTTAATAGATCTCTACTTCTCCTGAGTATAAAAAGTTACCGTGACTCAATACATAAAGTCAGTATCGAAAAAGTCTTGGAATCACAGTTTTAAGCTCCGCCTTTTTTGTTATAATATGTGTGAGAACGAGTGTAAGGAAGCAGCAAGAGGCTCATTAAAGAGGTTAATAGTGCCAAGTTTGTCTGGTTGTTGACACAGAAAACTGTTTCACAAGTCACTTTAAGCACCATAGCTACATTACCTTAATGTATTGTTTATATTGTGCAAGGATAAATACCATGTAGTAACTTGTTTCAGAAATGTTTCATTAAGGAGAAATGTAATCACCTATTTGGCTTGTCAGATTCAGACACAAAGACGTATAGTTCCTCCCAGCTTGTCAAAAATCTATCCAAGTTTTGCATGTTTTATGTATATCATATACCTACAGGCACATATCATACACGTCCCTACCCTCTCCTCCCCAGCAATCAGGAGGGAGCGAAAGCCGCCGCCTTTCAAGTAAGTAGTAGACACGTGCATTTGTTTTCAGCCATGTCAAAAATTAAACAAAATATTAAAATTAAAATGTTCAAAAATGTTGTCTGAATATGAATATAGACCTTAAATGAATGAATTTCCAATGAACAAATCAGTCGCCGAACAAATTCTGTTCAATGCTATTTATTCGTTCATTGACTTGTTGCTACTTATCTGAGGGCATTAACAACTAAAATATACATGTGTGTGTGTATATATATATATATATATTTGTGTTCGGGGCAAATAGCCGTATATGGAGTAAGGTTCCAGCATAAGCGGAGGATAGTATAAAGGGAGCAAGTCGGTTGTGGTGTGCCGAGACCGACGATACGGTAGGCCTGTAAATAAAGAGGGCCCACCAAGGAGTAAGTAAGTAAAGTAAATGGAAAGAAATTAGAAAATGTTGAAATGAGGAGTGGGTGGGAGGGTCATTCTGATGCTGACCTCAAGCGTTATGAGTCAGGTAAGGGGTGTCCCTTATATAGGAGAGTGAATTAATTTAAGCCCCTCCCACAAATACAGTATTTTTTAGTATCACCCCAATGGCCATTAACATGTAAGCTCTCCTGCCATGTCTACTTTGCTGTTTGAATTAAGAGGCAAAATTTGTAATGAGACAGAGAGTAGTATTTTATTAAGCCCCTGTACACTTATTAACCCATAAAAGAACACTTGACAGGCACACAGTCGGATTTGCCGGCATATGCGCTAACCTTACCCAAACCCCCATTAAAGCACGGACACAGGTTACACTGTTGGAAATAATTCGTCCACAGCTTTATTAAAATATTAATAAAATAATTAAGGAATAACAAATGGGGTCATTGCCAACAAATCTTAATAACGTTAACATCCCCCATATACATAACATACCCCTAGCAATGACCCCACAATAATAACAATAGATAACAATCTAAATAACATGTTAATACAGAAACTGGCCACCCAATTTGACCACATTTCCACCAGGTTAAATTGTAGGGGTGTACCGAGACACCGCTACCCACCATATCGATTGTAGGGGTGTACCAAGACACCGCTACCCACCATATCCATTGTAGGGGTGTACCAAGACACCGCTACCCACCAGTTCCAGTGTAGGGTGTACCAAGACACCACCACACCCCCAGGTTCGGAGCCACCGACGGGCTCGAACCTACCAACCACGTGCAACACTGCCCAATCCACACTAAACCTCAGGATGCCCACTTTCTCCTCCATCTACCCTCCGATTTAACCAGGCCATTCCCCGCCGCTGTGAAAAAACGGGAAATCAACTAACCTAACCAAATACAGGGAGGGTGGGAGGGACAACTGACAGGTAAGCTTAGGTTCAGTTAAAATGGCAGGCGCACAGTCGGATTTGACGGCATATGCGCTAACCTTACCCAAACCCCCATTAAAACACGGACACAGGTTATACTGTTGGAAATAATTCGTCCACAGCTTTATTAAAATATTAATAAAATAATTAAGGAATAACAAATGGGGTCATTGCCAACAAATCTTAATAACGTTAACATCCCCCATATACATAACATACCCCTAGCAATGACCCCACAATAATAACAATAGATAACAATCTAAACAACATGTTAATACAGAAACTGGCCACCTAATTTGACCACATTTCCACCAGGTTAAATTGTAGGGGTGTACCGAGACACCTCTACCCAGCATATCGATTGTAGGGGTGTACCAAGACACTGCTACCCACCATATCCATTGCAGAGGTGTACCAAGACACCGCTACCCACCAGTTCCAGTGTAGGGCGTACCAAGACATCATCACACCCCCAGGTTCGAAGCCACCGACGGGCTCGAACCTACCAACCACGTGCAACACTGCCCAAGCCACACTAAACCTCAGGATGCCCACTTTCTCCTCCATCTACCCTCCGATTTAACCAGGCCATTCCCCGCCACAGCTCAGGACTTGAAACCTAAAGCTCCTGAGCGACCCCCACCACACCGGAATAAGGCCTGTTGAATGCCTTCCTGAAGGCCCAATTTAAACAGATCACACCTTACATCCGAAAACCTACTCCATCCCACCTGGAGTACCCAGGGAGCTTTCCTCCCAATTCGTTGTGTCTCACTGTTACACCACCCCAACATCTGATAAATACCGCCATCAATTTTGTATTAATTCATCCTCGACACCGAGCTACCATGGCCGGGTACGTAGTATGTCTCCAATATAACCGAGGAACCATCTCGGACCGCACCATCACCACACCTGTTGCCAGCTCCCATAGCCGGTCCACCTCCCTCTGCCTCCACCTGATCAATTCCTTTTCCGGGACCATGTCGATATCCAGAATGTCCTGGACAGTACCCCTTGTTACCTCCCGGAAAATTTTCTCCCATAATGTCTTGCCACCAAAATCCCCGAAAACCAATTCCAAAGGAAAGCCCAGTTGCGCTTGAACCGAAACGCGGCTCCCATCTGCGCCCCTTAGATATAAGAATGGCCCACCAACCATGTCACCAAACCTGAAACGAAAGTAATTAGCGACAAGGCATAGCCCCAAACACAAACCCATATGTCCATAGCCATTAAACCAAATAGACCGGCCTGAAACAGGACTTAAACCGTACTGATTCCCACCTGCCTAAACGTTTCCCTAGGTCCTCACTTAAAACCAGGCGGGGCACCTCTGTTAATGCCATTATCCAGGAAGAATAGGTCCCAAAGTGCCTGGGATCCAAACCCAACATTGTCAAACCCCTGCGGGAATTGAATCGTGACAGCACTGATCTGTCCCCTATTACCAGTAAGCCACCCGGGATGTCCGGGCAAAGCTCCAAGTAGCATGATGCGCTTAACGCCGGGTGTACCCCTGACCCCAGCAGGGAATATAGCTTTACCAAACCTCCTTTACCAGACACATCCGTTCTTGAACAACCCTACCGAATCGTTACCTTAACCGACTGAGGTTCGACAACCGAGTCCCCCAACACCTGCCCGAAAGGCACTCACTAGCTCCCCAATCCGAATTGCCCCAAGCCTCCGAGAAGGCCACCACAAGCAAACTCACTGCAAAAGCAGGGTAACACACCACCAGGCATTGCGTTACCCAAGGAAACCAGCCGCCCGGCACCAACATATTTCATACCTCTCCGTAAGACCCGCTAAGCCTGATGGAAGTGACAACGTTCCGTCACTTCCTCCCAATCGGTCAGTTTGAACCCTAACGACAATGCCGCCATGCTCCTGTCCATTGCCGATGGAGCTAACGCTGAACGAACAAACGGCTTAGGAACCACAGCAAGGTATCCCTTCGCCCCTCCTTTGACTGGGACCCCCCAGTGAAACCAAGCGCCTTGTCCCACATATCCCAAACCTTCACATAGGCAGTCACATAGGCAGTCCGGTGCCATAGGATTCCATATCGATCCTCCAAGCATGGCGTCTTGAGCTGCCACATTTCCTCCAGACCGGACTGTCCCTCCTCCTGCGCCCCCTGGGGCCGCCATTCGCAGTTTGTCCCCTTGTGCACGAGCCAAGTAACCAGCCCCTACCTTCCGCCAACCAGGCACGTGGCGTGCCTGCACCCAATACCTGAACAGTGATACGAATCACCGCCATCGGCGTACCTCCTGAACCGAGGACCCGGCTGGATGGTAAACCACATGAAGCCCGCCGTATTGTACGTGAATTATGACTTCTCATCCCTTAATCCTTCACCTTTTAGAGCCACAGCCACTCCCAATGGAAATAACTCAAAAGATGCCAACTTCGAACAAGCGGACTTACCTTTCATGCCTCCCGCCACCGCTCCGCGCACCACTTGCCTTCCAGGTATGCCCCGGAATCTATGTTCCAAGAGGCATCCATGAACAACTTGATACCACCCGCAAAGGCTCCACAAGTAGCCTTCGCCATGAAATGGTTACCAACCCAGTCCTCACGACTAACCCGACATGCAACTTGAAACTGCCTTATGAACAACTGCGATTTCTCAGTGTGACCTTCTTGGACCTGCAAACCTTCAGCCTGAACTCCCGAAGTGCAGTCAACTGAACCCCAGGCAATCGACACTCTCCTACCACCGAAACAATTTCCAACCCAAGACACGCGGTAGGATTCCCGCGTTCGTAAGGTATGTCCACAACGGCCCGGCCCAGCCGAGCCCACACAGCAAGCTATCTTACAGATAATGTACTAAGGAACCCCTTCCTGATTCCTCTTTCACCTCCCACTCCCAGACGGATCCAACTCTGCACGTCTGCTACCCCCCTCCTTGCCGGCCTCCGTTCCATCGCCGCGTGGGGGGGCTAGCAGACGTGCTTGGGGCTCCCCAGCTCCTGCAGCCACCAGCCACGATTCTGCCACAACCTTTGTGACCAGGATGGTGGCTTGCTTGGAGTTCTGTCTGAGGCTGATGGGAGTGAGCATGCAGCAGCAGCAGCAGCAGCTCACTCCAGCTTCTCCTGTACCTCCATGCTGCCTCCTGTCTCAATACTGCTCTGTTCTTCTATGCTGCCTCCATGCTGCTGATGGGAGTGAGCATGCAGCAGCAGCAGCTCAGTCCAGCCTCTCCTGTACCTCCATGCTGCCTGTTCTTCATGCTGCCTCCATGCTGCTGCCTTCTCCCTCCAGGGCAGGCAGCTTTCACAACTGACAGGTAAGCTTAGGTTCAGTTAAAATGGCCACTTCCTATAATGGCTGGTATAACTACTCCCCTTATGGCTCCGCCCTTACCAGCATGCTAGCTGTCACTAACTTCCTGTGGCTGCTATGCCTACCTCCTGGCTCTGTCAAGGCCTATTCCTCTTAGCTGCGCTGATCCATGGGCTACAATAATGTTAATAATACAAAGTCTTCCTAACACTATAGTGTTCCTTAGTCCCCCCTGGCACTGAAAAGGGGAAAATAACTATTTATTTCACTCAACTCACTTGATCTGTCTCCGCCTCCTCCAACGTCAGCATCAAGGGGAAACCTAATGCCAGCGCCACATGCGCATTAGGCATTCCCCAAAGGAAAGCATTGAATCAATGCTTTTCTATGGGGATTTTGAGGACCCTATACATCCACATGCAAAGCTTCAAGACATCCAACATTATTTCACAGACTCAAACTCTGTGAAACAGCAGGAAGCACTTCTAGTGGCTGTGTGATAAATACAAATACAAACCTACACAATTAACCTCTGTGCTCAAACTCCCATTACTTCTCGGCACTAGCAATGATTATAGTACAGCCCCAATGCATAAAGTGAAAAACACAAAAATGTTACCTATGCACAGTTAAATAACTGGAGGGTTTTTTTGTATTACTTCAACCGTCATTAAAGTGTAAGCTTATCTTCCACATCTAGGCAAACCTCTTAGGGTGAGTCTTGCACTAACAGGAGTATTTACTAAAGTGAAAATTGTAAGGAAATGTCAAATTTAAGGCAAGAGTGGCTAAACTAAAAGCATGACTTTCTCCATTTTGTCTATTTTTACCTTAAATTTGAAATTTACTTTGAGCTCTCACTCTTGTGAATAACCCTGTAACAATTCACCTTGCTGGTTTGAATTAAAAAGCAAAATCTGTAATGAGTTAAAAAGTGGCATTTTTCTAAACCACTACACACGTAATAAAGAATGCATGGGGTGGGCAACAGCCCTGTGTCACTAGAGATTATGCCTTTTAGTTCAAAGCAGCAAGGTGAATTGTTAGTGTAGGAGTCACCGTTAAGCTATGCCTTGACGTGACAGGTGAGCTGGCATTTTAATTAGGGTTACCAGACCCACCATGTTTCCAGGGATAATTATTATTTTGTTATATTTATGAAAATGCAGTATGCATATTACTAATTACTTAATTAATATCTCCTTCAGAATGCTGCATATAACAGGGCTGATGTTGGCTGGGGAGAGCTAATGCGCATGCGCAATGCTTTCCTATGGGGATTCTGGAGGTCCTCATGTATAGAGTGAGGACGTCCAGCGTTGCAATAATCACACTTGCAGGGTTAAGGGTGGTGGGAGTTGGCACCCAGACCACTCCAACGGGCAGAAGTGGTCTGGGTGCCTGGAGTGTCCCTTTAAATAAGTATTTGACCCCCTAACAATAAGCAAGATATCTGTCTTTCAGGTGTCTTTTATACAGGCAATGAGCTGAGATTAGGAGCACTCTCTTATAGGGAGTGCTCCTAATCTCAGCTCTTTGCCTGTATAAAAGACACCTGTCCACAAAAGCAATCAAGGATATTATGGCACTAGAAAGAGAGCAGAGGCGGGCTACAAAATTAATAAAAGGAATGGAACATTTTAGCCATGAATAAACCTCTTTAGTTTAGAAAAATCTTGCCTCAGAGGGGATATGATAACATTATACAAATATTCTCAGAATACTCTTGCGACCTGCTTTTTGCTCTCCATTATACAACTATATTTGTGGCCAATACAAACTTTGTGTGGAAATCTATTCACAAACAGGA